TAAAAGGCAGACATGTTGCCCATCCCCTCCCTTCACTTTACCCTCTGCAATACACATCTTTCTCTTGCACAACTCTAGCTACAGTACTCTCTACTACATCACAACACTGTCCTTTGGGTAGCCACATCATCTATTCCTTGGCAACCGGTCTTAGTGACCTCTCAGATACACCTATATCTGCTAAGGTTTCAATAGGCTATGAGCCCTGAGCTTTATCATCACTAAAACCGGCTTCACCAACCTTATGCAAGATGCCTGAAACCCGCTACCGTTGCAACTTACGCTCCATCATCGATATATCCTCCCGAAATCACCAAGTTTCGACCAAAAATGCGCCAAAGTGCTCCACTTGATAAGATACGCACTACTTGACACCCAAAATGCATCCAACGATACAACCTCATCAGAAACACGTCCCCACACTTGAAACAGATGAATCCAGCTTGAAGGCACACATACACGATGGCTTGAGACTCAGAGACTTCGAAACTTACGGTGGACAAGTTCACGAGGGAGAACTATCATCTATGGAAGTTTAGGATGATGATGATGTTGAAGGCCAAGGGACTTTGGGTGGCGGTGGAGGCTGGAAAGAAGGAGACGGAAGGAAATACAGCTACAGCAATCACGTCGAAGGGAAAGGGGGCTGCAGGGGTGGAGGAGGAGTCGACGGAGAGGAAGGTCGAACGGGCTTTGGCAAACATCTGCCTCACTCTGAATGATACACGGCTTATGCACGCACGGGGAAGCCTGGTCTAAGCTAGCTGAGGTGCACAAATGAAAGGGGCCTGCCAGCAAGCCCTTCCTACGTCGAATGTTCCTTTACATCACCATGGACGAATCAGAGTTGATCACAAACCATATCAACAAAGTCAGACAGCTTGCACAACAGCTGGAGGCTATTGGTGCACCAGTACCCAAAGATGATATCATGACTACCTTGATATATAGCTTACCAAACAGCCATGAGCAATTCATCCCGAGCCTGGAAAGCAGGGCGGATGACTTAGACATGGAGCTCTTGATGGCCAGGCTTGTCAACGAGGAAGCTAGGCGCAAGGATTACTCGAACCCAGTAAGATTGATTGGAAACGCCTTCGTTGGGGATGGAGGGCAGGAGCAGGAGGCTGGGGGCTCAGCTCGGTTCGCCAGGAAGAAGGGAAAGCACCCTCAGGGCGACTGGGGCCTTGAAGGGCATTGGAAGAACGAGTGCAAGAAGCTCAAACGAGAGCTAGTTCAAGCCAACAATGCGAGTCAAGTCAAGTCACAACAGACTGGCCAGGGAATGGCAGCTGCTAAACGGACCGAAACCAGCCCAGAGTGCTGGATTATCGATCAGGAGTCTCACCTCACATGATGCATGTCGAGGAATGGCTGCACAACTACAATACGCTGGACACCAAGATCCAGGTCCAGCTAGCTGACAACTGGTCCGTTCTAGCTATCGGAACAGGCTCCATTACGATCAGAACACATGGGGAGCACACTGGCACCTTTTGAAACGTCTGGTTGGTTCCCAAACTCGAGAAAAACCTCATCTCGGTAGCCCAGCTGATTGACAATGGAGCACAAGTTGAGTTCTCAAGTGCAGAGTGCCCAATCAAGACTATCTCGCCTTCAGAGCTATCAAAGAGAACGGTCTCTACGCCATGAAGGCACAAGCTATCCCTGAACACGCCTACTCGGCAGGAGCACTTGGCAGCACGCCTTTTCATATCTGGCATCAGAGACTTGGTCATCTGAATGCCCAAGATCTCCAGAAGCTCACCAACTGCTACCAACGGAACTCAGAGCCACCGGACACCCTGATGGTCACATCTGCGGAGTCTGCACGCTCTCCAAGCAGTCCAGAGCTCCCTCCCCAAAGAAACAAGCTACCCAAGCCACAGAAGTCCTGGCACTCGTCCACACTGACCTATGTGGCCCCATGAGGACGTCTAGCTTTGGGGGATGTACCTACTTCGCATCATGGATTAATGACAAGTCCAGAATCATCTGGGTCAAGCTTCTAAGCAAGAAAAGCGATACCTTTGATGCCTGGGAGGAATACAAGGCTCTTATGGAGAAACGGACTGGGAAATCAGTCAAAGTCCTCAGATTGGACAAAGGAGGTGAATACGAATCCACCGGCACTCAGAAGAGCTGGAATCCAACACCAGCGCGCTGCTACCGACACCCCACAGCAGAATGGAGTAGGGGAGCATATGAATCGAACCCTAGTCGAAATGGCATGATGCCTACTCAGCCAGGCTGGTCTTGGACATGAATACTGGGGAGAAGCCCTGCTCGCAGCCATGCACATTCGAAATTGATACCCTACAGCTGCCCTAGACAACTTCAAGACGCCGTACAGAGCATTCTTCGGTCCCAAGCCCATCCTCCTTCATCAGATGATCATATGGATCAAGACATGTCAGCTCGCTCCTGTGACAGCTTAGCGAGCTTTGAATTCGACCCAGAACCTGACAACACTGCTGCACGCGCACCCAAGTCCACAGGCAACACTGAATCACGCTTGCACGCTGCAGAGGGGGATTCTGAGCTTCTGACGCTTCGCCCAACCCACAACCGGACACAAATCAATGGGCAGAGACCTCAGAGGATCTAGATGACCAGGAAGAACCTCAAGACGATGAATTGGTGCAGTACAGACGCATCACACGCTCTCAGAGCACTCGAATTCGACAAAGCAACCTGGCCTATGCTCTCGCAACCGAAGTACATGCACACAGAGCCCAACACATTCAAGCAGGCACTCAACTCCAATGATTCAACAAGGTGGAAGGAAGCTATGGACGCTGAATACGACTCCCTAGTCAAGAATGGGATTTGGGAGCTCTGCCCAGCACCCAGAGATCGCAACCTCATCGGCTGCAAGTGGGTGTACGAGATCAAGACAAATGCTGATGGCGGTATCGAACATTACAAGGCCAGACTTGTCGCCCAAGGCTTCTCACAAGAAGAGGGAGTTAACTACAATGAAACCTTCGCCCCAGTAGCCAAGTTCGACATCATTAGACTCCTGCTCTCATGGGGAGCAGCGCAAGACCTCAAAATGGACCAGATGGAGGTATCCACCACATTCCTGAATCCAACACTCAGTGAGCAAATCTATATGAAGCAGCCACCGGGCTACATCAAGCCAGGAGAAGAGCCTCTTGTGCTCAAGCTCAAGAAGGCCCTCTATGGTCTGAAACAAGCTCCAAGGGAATGGAACATCGAAATCCACAGCACACACACCTAGAAAGGCTTCACACGCCTTGATTCAGACCACCGCATCTACGTCAGGCTCTTTAAGGGATGGGTACTCATCCTGATCCTCTACGTCAATGATCTGATACTTGTGAGCAACAAGAGACTCAACCTCGACCACTCCAAGGCCAAGGTACTTCAGAAGGCATATGATATGCGTGACCTTGGTGCTCTACACTACTTCCTGGGCCTTCTAGCCACCAGAGACCAAGCCAAACGACTCTCGATGCCCAACCAGACTGGGTACATCGAAAAATGCCTCGAAACGTACGGCATGGTCGATTGCAAGCCGGTAGCCACACCCAGTGTTGTAGGAAGCCCTCTCACCAAATAAAAGATACCCCAGACGCCCGAAGAGACTGCAGAGACGCACGACAAACCCTATCGAGCCATTATAGGCTGTCTGATCTATGCGATCATCGGGACTGTAATGTCAGAGGAAACTTGGATGATAATGGGCCCTTCCGAGAGTGTATTGAAGTGAAGGAAAAAGGAAGAAGTCCTTCGCAGCGGCTGCTCGACTGACAGCTTTATATATGAGCTGCCGGTGGGGCTTGCGTGGTTTCGAGGAGGCTTAGAGCCTTATGTATTGTATCACCGTGAGCTTGGGTGGCCAGCCTGAGTCTCGGATCATGTAGAAGTAAAGAAGTATAATATGAAACACAAGTGAATATGAGATATCCCGACACCTCACTCAGATCCTGAGGAGGGTGCCAAAGAAAATAAGAGGTGAACTACGAGGGATATGTGAAGAAAAGGGCGAGCTCATGTTCATTTTATAGTGTTGACGCTCTGTGTGATGTGTTTGTTTGAAACAAAGGTGTCCCTAAGCTGACGTCATATGTGATATGTGTAGGGTTGGTTCTGGCATCGCCACGCGTGATATGATGAAGTTTACTTCGCTAATGACAGCGGTGTGATTGATATGCGGTTCTTGCGGCGTTGCGCATGTGATGTGATATGGAATGATCAGTTCTTGCATCGTCGCGTGGGTCTAATGCATTTACGCTGTTTGTTTCCATAGGACCACAGAGCGTGAGTGTGTTCTACGCCATTGTTTGTAGGCAGGCGTTTGACGAAGTGCAGATTCAGGGTCCCATGTCGGGTCAGGATAGCCGGTCCATTTGACTGGAAGATTTTGTACGGCGCGTCGCTCGTCGATAATATCTTCTACAACCCATTCCGGTTGTCCGCGTTCTTCGATTGATTCAGGAGGTTGTGGAACAGCACGTTGCGGGTATTCCTCTTTGCGATGTGGTCGTAAAATGTCGACGTGAAAGACAGGCCAAATGCCGCTGATCTTTGATGGTGATAAATCGAGTTCGTAGGTATCGGGATGCGTTCCGAGTGCGATAATTTTGAATGGTCCGATCCACGTAGCTGAGAATCGAAGTCCTTTTCGTTTGTCAACTTCTAGGTTGATACCTTGTTGATGTAAATCAACCAGGTCGCCGATCTTATAGGTGACTGGCGTTCGACCTTGGTCGTGTTGACGTGCGAATTGATCTTGGGATCTCTGTAGGTTTTCGCGTATGATACGGGCGATATCTTCCTGCCCTCTCTTTACGTAGAGTTCGATTTTGTTTCGATGCACAGCTCGCGTGAAAGTGACCAGGTTGACGGCGTACGAGGAGATGAGGAGATTCAAGGGGAGATCAGTATTTGTGCGCATATGACCAGCGTGATCAGTAGTAGGATAGAGACACCCCCCCCTCCCCCCTCCCCCCCCCACTATAAAAAGGATTCCACTGGCGTAGATTAGGAGGCATTTCACGGCTATAGACTGGACCCTGAGTTTGTACCATAAGAGCCCATTGACCCAACTGACTAGCGTACCTACGACTAGCAGTATGGGGTTGCCAATATACGGAGTACGCCGAAGCGTGTCTGCTTGTGTGGTGAGAATTGGGATTTAGTTGGTCTCTGCCTTTTACCTTGCACCCAGTCCGTCTACAATACCTTACAGCAAAGTAGCTATTGTATACGAACATCAGTTATACAACCCGTGTGGAAGGTAGTCCACATCACAGACAGACCATACGCCAATACGGGAGTTTCTTCCTATCTTTGCTTTACGAACTCGACTAGTTGAACAAGCACATCGCGACCGTTGCCACCGAATTGACCCGTACACACGAGGATCTTTGGCGATGAAGCGGACCTTCATGGGGTTCGGGTCTCTCTTGTTCTTGCATTTCCTTTCTGCACCCCTCTGTGTTTGAAACTGGCCCCCAAAGGGAGGAATTGCGGGCTGTGACCCCCGTCTCTACAGTGAGGTGAAAGATAAGGAGAGCCTGAGCCCAAGTTGAAATACGGCTACGGACTCACGGAGGTGTCAACCTTTGAACACCCACCCTTTCTTTTGACAGCAAACTTGACTGTTGCAAAATGCTGTCAACACGGCAAAGTCCATCTTGTTGAGGAGCCAAATCCTGCTGCCGGTGTCGCCCACCTGCCCAGAGAAGCAGGTGTGGACGAATAAGAGCCAAGGGAAAATACAAGATTGCCCCATACGGGCTGTCCTCAGTGGAAGCGCATCGAGAGAAGTTCCTTGCGTCCTGCTCCTATCACCCTCCGTTCTCCTTCGCAGCATGCCGCGGACTACTCATACCACCGCGTCCCTTCACGGGAGCTCATGAACACCGTCCTCAGACAGACGTGGTAAGAAAGATTTTCGACGCCGGGTGCGCCGTGCCCTTTGGGTTCACTTGCCCGCGAGAGGACAAACCGCTCATCACACGCGAGGCCGTGCGTGCCGGCGCTTGGGATATCCTGAGGGAACTGCTGTGGAGAGGCCTTGATGACGGCGACCTTTCCACCTGGCTGAACGATAAGGCGGTATCCCACTCGGACGAGGTTACCGTGTTGGTGGAGGAGATTTTGGAGAAACGGTATTACCACCTACGCGATTTCCCGGATCTTGCGTATTTGTTGGGCGATAGCACAAAGACGCTGAACATGATCAAAACGCGCCCATTCGACTAGGAGGATGCCATCCCGTCCGCAACGGTGAGAGGTCAATTGGATCTACTCGAATCTAGTGGAAAAATGCATCAACCCGGAGGGACAATGGCGGTGTGCAATGAAGTGGGCGGGAACGGCAGGAAGCTCTGAACGAAGTTGAACGAGCTACACCTTTAGGTTATGCGCTGCACATAAGGAATTTGGATTTAGCTCAACTCTGGGTCGATCATGGCTGAATTGACAGATGATCTCGTTGCGACTTATAAATCTTTGATCTTTCCGACGATTCGATGGCGGCTGAGCAGGCGTCCTTCTTGAAACCTTTCTTGAGGGGCCCCACGTCGGAAGGGTTCACCACCGCGCTCGAGCAGATTGCGTGGGCCGGTCACACGATGGTAGTGCGGTCCCTTTTTGAGCGTTTCGGCGATACCACTCCGAAAAAGGCGGTTGTGGTTACTCTGGAAGCCGCGGCTTCCGCTCGCCGCGAGGAGACTATATTGGTATTGCTCAAGAGAGTCGGCGAACGAATGCAGGACCGAGATCCCGCCGTTCTTTTGTGGGTATGGCTGGAATGCCCTAGAGATAATGCGGAGCATCATGGCAAGCTGAGTCACCAAGTATTGTCTCTGGCGAAACACTGGGTTCAGAGGGTTCAGACGTCAACGCGGCAGCATGGTCGTTGGCGGGCTTGCCATCTATGGTCGTTCAGTTGATTGGTGCATGGTCACATTCGCAGCCATAATACGCCGTACGCCACAGGAAGGGACGAATAAAAGCATATGGGCCGAAGCCTTGGAGCGCTGCTCTTTGACGGATTGTGCGATGACCGACCAAACCGCGATCATACGGGCATGCGATATGCTTTGCTCCGCGCTCGGCGCCGCTGAGCGCGATGATACTGCAGAATACGATAGTGTGGTTCACTGTCTCCGGGGTCTGTTCGCGAGCTGCAAGGAAGGCGACAATTCCCGATGGTTTCTTTCTGACATACTTCCGGAGGAGACCGTCAGGCAGGCTTGATCTCCTTCGGATATTACTCCGTGGAGTTGTCGAGACCAACGATCAAAGCGACCCACGTGATAGCTGGGACACCACCGTGAGTGATCCCTGGGGAGAGAGACCCATCCGAAGGGGAGAGGATGGCGGCCGGCGAAAGAGGTGCGCAGCAGCTCTTACTAGCCATCAAGGCAAAGAACGTGCGTTCCGTGCGCTTCCTCGTTCCGACGGCGTTTCGCCGACAGTCCCGGCGACAACATTTCTGAGTAGAGGCAAGGGTGCAGAAGCGCCAGACTGACCATGATGTCATCTCATCCGTGGGAAGCCGCGTTTCTGTCAGCGATGAAGGACCCGGATGAAATCTTAACCGCCCTATTGGACTGGGATGGATTTCGCGACAAGTCCGACGGCGGGGATATTGTACCCCAATGGAACGATCGAGCCGAGAACTTTTTTGCTGAATGCCTTGAACAAGCCGCACGAGAAAATAGTCTTCCGGTTGTTCGAATGTTGCGAATAGGAACACCTGTTCCGGACCATACGCTCTATAGCTTGCTGGCGAAGTGCGAGCCAGTAACGCTGGAGGTTCTGTTGGACGAAGAATCACGAACACATTCGGACACCGACGAGGGCCACACCATGCCCGCGAATGCTACATATGGGAAGGACGCAGCAGCAGTCGCAGCAAGTAGGGTGTTACCCTCTCAAGGCCGCTGTTGACCCCGCCGTTCCTACCCCAGTGATTAAAAGGCCGCGATGGTGCCACCGGCACGAGACGTTGAATAATTCTGAATACGCTTTCTGTGAGTTCTGCCATGCCACGTGTAGGGCCTGTCTTTTCGATATGCTCGGGCGATGATGGGTTGCGGTGCGGCCATTATCGCACTGAGCTGAGCAATACGTGTTCCATCGATCCCCCATACGACCGCATTCTTTTGCCCTTCTCGTGGCTTGGGGTGGCTACATCAATGCCCGACAATGATCGAAGATCGAAGATCACTGCCGCTGTCGCAGCATTGCAGGAATATATAGCAGAAAATGGCCGAGAAGTATCTGGTGGATGGGTTTGAAGATCTGTCGGATTCGCTGCGTGTACAGCCTTTCGTGTGACTGCCCAGTCGAGGCCGTAATGAGCCGCGACAGCAGGAACAACCCGCATGGGCGAGGACATAAATTCAAACGTATGCCGTTATAAATCTAAAATAGGAAAACCAATGGATTGCATGAGATGTTCCGCTTGCATGAGATACCATGCTTTCTCATTCATGAGTTCCAAACATCAGGCCTCTGTGCGAGAGACGGCTCACACAGCAGTTCTGATCAAGGGACCACTCGCGCCCTTGTACGAGAACGGAAGGGAATAAGAAGGTGCACGGCTTGGTGAGTAACGCAATCATCAAGTACAGGTCTGATAAAGTATGCACCAACTCGAATTTTGCTCAAATCCTACACAGACGGGATGTACAAACCTTGGCCGCAGACCCTGACACCCAAAAACCCACTTGACACTACAACCAAGACGCCGCTGCCAAGTTGAATATGGTCAAAATTGTGATAAGCACGATCAACGGACTACCCAGGCCCGCTGCCTTGTCCCGAACAGTACATAATCAAGCCTAAGGTCAAGCAGGAGCGGTCAAGAAAAGTTACTTCCCGGGACGTTGTCACGCTCCCTTCGGGCATGGGCTTCAGAGTTACGGCTATATATAAGCGTATAGGACACGTAGTATACACTTAGGAGGTTTAGGAGGTGTTCAATCGGCAGCTTCTGCCGAGTTCATCACAGAATCTTCGAAGATGGTGGATATGGTGTGTCGTCAGCTTCCTGTGAAGGCTCGACTACGTAAACGGCAAATGCCCATGGGATCAGGGGTCTTAACTTCGCCAACATAACGGACGCGTCAAAGTTGCGTAAGCAAAACGCGTTCCCGAAATTTGCAGCGAGACCCTCGTTTTACGCTCGCTGTGGGCCACTTCGCAAGCCTGGCTTCCATTCCCCCTTCGCCCAGCAAACCGCCACGCCGTAAGCTACAGAAGCGAGAACACGGACAAACTTACATATGCACTCGGCCATCAGTAACTGCGAACCCTTGTTGTGAACTTCCTCGTCCTTCCATGTCTAATCAATGGGCTGCGCTCCGTTGTGATCAAAACGTCTTCTTGCCCCAAGCTGAACTATAAGGCTTTCTCGCATTCCTACTGTACTTGAGAAGAAAAGTTCTCCAAAAGCCGTGCTTTCTCCGTCGCGGCCTCTGATTGCAATCCAACACGTTCACGTTTTTGCCGATTTTTCTGTGTGCTGGCACCATTCTACCGACGAACCTCATAGGTAACAAGCTGTCAAGACCATAATTTCTCAGATCACTCCTAGCCATGGCCATGTTGGCTCCAGATCCAGCGTTGTCCGCGGCCGAAGCGCTGGTCAGTTTCCATTCAGCCCCGTTCATCGCATCCTCGCCACACCCGGTGGGCGAGCAGATTGGCCTCGCAACGGCCACTGCAGCTCAGCAACCTGGCCCTCGTGAAGACATGAAGCCAGTGACCGACAAGCACATCAATTGGGCCGCAACTCAGGCACTCCTCGCACGAGGCACTGCCGCTGCCTTCAGCCCACCTATCACGAGCAGACAGCGGGCGTTACTGAACGAGCGCATCATGAATTGGCAGGCATCGCTCCCACCCCCTGAAGCCATGCAAGCGATGGCCAAATCATTCCGTGAAGAAGAGGAAGCAATGCGCCTTGGCCTTGGCCTTGCGCCTGTTGACGCTCTCACCGAAGATATGGCTGGAAGGTTTACGAACTTGAGGAGCGACTTGATGGCTGTCGATGGCTCCACGGACTTGGACATGTACCTCTTATCGACTTACGACATCCATGCGCCATCATACAAAGAACCCGAAGAGCGTGCGCAGAAGGTTCGCAACGTCAGGGCTCGCAAGTATGGAGCTGCAGGCGGCTCGTCTGGACAAGCTGGACCATCGGCTCGAAAGAAAGTCGGACAGTCTATCAAACTCAAGCCTCTGAATGAGGTCAACTTGAAGAGAACCATCAAGCAGCAGAGAGAACATAATGTGGAGAGAGTGCCATTGCCGTCCATTCGAGCAATCCTGGCAGGAAAGTCACAAGGTCCCTCAACATCTGCATTCGAAAGTGCACAAGCAGGGGCCGCGCCAGCAGCAGGACCCAGTAGTACCCGCGCTGTCTCGCCAACGTCCGTTCAATCAGGCAGGCATGGCTCACGTTTCGACGCAGCTGCCGCCGCCCAGCCTTACCTCCCGCCTCCTTTGACCCATGGAAAGATCATTTCGGACGCTCCTAATGGTCGCATGCACCTACCGCGCGGACATCCTGGTCGCCTGGCGAACCCTCAACGACATGAACAGGATAATCTGGGCCAAGTATCCTCGACCAATGCAAAAACTCCCATGGCATATGACAACGATGATGATGATCTCATGGTGGTGTCAGCCTACACGCCGCCAACGGTTCAAGGCGCACGAAGCTCTCAACGACGTGGCAGTAACGGTGACTTTGAGTCTTCGCCACCTTCCAAGCGGATTGCCTTGCGCCACGGTCCTTCAACTGGCACCAGCCCACCTGATGTTGCACTTCCAGTCGATGACATCCTCCATAGGCAACAAAGTCACATTCATGAGCTACATCAACAGAACTTCTGGCTGCAACAGCAACTACTTGCTCAGACCCATGCGGCGGCAGCAGCAGCGGTCGTCATGTCGGGCGGAGTGCGTGTGCGCTCACCACATATGGACAGCCAATCTTGCTTGCCGATGATTCCGCACCCTCCGCCACGTATACCCTCCGTCTCAACCTCACCAGCATCAGCTCGACGCATGTCGTACAAAGGAAATGCCTACCTTCACAGGGACTATCACCATGCATATCCTCAGCACGTCCCATCATCTGCACATTTACATCGCCATAGGCAAATGCTGGCCAACCAGACCGCTGGGTTATCGACGTTGCACCGCAAAAAGCCGTACTCGGTCGCGTTAGACGGGGCTGCCGCTCAACAGCATAAGCAGGCGACACTTCGAGCGATTAGCGCAACTGGGGGAAGTGTCGCGCCACGTAGTCGCCCGAAAGACAAGAATTTGCGACTCGACGAGACCAACATGGCGGGTGCCGAAATGGGTGAGCGACTGGACGAAGCTACAGCAACGAGCCCACCTTTAGCTTCCTTCAGCAGCGAGCAGGCCCCCTCGCAAGACACGGGCTTGAACCCACCCTCGGCTTATGACCTGCACACCTCTCCCAGCTCTCAGCGCCCACACTTACTGCCCTCTCCAGCTTCGTCATGCAAGCCCCTGTCACCAAATCACGAATCTCAAGCGCAGACACATATGACGGTCCCGATGGAAAGCACATCGACCCATAATGAAATAACGAGGGTTGAGTAGGGTGGAAAGCTGGCACCGGTCGAGGACAAGAATTGAGATACTTACGGCAGTGCGCACGCGGCGGGAACCGCGGCGACATCATGAAGGAGGGGGCTTTTCAATAGGCAGGAAATACGTAAGCCCAGGGTCCTTACGTTGCTGGGGAAGTTGTTCAAACAACAGATGCTTGTAACATAAATCGATGCTCTTCGAGCTACTCAATATACGTACAAGCCATGTCTTTTTTTGGAATTTGGACTGACATGTTTCCGGATGTGAGAGAAGCATCCCATCATCCCATCCCCATCCCATGCGTCCACGTGACCCTACTACAGTTTATTGTTTCCTTCCCTACATGTCGGAGTACGCTGGACCTTGTTCTTCTCTTTTTAGTCTTCATCCTGAATGGAGCTTGATAAACGTTGACAATAGATACATCATAGAGCTTTCTCTTACATGGTAGCATCCACCAAAGGCAACAACACCGACCAACGAGCAGACCACCTACGTACGAGCCCATCGTTGTCCCAGCGCTTTGAGTTGATCAGTCGACCACGTTCCCACGCTATTCCGTGAGAACTTAGCACATTTCATAAGTAAACCCGGCGACACACGGAAACCCATCCATCCATCCCGTCCCGCCAACAATCCATCCATCCGACGACGATCGAACCATCTCCGCACGACCAATCACCTTCCCTACTGTTCTCCGACGCTACAGAATGACCAAACTCGGCAAGACAAGGTCCCGCACCGTTGTGGTACGTGGTGAAGCCTCCGACGGGCGCCAATTCGAACGTGTAGAAGAGGACGTCGAACGCACGGAGAGGTCTGGCCTCGACGAGGAAACAGATCTCAGCCGTGCAAACCAGGCGCACGAGGAAGCTATCCCGGAAGAGGACCAGGAAGTCCAGCCGGAGGAAGTCGAGATCGAGGGCCCTCCCACCCCGCCGGATGATCAGGCAGACGACTCCGACGATAATGACCCGGAACTGCCCACCCGCGCCGAACTCGCCCAACTGTCCAAGCGCCTCTTTCAGCAGAACCAAGAAATCATGGCCTTGCTCCGACGTCAGACCACGGACGCCAAGATCGCCGCGCAGCCAGTGCTCCCGCCCCGCCCGTATCCGAACCGCACCCTGCGCATCGACCCCCAGACCCAGCTTCCTTCGCCGGTCACCCCTGAATCCTTTATCATCCCCGAAACCGCCGTAGCTAAGGATCTGCGCAAGAGTCTACACCGCTACGACGGCACACGCGACATCGCTAAATGCAACCAATTCCTCGCTGCGTTCGAACGTTACTTCCGCGCCGCTCCTCCAATGACCGACGTCGGCAAGATCGAGATGGCTGCGGGCCGTCTAGACGGCCTCGCCGCCACATGGTTCGATCAGGTCGGCTGTCGCGTAGTCGTCACTTGGCAAGATTTCGCAGCGGCGGTCCGAACTCGTTTTGTCCCCAGCGGTGCAACTGATCAGGCCCGCGACGCTCTCGAGACCCTGAAGCAGTTAACCTCAGTGGACGCTTACTACAAGGAATTCCAGAAGCTCCACCTGTCCTGCCCCCAGGTCAGTGACGCGGACGCCGCCAGATACTTTATCCGCGGCCTCAAGGACAAGATTGCAGAGCACATTCTCGCCCAATCAAATGTCAAGACACTTTCCGTGGATGAGGTCTACGACATCGCCGACCGTCTCGACCGCGCTAGCTACCGCGCCTTCTTGGCCAAGAAAGCAAAACAAGACCAGGATCCCCGGAACCAAGCCAACCCCTTCGCTTCAAGTGGCACGCCGACCTCCAACTGGCCAGCGAAGCGCGCCTTTCCCCCTGGTGCGGCTGTTGCCCAGGCCGAAACAAAGAAGAGCCGCTTCGCCAATTGGCCGGCCGCGAAACTAGAACGGTTGACCCCTGAAGAGCGCGCCCGCTGCCTCCGAGAAGGACTATGCCTAAGGTGCCGTCAACACGGGCACGTCGGATACCTCTGCCCCAACATGCCGCCGCGCCCAGTCGCTGTTCAGAACCTCGAAACCTCGGATGTCCAAGACCACCACACGACCGAGGGCGATATGATCCATCCCGACCGCCAGATCCCGACGGGTTTTTAAAGCGTCCCAGAGCGACGGCCACGCTCTCGGGACCTAACCTTGGTCGACCCCCTGATTCGATCCCTGTGGGAAGCGGCGAAGCAACCACACCTAAGAAACGACGCCGTGTTCATTTCTTCGCCGACACAACACAATTCCAAAAACCTACCACACTATCCACCGCAAATCGTACTCCCCTCAAACCCAGGAAGGACCCAGCTCCAGTACAACCGATCCTGCACACGAAACGTTCCGTAGACCCTGCAGCATTCCGACATGCGCCTCTCCAATCCGTGTCCCTCCCTGTCTCCGACAGTGACCTTGATACCCCAATGGTGCTGAACTTGGCAAAACCTCTTTCCGTACTCCACGGTGACCACGACCCTAGCCCCATCGTCCACGATGGTGACCCCAGACCTAAGAGCCCGTCTCCAACGGTGACCCAGATACTCAGCCCGTTGGCCGCAACGGTGACCCGCGATCCCAGACCCCCCCGGAAACCCCCCAAACCCAATTCGACACAGACCCCACACTCAAAACTGCCCACCGACGCCACCGACCCCTCCCCGTTGTCCATTGCGAAAGACCCAAGCACATCGCAAGCTCTAGTCCACGTCCAACGAAAGCTGAAGGCCATCGGCGGCACGCTTGACGCCCGACAGGAACAAGCCCTCCTAGCGGAGCTCTGCGTACACTCTCACCGATGTCAGCCCGGGCCTCTCGTGACCGACGCTAGGCTTACAGTCCAAGCCACCATCCACGGCCACCACGCTACAGTCCTTCTCGATACCGGATGTTCCACCTACGTGATAAGCGATCAGTTCGTCCAACGCCATCGCCTCCGCCGCCGTGAATCCCATATCCAACTCGAATACGCGGCACGGGACTCCCGGGGCTCCTCATCCTCATACACCGTCACAGATATCACTATCAACGACTACGCCGAAAAACTCCCCTGGATTGTGGCCAATATCCGATACGACGCCATCATCGGCCTTCCATGGTTCTTGGCCTTCAGCCCCGCCTTCATCACAACCGGACCTCGTGTCTCGCTCGCCATCACCGATCCCGACACAAATGCCCGCCACCTCTTGCCCACCGACGCCCTGAATGACCTACCGCGCCGGCGCAAACCCTTCACCAGACCCCGGCCCCCCTTAGTCGCCCCGCTCACGACCGACGGGCACGACTCCGGATACGAGTCCGACGAGGTTCCCCTTTCGCACCACCAGGCCCGCCGCATGCTCCGCAAGGGAGGAGTCGTAGTCGGCGCCATTACCGTGAAGCCCATCAAGGATCCCGACAAGACCGACTTCGTAAAGAATCTTGACACAGTCCCGCGACAAGTCAGGGACATTGTCGCCAGTCATGAGGAAGTCTTCCGCATCAATGACCACGTCGTCCCCAACATCGAACACTCCATCCCGACCCAACCCGGCGCCAAACCCGCTTTCTCGCGCCTTCACCACATGGCACCGGCGGAGTTGGAGGAACTACAGCGCCGCATCACTATCCTGCTGCAGCGGGGGTGGATCAAGCCCTCCTCATCCCCCTGGGGAGCGGCCGTTCTGTTCGTAGCCAAGAAAGACGGGGGCCTCAGATTCTGTGTCGACTACCGGGCGCTCAACCGTGTAACCGTGCCCGATCGGACCCCGATTCCCCACCTCTCCGAGCTTCGCGACCGACTCTCGGGCGCCACCAAATTCACCACCATTGACATACTGGACGCCTACCACAAAATCGCCTTGCATCCGGCTGACATGCACAAGACCGCTTTCCGAACAAGATTTGGACACTTTGAGTGGACCGTCCTGCCCATGGGCCTCACCTCCGCGCCCGCGACATGGACCCGTTGCATGAACTCCATGTTCGCGGATCTCATCGACAAGGGCTTGATCATCTACATGGATGACCTGTTGATCTACACCCACGACGACGAAGAACATCGCAGACTCCTCCGCATCGTCCTCTCAAGACTGGCCGCCAACGGGTTATCCGCAAAGCTCCCCAAATGCAAGTTCTTTCAGCCTTCCGCACTTTTCTGTGGATTCCTCGTTTCCAAGGAGGGCCTCGCTCTTGACCCCGCGAAAACTCAGGCAGTGCGCGACTGGCCCACTCCCATCGACCGCGCCGATCTGCGAGCATTTTTAGGCTTCACCAACTACTTGGCCGGCAACGTGCACAACTACGCAACCCGGGCCCTACCCCTGACCAACCTCCTCAGTAAGACCGTACCCTACGTGTGGACCGCCGACGCCGCCGCGGCCTTCGCTGACCTCAAGACGGCGATCTCTACAAGCCCGGTGCTCCAGTGGTATGATGCGGCCCGCCCGATCTTCCTCCAGATCGACGCCAGCGGCTTTGCCCTTGGCGCGTGTCTGAGCCAACCACCGCCGGGGAAACACATCGACATCGTTCACGCTGACTGGAAGACGCTCCTCCCCGAGATGCGACCTGTTGCTTACTGGAGCCGCAAGCTTCTCCCATACCAAACCCGATACGGCGTCCACGAACGGGAGCTCCTAGGACTCGTGGAAGCGATCAAGGCCCTCTCCCCATACCTCCGGGGGCAGCGCTTCTACGCCCTTACCGACCACAAAGCCCTGACGTGGCTAGAAACCCAACCGCACATATCCCGCCGACAAGCCGCGTGGATCGAAACGCTGCAAGAGTACGACGTCAAGATCCAATATGTCCCTGGCGAGGCCAACACGCTCGCAGATCTGCTGTCCCGACGCGCCGACTACGCACCTAAGTGCTCCAAGTGTTCAAATATTGCCGCAATCTCGACCATCGTGACCACATCCACCGACTTACACGACATCGTGCGTGCGGCGCTACCCAAAGACCCTCTCGCGCACAGCATACGCGCCGCCCTCCAGCGACCTATAACCGCCCAAAGTCAGAAGGAGCGACGCTACACCGATGAAGACGGCCTCCTCTTCTACGAACACCGCCTATACGTACCAGATATCTCGCTCCGGCTACAACTGCTTCACGACGCTCATACCGCGGGCGCCGCCGGTCATCCCGGATGGTTTCGCACCTGGGAGAAACTGGTCCGACATTTCTACTGGCCACGAATGGAGCGCGCCGTAAAAGCCTACGTCAACGGATGCGACAGCTGTCTCCGCGCGAAGACCGGCCGACGTCGCCATGGACTACTCCAACCGCTACCCGTCCCAAACGCCCGTTGGTCGGATGTCACACTCGATTTCGCTTTCCTCCCCAAGGACGCCAAAGGCCGGGATCTTCTGATGATCGTAGTGGACCGCCTCACGAAACGGGTGCACTTGATTCCAACCCATCGCGAGGTCACGGCCGAGGAAATCGGAGAACTCTTCTGCGAACACATCATCAAATTGCACGGCATCCCATCCACTCTGGTAACCGACCGCGATACCAAGTTCACGGCCACCGTCTGGCGCACCATCTCCGAATACCTCGGCTTCGAGACAGCCATCGCGACCGCTGCCCATCAACAGACCGACGGACAGACAGAGCGGGCGATCCAGACGCTAAAGGACATGCTGGCAGCCACCCCCGATTTAACCGGTCGAAACTGGTCAAGGTACCTCGCGGCCCTCGAATTCGCCTACAATGACTCCATCAACGCCTCCACCGGAATGACGCCATTCGAGGCAGATCTCGGCTATCACCCGCAAACACCGCGCAGCATAGGCACAGAGACCAATCAGCCCGCCGAACAGACAGTATGGGCCAGCCGGATGGGCGACATTGTTGTTCTCCTCAAAGAGCGGCTCCGCGAAGCCCAAGACCGATTCGCCGCTTACGCCGACGCTCGCCGAGTTCCCCAGGATTCCCGCCTCGGCCCCGGCACGCATGTACTAGTGCACCGCAATGCCATCACCGTCCCCGAATATCGCAACCTGCCGAACGCCAATCTCAAGATCCTACCCCAATTTCTCGGTCCGTACCCGGTTGTCAAGCTCGGCCCTCAACCCAATACATACGAGGTCAAACTACCCCCAATCCTCGCCCGACAACATCCGGTATTTCACTGCGATGTCCTACGACTCTACACCGCAGAGAAACCCCCACTGTACACAGTCAGCGCGGACGGCCACCCATATGCGGAGATCTTACGGGAACGCAAGACATACGGGAGGATGCTTTACCTCGCTCGCCGATCAGGAGAACCCCCACACACCGCAGATTGGGTACCCCTCCACGCCGTCGCCAAATCCGTTGCCTTCATCGCATACCAGAATAACTGGCCGACCCGTACTACTGTCCACCAGCACGACCCCCTTCCACCGACCCCCACCGCCGACGACCCATCCACCGCAAGCGACCAACAATGAGACACCGGTCCTCTGCCGTCCCCACTTCCTCGGAAGTTTAGGCATCACCACCGTCACCCCGCGACGACAACCACCGAATCCTTCCTCCCCATTCCCATCCCATCCCCATCCCCGTCTTCTATGCTTCTCTGTAAAACTCTTCGAGTTTTAAGGGGGGTGTGAGAGAAGCATCCCATCATCCCATCCCCATCCCATGCGTCCACGTGACCCTACTACAGTTTATTGTTTCCTTCCCTACATGTCGGAGTACGCTGGACCTTGTTCTTCTCTTTTTAGTCTTCATCCTGAATGGAGCTTGATAAACGTTGACAATAGATACATCATAGAGCTTTCTCTTACACCGGAGCGGAGTTTGCCACTCGACGTCAAACGCCTGTGTTTCAGGCTTTCAGCCGATGCACGAGGGCACGCTCCCCTCTTGCCAAGAAGCAGCAGAAGTTACTGGTACTGTATGTACTGCATATGTAGCTTCTTCAAAACTCCTCCAGAGATCCATCGACCTTGTCCTGGTGTTGTCCCGACTTTTGGCCCAACCCAACGAAACCCTGCGCGGTAAATAGACTGGGAATGACCAACGGCGCTCGGGTCCATTTCCAAACAAAAACGTCCGCTGCCAAGTCCACCTCTCTAGCAGGACGAAGCCTTCAACCAGCAGCTGATGATGAGGGTTTTATAAGCGACTCGGAACTACAAGCCGACGTTAGCGGCCTCGTCTTTGTTTCCGACGAACAAGAAAATGCGGAAGACAGTGACTGGATGCGGTCGGTGCGAGACTCGTCGGCGTGGCTAGGGGAGCGACCTGAGTCTTACTACCCGAAAGACCCTCGCTTACCGTGGCATACCTGCTGGATTGACGATCATTGGATAGGCGGTTCCTCGGCGCCCGTGGAACGACAACACTACCCGGCTTTGCTAGAAGCAGGTGTGGGCTTGATTGTAAACTTAACAGAGTGCGCTGTGATTCCCAGCCCAGAGGGCACCGTCGAGGGCTCGATGCAATGTAGTAGCTGCAAACATGTTGCGGACGTACTCTCACCTGACTTGTTCGACGACATTCAACCCACGGACACCTTGGAAGTGTTGCACTTGCCCATGCCGGACGGATCCGTGCCTTCTGAAGAGCAACTCCGACTGTTTCTTACGCATGCTCAACGATTCATTCAGTCGGGGAAACGTGTCCTCGTCCACTGTCAGGCGGGAGTTGGCAGAACCGGCTGCATGCTGGCTGTGTATTTAATGGAAAAGTACTCCTGCACAGCGAAGAAAGCGTTGGAGCAGCTGAGATGGATACGACCGCAGAGCCTCCGGTGGCACCCGAAGGAGTGGGCGCTTGAGCCTTTTCGTCTGCATCACCACAACTCCTACGATCGGAACCTGTTGCAAGAGAGGTTCTTATGGCGGTACTGGAGGAGGCACATCGAAGGCCGCGAAGGAACACGGAACCCCGAAGACGTTCATCCGAATCGGATGTATTACGAGAGGAGCCAACCAATTTCATGCACGGCGGCATTTCCGATTCCGATTGAAAGTTTTGCGCATGTGTATCTGCCTGTGTCAGAAAGACCCATTACACCTATCGACCATTGGCCCATATCATCCTCGTTGACAGAGTCGCGGACCCCAACACCTTCCCCAACACCACCCTTTGTGGATTCGTCGTCGTCGGCGCTCTCAGTCCTAGATGGCATGGAAGGGTCCTCCAGCCGAACCGCCCGTTCAGACCCGATCGACTTTGATGGCGCCTTGCTCAAAACTTTACTAGACGCCGAATTGGACTCGCGAATGGCTGCCTTCGAAGCGAGATCTGTTTACCGAGAGATTCAAGAAGCGGAAGCGGAAGCGGAAGACACATCGGCATATTTGTGTTTTCCCTGTAGAGGAATCACTTCAGTTGGTCCCGCGCGCATAGGGCCACGCTCTATTGCTGGTGATAGCATCGAAGTCGATCTCGGCGACCTATTATATACGAAATCTCAGCTGGATTTGTCATTGTAACAAACCCGCTGAGGAGCGTGTAGTCATCTGACCATATTCTGTACCTAGTTCTCACGCTTTGAGAGTTTTGGAGGTTGTGTGCAGTTCAGTTTTGGAGATCGGTAGATTATAGCGTAGAATCGTATACTAGTTAACAGACGATCTATGTCCGCTGTTCAGATAATGTAGTATCGTAGAGGTTTGTTCTTTGATGTATCTTGGGCCTATTTTTGCTGAACACAATCAAGTTTTCTCGCAACCCAGTTTCAGATGTGTCGAGGTGCAGCTTTTGAAAATCCTTCAAGACGGACATACGCTACTCGATCGCTGACCTCGGGCCCTCCGGCGACGCGTGCTGCGACTGCCTGCTTCTGGCCTGCTTAGCTTGGCGGTAACCTGGGAGACACGTTCGGAATGGAGAGGCGTTCGAGGGGAAAAACTGCCGGGGGCGACGTTATTGAGCCAGTCATATGAATATTTTCCATGGACTGGCGAGCAGGCGCAGAGAGAAAGAGATGGTTCTATGAATGATTGCACTATTGACCAGTTGCAAAGTCTATGCGTCTATGATTCTATTTGAATGTGCCGACGTCCCAAGGATCTCAGACTACGCCGAGAACGCAGGCTGGAAAACGGCTACGGATATCGCACGTTCAATGTCATATCTCGTCCATCCAAAGTCCTCAAATGATTCCCACAACGTAAGCTGAAAACGGGTGAGAAAGAACCTTTTCAATAAGCATCGTGAAGAATGTCAGGCGGTGCCGCGCCGGGATGCCCTACCATTCCATGACTGGAGCTGCGGCAGTGAGCCTTCCACTCTTTCATAGCCATATGCCCCCGCGCCGAATTTCCTACGGGGCTCTGACTTTCCATCTTCAACCTCCTCATCGCTCGTCCCGTCCTCCCGTGTCTCGTTGTCCTGGTTCTCTTCCTCATCATCCTCATCTTGGTCCTCATCGTCAGCACACCGCAGTACCTCTCTCTCATTTGTGCTCTCCGCTAGCCAGACGTGCGTGGAGGCGAATCCGGCTTCGAGCATGGCTTCCCGCATCTCGATGATGCTGTATGCGCGGAAATCGTAGGTGAAGGCGCTTTTGTGCCAAGACCCTACGTAGCCGGGAACCATGTTAAGCATAAACCCGCTTCATCTCCCATAGGACTGAGAGCATACCATCATTGAATCTGAAATGGAGCTGGTTCAAGGGAACAAATGAGCCCAATCGGAGACTATTGGGACTTCCCACACACACGAGGACAGAGGCGTACTATGAGACTCACATGAACTTTGGAAAGGTTCGTCATTAAATCAAACGGCTTCTGTTCGAAATAATACTATCCGAAGAGGGAGGCGTTCAATTCTCAGGACACCACATCCATCATGTGTACAAGGACTTACAGTGAAATCCTTATATTGTCTCTCGAAAAGCCGGCCCCCGGTTCCACAAACGGTCGCACCCCCAAACAAATCAACTATCAACGTGCCGCCCGGCGCCAAGCTACTTCGACTATTACGGAGATAGTGTATCAAGTCCGTCCTTTTCTGGAAATAATCTACGCCGTAATTCAGAGCTGCAATGATATCGACCTTCGGTATCGCCAATGTCGCGGGGTCGGAAAGAACGTTGCCGACTGTCAGATTTACGCGCTCGCATTCCGGGCCACCTTCCTGGCCGAGTGTGATTGTTTTGCTGTATTGGATAACGTCTGGGTCAAGGTCGACGCCCCAGGCCTCTCTCTCTGCGTTGCCCTTGCACCACTCCCGACAAAGAACACCTGTACCACAGAAATCTTCCCGAAGGGTGGTAGGATGGTGTCGTGCGGCTTTACTTTCTGATCTTAGCTCGGTGTAGATGTTGATCAGGTTGTGCACTTCGGCGGTGGGGAGTTGGACCGAAGCCATCTGCGGGGAGAGTTGTTTGGTCCGCTGGGTGGCGGCGAGCCTACGGCGGCAGTTTGGCAGCGAGCTATGGCGCACTCACATAACAAGTATGACGGTCGATCGTCTCGCACATTGGGATACGTCCCGGGGCCCGAGTGCGTGCCAGCTTCTTCCGATCAGCCTGCTCCAACATACTGACTGTCACCCGTTCACCGTCCTGAAAGTTCGGAGAGGGCCCAACCCTGCTATCGGCCCGGCGACGACCGCCGGACTTCCTTCCGCTCTTTCTGCTATCATTCTGCTTCCAGACGTCAGAAGAGTCCTCAGACGCACCGTCGAGATACGCGGCCTTGACCCAGCGGTCTCTCCCGCCACCGCCAGCCTTGTGATCATCATGGCCTTTCCGATGCTTGTCCTTCTTGCCCATCGCTTTGGGATGAATTCCCAGGACGGATTTCTGGCCAAATTGCCACAAAGTCTCATTACTAATTAGTTAGGTGACACTTATTTAATTTGGGGTTCCGTGTGACGTGTCGCCTTCGATAAGAGGCCACCCTTATGATAGCAAGAAGTCGGCTAAAAGTGGGGCGATCATCATATCGGGAACCGGACGTCAAATCTCCTGTTGCCAAATCCAGCCCCGTCTAGTCACGGAACAGTGGCCAGCCAGTCAGTCACTTGCGCGGTTTGCGGGCCGGGATCAGCAAAGTCAGCGACTCCCCCTTATCCGTCTGCCAAGGGATCTTCCTGCGGATGTCACTTGATGGAAAGCGCTCCTATAACTGCCGACTGGCAGGTGGCCCATTCTGCCACTTACAAAAGCACATTCCCACCTACTCAAATCCCAAGTTTCCCAGCACTAACTATGCCAATCTACGAACCAGTTCCTCAGGCTGAAGAGCCCGTTATTACCGCCGCCAGCTCGAGCTCTGCGCCAGCAGCTGCTCAACCCGTCACTGCTCGTGACGGTGTGTTTCAAAACCTGAAGCCCAAGACCGACCCTTCGCCCGCTCCCGTTGGAAAGGCTTATGAGGAAATCGAGCCGCCGTCCTATGCCGACGTTGCTCACGACCGCGCACCAGCGTACTATGAGACCACGGTCATATCGAGCGGGATTCAGGACGATGGGGAGCTTCTCATCGATGGTGAGTCCGGTGGCACTTGTGGACACTTCAGCCGATACCTAGTTGTCTGACGGCCCCTCCTATTCTTCAGGCCTCCCTGTCGGTGACTTCCTATCATTCATCGTGAACATGCTTGTATCCATGTCCTTCGACTTCATTGGCTTTCTCTTGACCGCCATGCTGGCTACCTCGCACGCCGCTCGCGCCGGGTCACGGTGCGGTTTTGGAATCACACTCGTTCGTTATGGTGAGGACACAACGTCTCAACTCTCCTTCGTGGCGGAGCGCATTTCATTGACAGTCCCTACATCCAGGATTCTACATGAGGGCAAGAGAGGATGAGGTTCTAGACCAATATGACCAATATGACCCACAGGCATCCCCCGAGTCGATTGCGGAAGAAAAGGAGGAAACCCGGGCCGAAACGGAATGGATCTCATATCTGATGATTGTTATGGGCTTCTTTATCTTCATGGTAAATGTCGGCCGTTTCATCTCAGCCCTCTTCTCCAATTAACTCATCTGACCGATATCTCGATTCCATAGCGAGCAAATGCTGAGTACGTGCGCGCAAAGAGGATGCAAGCCGTAATACTGGCCTCTTCCGAAGTTACCCAAGTTTAGATTACGATGTTTTGTGAATCTTTTTGTTATATCCAAATTTTGATTGAATCAGTATCTGCTATCGTGAAACTCAACCTTGCACGTAGGCTCTGGAGAGAAACGGATTCCACGAAAATGTGAGATTGGTGATATTCTATCGCAACATGAGGAAACTGTGAACGGAACTATGAGGGAAAGTGATGCTATATGAAGTCTTCTACTGTACGCTACAATACGTCCTCTGAACGCCGCATATTCTTATACTGTATGTGATCCCTCGATCGCCAAACCAATGTACGAGAATGTTTTCCCAGTGGTACTACTGAGACTACTTACTCCGAGTCCACCAGAGTAATCCCGATTTCTTCTTCTTATTCACCTTTTCAGGCATCATCGTCACAGGAGGTCGGGAATCATAGTGACTCTGTCGTCTATGCTCCGATAGAGTATGCGTTGACGATGCGGCGAGACTAGCGGTCGACGGGGACGACAACGTCTGTGCGCTGGTATTTTTGTGATGCCACATGAGCCCGTTGCCGTTGCCCGCCGATTCTGGTCGGTACTGCTGGGTCGGCGCAGCTGGAGCAGCCTCTCGCACAGGTTCCGCGCCAGCGGTCGATCTGGCAGGTTCCACTCCATTCGGATCCCGCGATACAGACCGCCCGACTTTGGATCTCGACCGGAAAAGAGACCGGGTGAAGCGGCTTCGTCCCGACCGACCGTCGTCGCTTGGTACGCGGCTTATTGGCTCGCCGTTGGGGTGCAGATTGTCCGCTGGAGGCAGCAATGCACCAGTGCGAGCCCCATATGACTGATCGCGGCTTTGCAGATTGTCCACGCTCTGATGCCGCGAAATATTCGACAGATTCGAATCCGAGACATTAACGTGCGGGATGGCCAAGGTGGAAGAGAACGGCTGCAGTTCCCCGTTCGGCGGGCTGTTCGCCGGTATTCTGTACACGCTTGACGGGGCAGCGGGCAGAGGAGGCTGCCGCACAGATTCCGTGCTTCCCTTCTTTCCAAGCTCTGACTGCGTCACGCTCGAGGGTGGTCTGGGTAGTGGTTTCGGCTGCTTATTTTGGCTGTGCATCAGATCCTCGTACATCAACGTTGGCATGAAATCCGACATCTCCTTCGACGTCAGCGTGATGGGTCCGGACTTTCGGTTCCGCAGCCGTTTCGACGCCTTGAGTTCCTGCACACGCCTCTTAAAATCTGCCACTGTCTTTTCCAGTTCCATCACGCGAGACTCGGCTGCGTTGCATTGGCTTCTAGCTTTAACGACCTCGTATTCCATCTGCGCAATCTCATCCAGTTGCTTTTCGACCCGGCTTTCGAGCATGTTGACGCGGGAGTTGCGATTTGTCCCTGCGTTGTCTCCCTGCCCTTCCGCTCGGTGCTGATTCAGTTCCGCTTGCAAGTGAGCGACATGCGCATTCTGTTCCTCCAATTGCTGATCCGCAGCGGTGATGTGCACGGAAAGGATCTCTATCAAGCGCAACAGTTCCTGACGTTCGCCTTCGGAGGGGATGGCAGTCTCGCCCGTGCCGACGTTGCGGGTAGAGCTTTTGACGAGGTCAAGTACGGATTGGCTGTCTCCTTGATGCATGCCGTTCAGCTGTTGTTCTGGACGCATTGCTTCTGGAATCGTGCCCAGAGAATCGCGGCGACGCGGAGGAGTCCTTGTCAACGTGCTTCTGCTGCGTGCTTGCACTGCTGGCCGCTGCGCGGCAGCGGCGGCAGCAGTAGCGGCTTGCAATGACGTCCGCAATTCTTCTTCGGTTTTGCGGAGCTCTGCGATTGTTTCGTTGAGTTGCTTCACGACAGCCTCCACCTCTTCCTTATTGGCTACTTCCTTCGCCAGATTCTCCTTCAGCTCTTGAACAGCCTCAGGCTTAGGCAGTGTCTCAATGGTTTTCTTCAATTCGTCAACAGCCTCTGCAGTGGGCATTGCCTCGATCGTCTTCTTCAAGTCCTCAATCTCGATCTGCATCGTGTTGCGCTCGGAAACCACCTCCGCAATTTGGGCTCTATACATCTCGATCAGACCACCCTCATCGATCGACGGGACCCTTTCCGTCTTCTGCTGGAGGGCAGATCCCTTGGCAGCTTCGACTTCCGTCTTGAGGCCGGCAATCTCGGACTTATGCGCGTCCAGCTCTTCTCCGCGTCGTCGATGTGCTTCGCGCAGTTCGGCAAGTTCCGCGAGGATCAATTCAGTGCCTCTCAGCTTTTGCTCCAAGTCCGTCGCTCTAGACTTATGCAAGTCAAGGTCAGATCCCTGTTCCCCGAGTTTGTTTTGCAGCTCTGCGAGCTCAGCTTCCTGCTTCGCTCTCAAAGCAACAAGCTCAGCCTTGTGTGCGTCCTGTTCCGCTCCGCGTTGTTCATGCGATTCTCGCAAAGCTCCCAACTCCGCGAGAAGCCCTGCCGCCTCGCTGTGTTGTTGATTCAAACCAACTGCCCGGGATTTGTGCAACTCAAGCTCGGACCTCTGCTGTTCGTGGATGATCTTAAGCTCGGCAAGTTCAGTGACGGCGCGGTCGGCAGCTTCTTGTTTTGCCCTCAACTCGACGAGTTCAGTCTTGTGTGCGTCCAACTCAGCTGCCCGTTGTTCATGCGCTTCCCTCAACTGTGCAAGCTCGGCCAGAATCCCATCCACATCGTTCTGCTTCTTCCCGAGATCGATCGCTCGGGTCTTGTGCAAATCAATTTCGTATGCCTGATCCTCAAGTCTCCGCTCGGTCTCTGCAAGCTCAGCCTTCAAAGCAAAGATCGCAGCTTTATGCGCCTCCACATCAGCTTCGCGGTCGTCGTACTTGCTCCGTAGTTCTGCTAGCTCATCGATGGCTAGGTCCGCGTCCTTCTGCTTCTTCTCGAGTTCCACCGCGCGGGACTTGTGCAAATCAACTTCGGATGTCTGATCCTCGAGCCTCCGCTCGGTCTCTGCAAGCTCAGCCTTCACAGCTAAGATCGCAGCTTTATGCGCCTCCAACTCAGCTCCCCGGTCGGCGTACTTGCTTCGTAGTTCTGCGAGCTCAGCGACGGCCTGATCAGCGGCTTCCTGCTTGTCCCTCAGGATAGCGACCTCCGCCCTGTGCGTTTCCAAATCAACTCCGCATTCTCCATGCAATCGCTGCAACTCCGCAAGCTCAGCAACCAAAACTTCCTGCTCAGCTTTCAACCCCTCAACCTGAGCGTTACGCGCCTGCAGATCGGTCGCCGTCTGCAAAAGGACCGCCTTCATTTCCGCCAGGTGCGCCTCCACAGCCGCCTTCTGCGCCTCAGCCTCCTGCAACTTCTCCAAAGCCGATTGATGATGCGCCTCACTTTCGCTCAAACGCCCCATCAACGCCGTTGCGTGATGATCACGTTCCCGGAATTCTTGATCCAGCTCTCCTAATCGCTGCTTTGTTGATTGGTGCTCCTCCCCAGCTGCCTTCACAAGAAGCAGTTCTTCACGCAAGGCGTCGAGTTCACCCTCCTTGAGTTCCAGCTGGTGACGGACATCGGCAAGCACCTTGGCAGCCTCCTCCCCGTCCGCAGTGGCATTTTCAAGCTCGATGACTCTTGCTTTGAGGTAAGCATTGTCAGCCTCCAGATGCGGGACCTGGTCAGCAACTATAACGCGGGCGGTCAGCTCGCGGTGGATGATTTGCGCTTCATCGTGTTTGCCCTTCCAGTGCGAGAGCTCCACGTCCTTTTCACGGAGTGTATTCTGCAATGCCGCACGTTCAGCTGTAAGTGCTTGGATGTCCTTGTTTGATGCCGCAAGACTCGTCTCCAATGCAGCGATACGGTCCTGCAGCACGGCCTCTTGGGCGGAAGCCAGGTCCTGAATTTCCGTTAAACGAAGCCGGGCGGCGTCGAGGTCCGTCTTGTATTTATTCGCGGCGTCTTCGACATCCCGCTCGGACTTGGCGTGCAGTTCAGCAATGTCACCTTCCAGCTGCTCGATCAAGGCCAGGGCGCGTTTCAGCTCTTCGCGCTGCTTCACTTCCGCTTCTTCCGCGCTCGATTTCGCGTCGTGCCCTTGTGCGATCGCTGCGTTGAGTTCGGCTTGGAACTTCCTTTCGAGGTCAGCGACTTGGTCTGCTGCGCGGGAAGAGTGGTCTGACAATTCGCGCTCGTTTTCGCTGAGTTTGAGCATGAGGGTTTCAATTTCTGCCTTGTGCGTCGAGCGAGCGGCCGCGAAGAGTGCCTCGGCCTCTACAGCTCGTTGGAGTGCTGCCTCGGCGCTGGTTATACGGTCTTGATGCGCGGTGTCTAGCGCTCTCACCCGTTCCTCGTGCTCAGCGGCCATGGCGTGGGAACGGTCGCGCTCCGCAATCGCCTCCTCCAGGCTTTTCTGAGCCCCCGCCAGTTCGGCCTTCAAAGAGTTGACGTCGGCCTCCATTTTCATGCATCGTTTGGTTAAAGTGAGGTTCTCAGTCTCCAATGCCAGTTTATTCGCCTCGACATCTTTTGCGAACGACTGATCTGCCGCATGGCGATCACCAATCCTCCTTAAAACATCCGCAGAGGCCATATCTTCAATGTTGGCACCGAACAGAAGCTCCAGAGCCGTGCGGGTGGAGGCCACTTCGGTCTTGTGTTGATCGCGGTCTTGCTCAGCAGCCAAAGCTCGCCCTTCAATTGCCGAAAGCGAGGAGACGTGGTGTTGAACTTGCTGGCGCAAGCTGCTGATCTCGGCGTCCTTCTGTAGTACAGCGTCCTGCAATTCTTCGGCTTTCTTTGTCCGCTCGGCAAGCTCCGACGTATGGGTAGCCTTCAGGTTGTCAATGAGACGGTCTTTCTCGGTGAGAGCAAGGTCTGCATGGGTTAGCCTGGCGTTCAAGTCCTTTAAGCTTTGCTCTTTCAATGAGATTTCCTCAGTCAACCGTTGAATCTGGTCGGCCGCACCGTCATGTAGCCCCTTCCACTCCCGATGATTCGAATGGGCATCGATAAACCCATGATGCAGCGCTTCGACTTCCTTCTCAACCTTCTCCAGCTCATCATGCGCCTGCTTCAAAGCAGCCTGAGATCGCTTTCTCCTTTCCATCTCAGCCGCCAAAAGCTCCTTCAACTCCACCATCTCCTGTTCCTTTGCCTCCACGACCGTCCGCCCGTCCTTGCTCCGTTGCAGAAAGTCGGGCAGTCTCTGCGCGACGTCGTTCTCGTCAGCAACCTCCTCCTCAGGCGACTGCAGCTCAGCCGTTTTGAGCTCCTCTTCAAGCATTCGACTCCAACGGCGAGAGACGGACACTGGTGGTTCGTTGAGATGGGCGGTATCAATCGTCAGCGTCGGTTTGGTCTTTTCCCCGTCGGCGCCGCTTTCGGCAGCAGCTCCCTCGCTCGTCGGGTCGCCCAGCTCCTTCTCTAAGCGGTCCAACGTCTCGGTTATGTGGCCCTGTCGCTCAAATTGCGCTTCTAAACCAGCGATATAGTCCTCAGCTCCACTATTCAAAGTTTTGAATTCTGAGAGCTCCTTGTTTAATTGCTCAATAGATGCGTCTCGGGTACGCAGGACTGCCCGCAAGGCGTCGAGCTCAGCTTGATATGCCTTGGCGGCAAGGGCGGCTTGCCAGAGGTCATGTTGCAGTTTGGCGTCGTCGGGGCCTTGTGGGGACTGTGCTGGCAACATTGCTTTCGCTTCTGCAGCGGGGGCGGCGTACCGCAAATGCTCTTCTGTCAGGTTGGGAGAACCTGGGGAACTTGAGGAAACGGAACGAATGCTGGTTCGCTTTGGCCTTGGGAGTAGTGACGGAGCTGTCAGTGCCTGCTCACTGTTGTTTGGCGACGGTGGACCCGCCGGTGCCTCGCCGGGCAGCATCGATACTGACTATCGGCTGACGACTTGCTGGGGCTGTCGATAAGTAGGAATGGGTCAAGGAAATTGCCGGTCGGGGCCTTTTCTGCAGTCTTTCCGGTGCTTGAAGGAAGGTTTCTGCGTTCACTGCCGACTCCTTGCGAAACGATACAGAGATATCACGGACTACCGGACGCTGAAGTGGGTTATCAATCTGAGCTTGCTGTCAGCGAGTTGGTGTACGAATTGTCGCAATGGTGAGGTCAAGTTGTCAACCGTCGAGTTCAGGCTTTGTGGTGAAGCCGCAGACGAAAGTTTTTCCAAACGCCCACAAACGCACATGCGCCTGGCACTCCTGGCAGACGCAAAAGGCCCACAACCTCGCGGGCCACAAACGCGCGATGGACGGCCGGTTTCTGGCATAGCATCGCGGTATCGCTCATCGCCCATCGATGCTTTTTTGCTTAGTGCCCCTATTTTTGCGTATCGCACCGCCTGCAGCCGTTGATGAAGAGAGAAGGTATTTTCCGTCGCTGTCGCTATTGCTCGCCTCGCCGTCTTGGACTTAGCGAATGCTGTCGATGGCCGAATTGACTCATGGGAAACGTTCGAGATGGAACCGCGTTCGGGGATTACCTAAAGGGGATCCTCATCGAGAAGGCCAAGCGCTCGAGACAATATAAATTTTTCCATTGGGACAAATGGCATATCGTTGCGTTTATATACGTATGTGTGGGCGCTCTGCTTCACACAAATTTTGGCTGTCACTCACTCCTACTGCAATATGAGGAGAGGTTCGATCTTTTTAGAATCCCGCCCACACAATAAAAGGGAAGAGGAGAGAGACTTTGTAGCTCGAAAATAAGCTGATCGAAAACGTTGGAAGGGATGGAGACGGAAGTCAGAATCTTTACTGTTCCGCCGCGGTTGGAGATGCTGCCGTGTTGGGAGGCGTGGTTACAGGAAGGGGTTTCGCTTCACCCATCACTGCTCTTGCCATCAACGCGTCGTGAGCTTCTCGCAGGCTGGACTCCAGTGTAGCGATCCTCCGGTTGTACTCGGCTTCGCGTGCCGCGAATATGGCTCGCTCCTTTTCCACCACGGCCAACTGCGTTGCCATCGACGCATTCACGGATTCCAAGTGAAGAACTTGATTTTCCAATGTTTGCATTTTCACCGCCTTACGCTCCCTCGAGCGACGCGCTGCCTCTGTAATGGGAATGTGCGAGCGTCGATCAGACATCTGAAAACATGACCTCTACAACCGTCATGAGATCCGCACCTGTATTGCGACGTCGTTTGACCGCCATATCGTCGTCCCCATGATGGTTGTCCCCTCCCTCATTCGATGTCGTCTCTAATCCGTTTTGAGATGGTTGTCCATTGACGCCTGTAGGATCAGACCCGGGTGTATCATATGGCTTTGAGCGTCGGCGGGTGTTATTATTCTTCCGGACCGGTCCGGGGGTTGTATGTTGTTGATGTTGAGTGTTATCGTTGGGGACTAGCAATTGTCCGTACTGGATTGGGATAGAGGCTGGAAGTCCTCCTTCCAGCTTGTACGCAGTTTGTGGAACAGACATTGTCAGTTGATGAGGCGAGATGACGCGGGGAGGAGATCCTGCCGAAGCTATGGGCTCTGCTGCTAATTGTAGGACATTAGCGACCATCGCTATCAGTATACATGGAAATGAAATCTCCGATAGGACTCACCCTGCGCTGGGTTTCCGCTCTGATTATTGTTTAGGTACACGCCTGCGGCATATAAGACAGAAGGTCCATCTGGAAATATGATTTCGCCGTGCGGCCCACGTTGAACTTTCAAAAATTCCGCGGTTTGTTGGGCTAGGATATGCGAGGCAGCAGCAGCGGATGTCGCTGCCTGTGATGGTGTTGGTGGGAGAGAGTCTGCAGCCGAAAGGGCGTTCGGGTCTGTCGGTGCCGAGACAAGCGTGCGCGTACCTTCCGGGACGGAGGAAGTTGGAGCCGGGTGAGCAGCGGCGGCCCCGAGCGTGGCGTGCTGGGTTTCCATCGTGAATCTCGTTTGGCAGATAGAAATGGGTGGCGGAACGGTAAACCTTTTGCGCGAGAAAGGTCCCGTGGGCAAGATGTTACGAAAGCGACTACCGAACAGGAAAAATGCACACTGCTGGACGCAAGCGTATGGGGTGAGCTTTTCGTCAGATCTTTGCTGCGCTACCACTATGCGATGGAGCGCAGTTGTGAAAAAGCACGGCACCCGTACCTAGGTCTTGAGCACACTTAACCTCTCTATCTGATTCGAAGCGGCGCGCAAAGCGAACTGTTGCGGAAGTCGTTGAAGTGCACATGCACACTGGTGGGGGTGCGCCGCTCTCTGTTGGGCGAGGTGTTCCAGATGGTGACAGCGTCCTTCGCGAGAGAGGGGGGGTCTGCTGTGCGTAGCGTTGACGTGAGAGGGTTGGGGGTGACTCGCTGTGACTCGGTCGGTTGTGACTCCCTTATCTCCTCTTCACGCTCCTCTTCGCTGCCATTTAATTCAGCTTGGTCGCCACGTGACTTGGCAATTCCACAGGCGTCATTACATCGCTCATTCAGCGAGTGCCTTACTTTTGTCGCCGCAAACCTGATACCTAATTTCTTACGTTCCACCAGTTATCCGGAAGCGACTCATATACGCCTGCCTAGGATATCCATGTCAGCCGCAATCACTAGCGGCTAAGTGTGATTGGTTTATCTGGTGTATGTATTCCGTATGAAAACCCCCGTGCCGAAATCTTCGTCGAGAAATGTTCGGTCGGTTGTATGCGCGCTTTGGGTCCATTCGGAGATTTGTGGAAGTGCGTGGAGGATCGTGGAAGTCGTGGATCGCCGACAGCAATGGCCATACATCATTTTCTGCGGGGCAGACAATGCGTCGACACCTTCATGTTCACCCCACATTCAAGAAACTTCAGCCCAAGCGAGTGATACGGCACAGAACTCTAAAGGTATCATTCTCTCATGTTACAAAATCTCTACTGTCCCTCGCTTCCCGCCCCTTCCCCACTATACTCCCCCGGAGCTCCTCTGGTAAAATGCCTATCAGCCGCTCCATTTGCTTCTTGAGATTCGTGTACTGTGCTGGGGTGGGGACTACTCCGCCCATCACGTCGACGGGGCCGGGTGATTGTGGGGAGGGCGCCGCGGCGCATATGCTGGATGCCCAGCCGTCTGATCGTGCGGAGAGGTCGATGTGGGCTGGACCACGGCGCTTGGTGGAGACTGACGGGATGGAGTTGGATGCGGGAAGCGACGTGGTCGATGTTGTTGCTGGCATTGATGCTTCAGGACTCAATCTCTTCGTCCTCCTTGCGCCGGTCCCCTCACTACCACCAAATTCGAGATCTTGCTCCGGAAAGTAAGGCGCGTACTTCACCACCTCATCTCGTATCCGAAGCAGCAGATCCACACATTCAACATCCCCGCCGCTCCCTCTTCGGCCACTCAGTCCACCCCTCGTTGCAGCTTTCTGCAGCTTTGACCGTGCCCACGTCTCCACGTCCTCGTTGCAAAGAACTTCCAGGTAGCGCCGCCTCCAGTCTCTAAACACATCGGAGGTGCGGTGTTGAAGCCAGGCGGCAAAGTTCGGGGAAAGGAGGAAGCTCCGGTAGAGGTCGGCGATGGGTCGCTTTGGCGTGACGGGGAGATTCGGCGCACATTGCTCGATTGCCCGCAGGAAACTCTCCTGCTTAAAAGGTCTGATTTCGGGCCGGCTGCGGATATTCGTCAAATTCATTTGCAGTGGGTTGCCCACGATCAGCGATTCAAAGTGCCGGTTGAGCGGTTGGATAAACCGCTCGGTAAGCTCGATGAAATGCCGTCGTAGCATGTTGTTCAACAGGTGGACGGGCTTGCCCCGGATGGCAGCCTCCACCACCTCTTTCAGCAGCTTGCGGTCCTTACTCAGAAACGGTTTGTGTTTGCATGTGATGCTCTCGACGGTGGCCCCGGCACCTGCCCCCATTTGTTGTCCGCCATCACATGCGGCTGATATCGTTCGTTCTCGGCGTTTCTGGGAACTGTCGGCTTCCAGGTGGGTGGGACTTGGGGATCCTGTATTCCCGAACGGAAAGATGCTGGGTTTTTGCATCGGTGAGAAGAATGTGGGTGGTGGATGTCTTTGCATAGAACTTGATAGCGTGCCCCGCGGTGCCCTATTGTATGGAAATGGCAAAGCCATATCCGAATTGAGATCGACGCCCCACAATGAGACAAGAACGATTATGATGCAGGTACGTACGGACTCCCAGCGCTCGTCCCCGCTTTTCGGATATGATACGGCTTTGATGCATGAGGTGCATCTCCTTGTGGCGGATGAGAATGAGCAGCTGCTCTGACCACGTTTGGCCAGTGTTCCAACACCTTCGTAAACACTGGATTCGTAACGCCTATGACGGTTGCTATCGTAGGTAGCTGGGAATGATGGTTGAGTACACTGGACATACCTTAGCTTTTGACGGACGAAAAACAACATGACACCTACCCGTTGCCGATTCACGATGCTCCTGAAATCAGAATCTTGGATTGTGAAATATGGACGGAAGTCCCCGCCGAAAGGTATCTGCAGCGAGTACAATCAACACGCAAGCGGTGTGGCAGATCGGGCTTTCCATAACTTACTGGTTTGATAAGTTCCACCAAAGCCCATGCGATGCTACTGCAAGCCCCCGGGCTCTCGGCAATGACGAGTAACGACTGCCCAATCACCATGAGCTCCCAGCTGATCCACAGCAGCTCCAAAGACCCAGAAAAGAGCTCGTAGAAGCGGCCAGGTGTGCATACAATCGGGACGTCCGAGTTTGGTGGGCTCAATGATTGATCCTGCGGCTTCAGGGAAGTTCGCTGCGTTTCAAATAACTGAGCGAAGCAGGGATTGGGTGGGAATGAGAATTGTAAGGCTTGTCCCAGGAAGGGAAGGGTGAGGTTGATGGGGATGTATGAAGTCTCCGAGTCCAAGGACGAAGGTGGAGCTGGCCTGCGGATGCATCGGATTAGCCACTGGGTGTCTTCGAACACGGTCTCCGCCAATCCTTACCATGATGCCACGTTATAACAGGCCGTTTCCAGGATAGCCCTCGAAGCGGTGTACTTCGCAGACAGGTCCGAAGACGCGCCTGCAGTTCTATCTTCTATAAGAGCATCCATGTACACTGGTCCTAGCCGCGCAACAAGGTTCAAGAAGAGACCTGGCCACGGATGAGGCGACAGCACGACTAAGGATTTCTTGCAAGACATTGTATTGTGAATAAGATTAAAGACAACGTTGCTCACTATATCCCGGCTTCCTTCACCAACCTGGAAGTAGCCTCGCCGTATCTGGGCATCACGTTGTTGCCGGAAAAAGACATATCCATAGGTGAATCCGTCGGTATCTACAGGTAGGTTGGGGCCTACCGCCAGAGTGGAGGTGGTCGCCACCTTGTGTTGTACATATCCGCCGCTGGTCGGAGTCACCGGGTTCAAGGCCGAGGTGGCTGAAAGCGACTGCCTTCGATACAAATTGGTGGTGAAACTCTCACTTCGCATCCGAAATGAAAAGGTGTTGTCGCCCAGATGCGCCGATGAGTTTGAGTCCGGGAACGCGGAGAATGATATATTCTTCTTCTCCGCTTCTGAAAAGCCAACATGTGGGTATACGCATTCCAATGCCTGGCCCAACTCGAGGTCGAAATTGACCAAAGCGAAGCACAGAATCCACTGCAGATATCGGCGGATGTCCAATCTCGATAATTCCTGTTCCATTGTAGACGCAATGCCGGGCGACAGCATGGATTGCTGCAGTAACAGCGGATGTGGCTTTTGTGAGGCCAACGGTGCACTATCCGTCGACGGCAGCAGGGAAACACCTTGGTTCGACCACGATGCATCCGGCTGCACTCTCCCCACGCCCGGCAGACCACTCTCACCCTGCAGAGTAGCGGGAGGCACCCCTTGTTGCTCTACAGCATCTTGCCTCGCGCCTTCGAGGTCCTCCGATGCTGTACTATAGGATGACGCATCATCCCGCCCACTGCCCTCATCATCATCGTTCGCCGCCTCCGCTACCTCCGTCAAACTTCTGCGCGTTCCCTCCAGCAACGCGTCGACGGGCGACTGCACCTCCTTGCCCTCCTCAACTGTCGCCGCAGTACCAAAGAAAAGTATCCGATTCTCCGCAGTGGCTATAAGTGAAGGACGATGCGACGGCATGTGCGGCGGTGTTTTTGACCGTTTCACCTGATCGGCTGCAGGAGGAGCGGCCAGCCTCGTGAGGAGGGAAGCATTGTCGTCGGTGATGTCGCATGGTGCCGAGTCCGTGCGAACCATCGTACGGCGTCTTCCAAGGGTGGGTCGCACTGGTTCACCAACCAACCTGACGCTTTCCATTCCGTCGGCGTCGGGGAACCCCATTGGTCCTCAGCTCCACGGTTGAACTGTTGATATTCGTTTTCCCACTATAGTCCAGTGGACTTCCGATATAAGGCGGAGTTGACAGGTGCGGAAACCTGTCCCTACAGAACCGTCCTGGTAGTGAGAAAGTTCTCCAAAGGTTCAGAAATGTTGGTCCTGCGTTTGCTTTTGTAGAAGCGCTATTGAAGCCGAGCTGGTGTATGGTCGCGGTGGCGGTGATGGTGGTGATGGCTGGGATGGAGCACCAAACTGGCACAAAGGTCAAACGACAGCTGAGTCCTGACAGCTGGAGCAGTTGACGCTTTTGACCTTCAGTCTTTTCACTTTTGTGATGTGCGCAAGTGAACAGCAAAAAGTCACCAAGGATCTATTCCTCCCCCTCAGCACGGCTCCCGTCGGGCATCCGCCATCGCCATCGTCTTCGGCATCGTCGGCATCGCCGGCATCGCCATCGCCATCGCCATCGCCATCGTCTTAAGAGTGTCAATCCTGCGTTTTTGACGTCCACTTTTTCCCTCAAGGATACCGCATGACACACGGGCAGTTGAGAGAAGGTTTTCCGATGCTCGCCGACTCACGACAACCAACCGACCTCCGTTCCGAAGTATCCGCAACCCAAACAGAGCTATCACGATGTCTCACCCAGGTAAACCTCAAACTCCTCACACCCATGCACAAAAACGCACCTAACAACAACCCACCGTCCACGCAGATAACATCCCTAAACCCGCCAACCCGTCTCGCTGGCTTCGCTGCCCTGCGCCAGATCCTAGAAAGCGAGGAGGATGAGGAGGCGTTCAGGGAGACGCAGCGGGTTTCGGAGTGTGAAGGTATGTATGTTTCGTGAAGTGACAGGCAACCACCCAAAACTAACAGGTCTTTCTTGTTGTCGGTTTTAAGTGATGCAAACCCTTCTGACCCTTCTGCAAAAGCATCTGCCAAAGCATAGCCGTAGGTAGAACACTCTTTGTCCTGCCTCGCTTTGCACACACACTGATATCATTGACCACCCCAGACCCACCCCACCGCAACCACACGCCACAGAACCCCTCGCTCTCCCTGCTCGCCCTCGACATCCTCCAAGGCGTCGCCCTCCGAGACGCTGCGTCGAAGAGTGTGGTTGGGCGGGGCGGGATGGAGGTTCGTTGTCCGTCACATGCGTCCCATGTATGCGGTGTCGCCAATGCAAACTGGGTCTTTTTTCCCGATAGACGCTCGCGACCTATGCACTGAGCCACACCGACGCACTGACGGCAGCTGCGGCACTCGAGGCGATACAGTGTATCTTGGTCGACTCGTGCGTGAATCTGGAGGTACGTACCCCACGCCCCTTTCTCACCCGCCAGTTCGGCTTGGCTGACTGGAATGCCCTCTCTGTGGGGTTTTCCATCGCACATGAAAAAGATATTCGATACATCCCCGCACCTCCTCGCCATCTGCGCCCTGCTCAAACAAGCCGAGGTGCCTTTCCTCGTCAAGTAACGTCCATCCTTTCCCGTCCCTCTTTCCCAAAACACTTCCCCCTAACAAACCCATCTCATAATGCATCTAGACGTAAATGCATCGAACTCCTCACCATCTATCTGTCCGCACCCCCGACAACAGAAGACACGCGCAACGACTCAGACCGACAGGAACGATGGGTGGGGAAGCAGGGGGAGAGACAGGCGAGGGTGGCACGGGTGTTGGGGCAGGGGTTTGTGAGGCGGTTGGGGGGCGGGGTGGGCTGAGTTCGGTGCGACAAGTCGGGACATTGGGGAAAGTGGAGCGGGATGAATTTTTGGGATGACTCTTTTTTTACATTTGGTAAGAAAGGCAGCAGAAAAAAGTATGATGTTGGCGACGGGGGGAAACAAATAACCCGTCAGGTTATGCAGGGTATCTGCGATTGCATGATAGCTTGAGGGATCACGGACGCAAAGAGTGGGGGAGGATCAATGTATATTCCTATGCGCTGTTGGGTCGAATAGCTATGAACTAGATTTCCAATGCTTCGGGGATCGACCTAATCAGAATCCAGAGGAGGAGGACATGTCGACCAGTTGACGGGCATCGATCCCGAGTCCGAGCGCGTTGAGGAACAAGTTGACATTCGCAAGGGATTTAGGGTCATCGGTGCGGCGAGCTGTTTCCAGAACCTTGTCCCTGAATTATGGCGAATGTAAGGCTCCTGCACGGAGATGCATTTTCCAACGACGGGAAACCCACCTGACTTCCGTCAAAAGAACTCTCTGGTGATCAACGGTAGTTGCGCCTACCGCGAGTGCAGCGAGGAACTGCCACACATACACATCTCCAGCATAGATGTTGCTGCTGTTATTACCGTTGCTGAATGAGTTCGATGCGTTGCTGACGGAGGACGGGAAGAGGTTCGCAAAGCTGTTGTGCAGGGACGCGAAGAGGAAGTTGTATATTTCCGTCCTGTGATGGGAAGGGAGCGGGGTTAGAAATGATATTATCAACAACGATTGCTTTGTGGGCAACGTACCACATGCTCAACTCCTGCTCAGCGACTTGGAATCCTTGCGGTCCGCCCGCGCCTTGCTTGACCATCTCGGCACGACTCAAAAACATCGTCAAGAATGCCAGTCCAGGCTTCGTCTTTGCAACCCACACCATGTTGTGACGCTCCAGTATGATCCGCATGCAAGCGTTAACGACAAAGAGCGGGAGGTCCATGACGATCGTAACAACGGTGGGAACGACATTGCCCATGAAGAGCTCGAGATCGTCCGGGGTGTAATTTGGCTTACAGACGTCGAGCGATTCGAGACGGGCCAAGATGGTCGTGATCACTGCAAGAGCATGTTCGCGAGGAAGGAAACGGAACACTCGTGGAAACACTTTTTTGCCCTTGGCGTACGACAAGAAGGCCGCTAACGGGTGTGGATAGTTGAGTGGAACGGGCTCCGCGACTCCAAGAATTCGCCATAGCCCATTGGTCAGGTTGCTGATTTTGGCGTGGTATGCCTCAGTCTCTTCCTCAACATTTTCGCCATCGGTTGGCGGTCCTTGGCGCTTGAGGACTTCAAGCTCCAACACGTCAGAATATGCCTTCTCAATTTGCTTGAGAACTTGTTTGGGCGTGTGGTGCGCAGATTTTGGCGCAGGGTTGGCGTCCTATGTGTCAACAGTGTGAGGACCAGGCTTATAATCTTTCAATGCGGAGCCACATACCTTGTTCTCCTTTCCTGCACTATCAACTTGCAAAATCTGACGCGGATTCCGCACGGAACTCAGTGCGATTTTGCCAAGCGCGCCCTCAAGCGACACTGAAGAAGTTGTGTTGCCATTCGTGAGTTTGAGCTTCCTCAATGTAAAAAAGCTTGGAGCACAGCTTACATGAATTGCCCTTGGCCTTTTGCTTCCTTCCCTCGATGAGACGCTGCATCTGCTGCTGCATCTTGTTGGTAGCATTGGATCCCGGCGCACGAGTTTGGTCCATCAACAGCGACTGCTGCCAGTTCAAGCCCCCTTTCGCTGATTTGCCAGCATTGGCAGATGTAGCGTCGGCATCCTCTTGATTCTGGTTAGCGGAGGTCAAAGACTTGTACACGATGTAGTAGAAATCATCTCGGTATGGGTTGTCGGTGACCAGTTGCGAGATTTGAATCTTGGCGATCAACTCTTTCTCACGCTGGGTCATTGTGCCACGGTACTTCTCCTGATGTTCCGAGCGAATACAGTACATTACGTGAGAAAAGGTATCTCTATCGCACCAGGAAAGGAGGCTTCGTTACACGCACCTCACGAGTACGGATGTCAGGTCTTCGGTCAACGAACTGTCCTCGCTGCTGCTGCTGATCATATCTTCCATACCCCTGCTGATTGAACTGCTGCTGCTGTTGATGTTGATGCTGGTGCTGTGGACTGCCCATCGGTCCTCGTTGCTGAGGAGGCAGGAAATGACCAAGCTGCATAGGGGATCGCTGTTGTTGTTGTCCACGATTCTCATTGTCGACATATTGAAACTGTCGCTCACGCTGCTGCTGTTGAAGCTGTTGCTGCTGTTGTTGGATTTGCTGAGGACTGTTGTTGCGATTTGGGGGTTGTTGTTGATAAACATTACTCATTGGCAACCTGCCATCAGGGTGTGCCTGCCGTTCGGCCAACGGTTGACCATATTGCTGCTGCTGACGATACTGCGGCCCCTGTTGGGGGATCGGATACGCCGGCCCTTGTTGAGGGCGAGCACCACCTTCTCGCTGGGCACGCATGAGAGCTTCAATCTCCTCTACGCTTCTCAGGCGGGGATCCATTTGAGGTTGAGCGTATCCCTGAAGCCTTGCGTTATCCAATGCTCCACCACCCATTTGAGGCCCCGGACCACCCTGCATGTGTGGTGGAACGTCTGGCCTTGCGCTGAGACGCTGCCTTCGCATCTGTGCCTCCAACTCCTCCAACGTTACCGGTCGAGCCACTGTCCCATAATGCGATGAGGGATGGGGCTGCGTCTGGACGTGATGCTGCTGTTGGTCTTTCGGGGCAAATAACACGGAGGTGTCAGTGACGACGCTGATATTGTAAAGCAGTATTGTATCGGTTCGCCATACCGCGACTCGGGCCAGCATTGTTCTCTTTTCCCCAAATCTCCGCTAGGCTTTCCCTGTTCTGGAAGGTACCTCAGTTAGCATTTCCTTCAACAGCACATTCAGAGAACCAAACCTACCAGCTCAGACGGTCTTCGCGGGACTTCATCGGGCATATCGTTCGAATACAGCTGATGACTTGAATCATGATATGCGCCATGCACAGGTTGTTGTCTCTCAGACGGCCGTCCTGCAGTTAAGAACGGATTGAGTCGTTATCGCGCTATATCTCTTCAGAAGGACTAGGATCACACACGTTGCTCCATCGGGAATGCGCCCTCGCTGCGCAAAGCGCCTCCTGCCGCGAAATCGAAGTCTTGGCCTGCAAGGGTGTCAAAGACGCCTCGTTAGTAGGAGCGGACACGGGAAAGCCAGTACGGTCAGGGGAGGATGCAATGCAACAACTCACCAACGTTCTCCACCGCGGCACTACCACCGAACGTCTCATCGTTCAAAGACTCGTTGTCGTCTTCTAGGCCTTGCAAGGCCGTATCCCCTTCTAACCCTACATCGGCTGGATCTCCGTAGGCATACTTCTGTTCCATCAGCTCGTCCACTCGCGATGCATTCCCATCCGTCAGGGGGTTGCCGCTGACATCATCTTCTAAGCTCCCACCGAGCTCGTCCCCAAAAGTATCGTCATTCGTATATGCTGATGGCTGCTGCTGCTGGCGTCGTCCAGTGTCCCGGCCGGGAAGAGCCGTATTGAAGCCAAAGAAGGAGGCCATGTTTGAGCACGGTGGCAGTCTCGTCTCAAAGCGAATCTGCTTCGGGTTTCACACCGTTTGGAAGCGGTGGGCACGAACAAGTGAGGCCAGTCGCAGAAAGTAAATTGATACTACTAACTTTCACTGCGGTTTGTTAGAAGCGGAGCGGAAGATGTCGAAGCATTTGGGGGCGGGGAAACAGTGCAACAGTCTTCTCGCTCCACATCCTCAGATCCGTTCGTTACATGTTATGAAACGTTTTTTTGCTCAGGACGTTTTGTTACAAACAGCTCGGCGTCTCATGCGGGTCAGATGTGGGTCAGATGTCGGTTGGGCAATGTGGACCAGCACAGCGCAGAGTATCGCAGCGAGATAGGCCTCTGTGCATGTATACAGTACTGTACAGTAGAAGCACAGACTAGTCATAGTAGTACCGCCCGGCAAAGCAAGCCTCAAGGACAACCATCATGAAGCTGTACTATTCGCCCACGTCCCCTTATGTCAGGAAGGTGGTCATCCTCATCCACGAGCTGGGCCTGCAAGATCAAGTAGCCATCCAGCGAGTGTCCATCATAGGACCGGTTCCAGGCGGAGGCCCCGATACACCGCTAGTTCGGTCTTCAAATCCGTTGTCGAAGGTCCCCGTCTTGCTCCTTCCCGATTCCACCGCGCTGTTCGATAGTCGGGTGAGTGGTGTAGCACATGCTCTGCAACCGTTGCGCCCGCCCTGCTGCTTGACTTGTTTCCGGAAATAGGTCATCTGCGAATACTTGAACTCCGTTGCCAACGGTGGATTCTTTCCTCCTAATGGCCCCAAGCGTTGGTCCGCTCTGACGCTGCAGGCCCTTGCCGATGGGATTATGGACGCATCAGTTCTGGTCGCTATCGAAAACAGGACGACTATCCGGCCGGCTGAAAAGTAGGGAGAACGTGGTATCTCTCTCGTCGCTCGAGTGTTTATACTCAGCATAGCGCACTCAATGAATCTTTCCATGATGGTGTTTTCGCAGGTTTCATCAGCCCTGGGTGGACACGCAGAAAGGCAAGATCATAGTAGCGTTGGACTCACTCGAATCATCCGTCGCAAAGCTTGGATCAGCCGATGGGGAGCTCACCATCGGGGAGGTAGCGGTCCTGTGCGCGTTGGAGTATTTGGACTTGCGGGTTCCTGACGTCGAGTGGCGAAAAGGGAGGGAAGGTTTGGCGGCATGGGCGGAGGCCGTTGGTAAGCGTCCCGCGATGGTCCTCTCTAGGCCACCTTCAGAGTGAGATGTCACGTTTGGGATGACGAGGTAGATATCTGTAGGTGCCTTCAGAGTTGAGCGCTGGCGTTTTCTTTTTGCCAGTCGGAGAGCATCCAAGAGTTCCCGCGTCTTCCTGCGTCAACAAGGGTGCCGAGGCACTGCATACAAACGTCAGATAGCACCATAGATACGCTCAAAACCGTCCTGTTCATCATCTAGTCAAAATTGATACAAGCACAAAAAGATACAAAATAAATAAAGTAGGTATCGCTGGAAGCAATAACCGGGCGAGGCCTAGGTGGTCTCTGCCTCTAGATATGTAACAGCGTGAAGACCACTGGCGCGACCTCCACGGCGATCCATCCGATTCCGCAGTATACAATCAGCTTGGATGCAATGTCGACGTCGTAGCGCGGAAGCCTGAATCGCATGGCTTCGGTTTGTGAAAGGTGTAATAGGGAAGGTGCAAAGCTGACGTGCTCCGACGGGATGGAGTTGTAGTCCCTGGAAAGTCAAAGACAGGAGATGTCAGGTTCAGTGTGTGATGAAGTGTGGATGCCATTGCTCCATCCGTATCGTACTTGTCTGCAAGAGAAAAGAACTTTCTTCCAAAAGGAAGGGCTAGGAGTCGATATAGGGGCGGTAAGATCTTGTAGCATATCCGCTTTGTGACGACTCGCCATACAACGATCAGCCCTATGCCTGTCGAAACGAGTCCAGACATCAGTACAAGGATCCGATGTGCGAGGACCAACACAACGCACAAGGGAGCTTACCGCAAGTCAGGCGTTCCAGAACGAGCAGGACCACATGTGAGTTTGGCGTTGGAGGGGGAACGGGGTTGTACATCGACCAGTGCCAGTTTCCGATCAAGAGGCCTCCGAGGGTGCCGACAAAGGCAACAGAGTCGTCGAAACAGGGACATGGGCCCTCAGGATCCGGGTGAATGCTTATCAGGATGACACAGAGTGGAACTACCGCCAGAGGAACTACGATGAACGGAACGTTAGTTCTTCATGGCGAAAGATATACCTGGACAGCAAGTGCCTACCCGTCCAGCTTGTCATCAGCCATTCCTCCATAGGCTCCACAATCCACCACCAATGCACCAACACAAGTCCCACGCCAATGATCGCCCCACCCACGATATCCACCACCGTGTGCATGCCAGTCAGCAATCTCGAAAGTGCGATCAGCGCTGCGTAGGTTGCCAATGCGTAATATACAAATGTCTGTCCAGATTCGGACCAGCCGTCGGCGATATATCTATGGAAGTGAAGCGCTGTATAAAGCGATAACGAGACTGCGTTGGCGGTGTGCGTGGATGGGAAACCGTATTCCACATCGATCGAGGCTGATGTGGATAACCGGATCACCGGAGGAGCCAAAGGGCGAGGGAGACCCAGCCAGTCCTATTGGGAAGTTATTGTGTCTAAGTCAAGATGTGTTGTCCCAGCGACGCAATTGCCTGTGTACGCACCTTCATCGCTCCAGATACGTAAACCCCTGCAGCCAGGAGGACAACCAGAGACCGTCCATAGACCCTGTTCACGTCCACACTTTGTCCATGTATCTCCAGAGTGTTCCCGCTTTCGAACCAAAACAAGCAAGGCAGACCGAGCAAGAAGGCGGTGTGGGTGCCCAGAGCTCCCAAGTACTTGAAAAAGGCATCGACGGGACGGCAGCGGATTTTCGCTTGCAACGCTGCAATAACGTGTGTTTCCCACAGAATGCACGGCAAGAGGACATTCCGTATGGCCGTTTTGAGCTTGCCATGAGAGACACCTCCCGATACCGAGTTCAAGGGGTCCGTCGCATGAGCAGCCGGACTGGTGTTGTACGGAGGCTTTGGCTCTTCCAGACGTTGGCTTGACCTATCTGTCACCCCTGATCTCTGGGACGGCGGAGAGCTTTTATTGGCTTTGTGTCGCTGTTTGAGGTCCATGACTGCAGACTTCTAAGCTGGAGGCGGGGGGCGCCAACCACGGAGGAACCGAGCAAGCGTCCACCGTAGTTCTCAGGAGGGAGCTTGCCGACAGGCCGTGGCCGAAGCATGCAATGCAAATTCAAATACTCCTCTCAGTCTCCACCGACGCACTGGCGGAAAGAGGGCTTGAGGGCTTGGAGGCATAAGCCCACATAAGGGACTTACTGCGCCGCTATTAATTAATCGTGGACACCGTCTCGTCTCTCCCCTCACTGACCAGACTGACGCAGAGACGCCCAGAGCTTCATCCAACCACTCAACAGCAGCTTTGCCCATATTGGGTTCAATCTTCTTCCAAGAACTTGCGGGTAGAAAGCTCGAACAAGGGTGTGCTCTGATTGTCTCGCGTCTTGGGTTCCCGTTCTCGTTCCAGAGCCTCCTCGTAGTTGTTTGACTAGAGCAGCGGCGGACGGGCCATCCTAGACATCAACTTCACCTATCCGACCCCTAACCAAGCGCCCGCGGGCTGGTGCGCAAACCGCTAGCAAATTGGAAAGATGTATCACGGGAAACGCAGGCGGCGATGCAGGAGCATGAAGCCATCGTGTTATCACCACCACACCTGAGCAGCGGAGTCCCCAGCACCTGGGCCCGTATTTCGGGAAGCCGGGTTAGGAGTAGATGCGCTTAATGATCAAGTTCGTCATTCAGTGCAATGTCTGTTGTATAATACCAAATACAAAAGGAGATGAATGATAAACCAGCTATACTTTTAGTATCTCCAACTTTCAAATGCTTATAAGGAAACTACAGCTCAAGCCGACGCCGACATCTGCTGGGAGCTCTGCGCCTTCTTCCAGTCCATTTCCGCTACGTCCTGGGCCACATATTGTGTTTTCAGTTCCTCTACCTCTCGTGCCAAGATGCGGCTCTGCGTCGCTGCCCTGTCCGCCAACTGTGACAGATGATGAAAAAGAAAAAGATTTGAATTTAGTGCTTTGCACGCGCAACCGCGTAACTAGGAGACGCATACCTCGTCCGCCAACTCTCGGTTCCTTGGTGTCAATTGATCCTTAAGCATGTTGACCCGGCTGCTGGCCTCGGTCATGGCGCGGAGAACGACGCCGAGCTGGTTGGGAAGCCATGTGACGATGGGCGAGCCCCCGGTTGCGATGGGGTGCTTGGTGTTCTTGAGGATGTACGTTTTGGTGAAGCTGGGGGTGAGAGGCGGGGAGACAATCAGTTCCACGGCTCATCAGATTGGGGAAAAGCAAAAGGTATGCAACTCACTTCCAATGACGGGCACGGAAATCACGAAGTTGGTCCAGGAGACTTAAGTAGAGAACTATACGGAGGCAAAAGGGTTCGGACCTATTCGCTTCACTCCGAAAGGGATGACTGTTCACATACCGGCCGAGTTGGCATCCTCCAGTGCGTATCCCTTGACGTTTACCTCTTTCGCCTTTGATTCAAGCCAACTGAGCCACATGGTGTGGTTCTCAGGCCTGTAGCTCCTGAAATCCCGCAGGATGTCCGTCAGGGCGTTCTGGGGCATGTTTTCGGTGACCATGAGGAAGTTGTCCAACGAAGGAACAATACTATCATTTGCGCCGCTCTCCCCTCGGTAGAAGGTAGGGGTCTCTGATACGCCCTCGTAGACCACGCCCTCGGGGAACATCGGCTATTTCAGTAGAAATTGAACGTAAATAACGGAATCTCTGTTATGTGGACCGGTCTGACGACTCTGCTAACGTACCTGGTTCTTCGTACCCATGATGAAGGTTCTGAACTTTGTATAGTCAGCGGGTGAGCTCCGGAGCCACATCGTTTCCATCTCTCCATTGATCTTGGACATAGTCATGTTGAGTTTATGGAGATGCTCGTTGAAACTCGTGCGGTCGTTGCTGGGGATTGCATTCAGCGCTCCAAGAGTGTGTCGGACCTGCGAGCCACTATGCGCAACCATTGCAACGTGGACCAAAATGAAACCGTGCTCGGAAGGCATACCCGAGAAGCCCCGAATCAGCGCAAGGTTGTCGTACTCGAGGCTCTTCGATGGGTCCACCCGCTTGTAGTTGTAGAGGGAATACGAGGTGGCATATTCCATGAATGGCTTCATGTGCAGCTTTGCCGCAACCTGCGTCATCGGAACCGCGATCGACTTTGGCAGGCGCGACCGGCCCAAGCCGTAATCTTGCTTCTTCCGGTAGAAGATGTCGCAGGGCTCCAAAAGATAGGCGCTGGCGAGGAATGTGTAATCGCGGAAAAGAGCATGAAGTAAGCGTGGGTCCTGAATGTTGCTCACATCGTATAACGGGAGTTCATTTTCTACTGCGGCGCCAAGCTGTCCTGTGGCGAGGAGGCCAGGCTGTTTGGTATCGGTTCGAGTCAAGGGCATGCGGTTTAGAAGATCTTCCAGCTTTTCGAATTCCGCAGGAAGCTTCTTGATGGGGTCGTTAATGGGCAGGAATCCATTTTCAGCTGTGATAATGAACTCCGATGGCGCGGAAGACGTTGGAAAGCCGCCGATGGGTGCTGCTCGGCCGGTGGCACTCTGGACCGTGGCGAGGCAACGGATGAGGTTCGGCCGCCTCAATGGCTGGGCCATAGAGCACAGAGCCGAACAGCGGCGAGCGAGAAGCATGCTGAATAGAGTGAGTGGGAGTGCAAATAAGCGATGATGTGTTGGACAAGCGCTGGACAAAATATGAGGAGCGGCGAATGTCTAAGTTGGGAGAAAGGGCATGCGGGTCCAGTCCGTCCTCATATATTTACGATCCCCAAGTCTGTTTTTTTCGAACTGGGATCCGTTACTGATGCGTTTATGCCCTTTGGGCCGCCTACAAGCGAGGTCACTTGGTCAACAATGATCACGACTGTTTGGTTATTTTCGGACTTGTTCCATGTCCACAGCACATATCAGATGGCCACATGAAAAAAAAAGGAGGGCTGGCGTTCGGCGATAGTAGCCCCTAGATCTCGCCACTGAGCAGATTCCAGAACTGTGATATTACTGTATTACTGTTCCCCACTCCACTTACCCCACAGCATGTCACGCTCTTGTGGCATCGGACGCGTCGACGCGTGACCGGCCAAACAAAGCCCAAGTCCGAACTTCCAAAGCCGCTCACACAGAAAAAAAAGATGCCTCCGTCATTTGATGATCGGCGGTGTTGGAGGCCCAATAAATCAAGCTGAAAGTCACCCGAGACTCCGAGACAACCTGAAGGGCAGCTGACGATCTGCACACTATTGCGGCCAGCCATGGCATTCAGTCTCAGCCATGGCATTTCTTTTGTGTTTGGCTGGATTGGTGCTACTCCAAAAGTGCTGCTCCGACAGCCATGGCATCTGCTTATAGATATTAGGCTGGCAGCCATGGCGTTGGCCCTGATTGCGTGCTCCTGAGAATTCGTCAATTCTGATATCAATTGCAGTTGCGTTGGGCAATTGTGAGAAGTACCCTGTACCCTGTGCGATCTGGAACAAGCAGAAGTCCATCTTTGACGGCGATCGGCCGGATGCTATGAACATTTCAGGAGGAAGAAGGCGGCGCAACTCCGTACTGCTTACCACGTTTCAGTGTCCAGACTACCTGCCGGGTGCTCTGGCAGACCAACTCCATAAACACCAACCAGCACCATACCACCCGCAGCCATCATTGACTCGACAGCCATCATTGGAGGAAATGTATTGCCCCGCAGCAGAGGATGAAAGCGGTAGCAATAGAGGTGATTAGCCTATTAGATCTAGAGTAATTCATTCGCAGGTGCAATAGTGATCCATTGGAATATTGCTCGTGTGTGTATCATAGAGTGTGCGTATTGAGTCAGCCAATACAACGGCAGTCCCATAGTCAAGGGAGTCAAGGGTGCGTCTCTGTTTGCCTGTCGGCGGTGGCTGTGCAGGCTGATGTGACGAGCGCGTGTCGGCCCTTCGCTCTACGTGGCATCTTCCTTGGCATTTGCCCCCAGGCTGAACAGAACAAAACCCAAGTGGTGTCGCATTCAACAGCGGTCGGGCGAATAGTAACCTGTCCTCCCGGCCCTCTATCAAATGATACGCCATCTGTGGGGCTCGCTCTGGCGGCCTGGCAGGGCCTCGCTGCAGGCCCAGGCTCAGGCCGTCCTGCAGACGGCCCCAGGCCAGGCTGCTGCTACTCGCTTCTTGTCGCTTTTACCTGCCCGCAACATTCAGGTGGGTCAACGAAATATCGTGGTGTCGAAGGCTCCCATACGAGTAGTGTTATTGCTCAACCCTCTCCAACGCCTGGCAGACTATTGCTCGCACTATACTCGAAGCTCCTGTCACCTCGCAGAGCGCTTTACGAAAGTTCTTCCCAGGTCTTGCCGGGAAATTCGCTTCACCTATAGTGACCCCACTCGGTACCAGCAACGTGGTCGTCAAATATGCCCCGCAAAGCAGGATGTACTCTGGCTGGGCTCGCCCATCCACATTCAACGCACCGCCTTTCAGCCGCATATTCTCGAATTCCGCGAGAATGCCGGGCCGTTTCGCTGGTTTTAACCGGGGCCAGCGCTTTGGCGGAGGAGGTCGTAGGAACTTTACCTCCGGTTTCGCTCAACAAGCGTACACCGCCGGCACGCAGAGCGCGCCCGGAAACGCTTTCAACCTCCTTGCGGGGTTAAAAGTCCTGCCTGGTGCCATCGCAGATGATGTGCAGCAGAAGAAATCGCGGGACGATCTTACGCAGCGGATTAGGGCTAGGGCTAGCGCCCGGAAGCAGAGGTGCCAGCGTGTCCAGCGCCCTGCTGGAGTCTCTGCTCGCGTGAACGCCGTGAAGGAGGCTGCCGTCACTGTTGTCGACGTCGAGGAAGTTGATGTCATCTTCAAAAAGGTCGCCCAGATCACCTCCACCAAGTTGGCCCTTCCCTCCCTCTCCACTGTCCGCCGCGACGGCAAACCCGGCCAGCTCATCTCCCTCTCCTTCTTTCTCTACGGGCCGCCAGCCTGGGAGATGGACACGGTCCACCCTGGCCTCAACCAAACCGTCTCACCCACCCTCATCTCCGAACTCCGCACCCTCGCCAAATTGCACCACGACCATCTCCAGGCCGTCGCAGCCACCCTTGAGAAACTGAAATCCTATGGAATCGACGGTATGAATGTCGTCGAGGAAGATGCCGGGATGTATGAGCTGAAAGTGCGGTTTCCGGATGGGTTCTCGAAGATCAACGTGATCGATTTCTTGCTGGTCTTGGGGATTGATCCTTGCAGCCCGCATTTCCGGTTGGAGACGATCACCTCCGTCGGGGAGAAGGATGATGACGTGGGAGCCGTGAACGCTTCCGCGGCCTCACCGTCGTCGTTGGGATCCGACTACGATGATCTCGCAATGTCTACCTATTCCTCATCTTTCCCGTGGCCGAAAGCCCATAGTCCCTCCTCTTCGTATCACGCCGCTGTGAACACCCTTCCGGCATCGGTACCGCAGTCGCCCACGGAGTTCCTGCATTTCGTCGATGACTTGATGGGGAGTCGAGGCCGATTGTTCCAAATGGATGATTAGCGTGTTTTTTCCACAAAGTTTTTGGCAGTGCGTTACACTGCGTGGCCCATTGCCGATAACCTCCTCTCTTTTTGTGCGTAGTAATTTCTCTTCCTCTTTTGGTGTGTATAAGCTCATCGGATCCAATATAAGTTACATGGAAATAAAGATATATGGCAGTTGATGGAAAGAAAATGTGGGATGAAAGGGGCTCTATACAAGTACACTAGAAACTATCCCAACTACCCGAACGCCGCGTATGTGCTCGTGCTCTACTCGCAGAATCTATCTACGCCCAACTAGCAACCGAAGCAATTGCTGATCGTCCCTGATCAAACCCTGTAAACCTCAACATCATAAACCTCCCCTTGCGCATCCTCCACCATCCTCTTCCACCTCCGTCCCTTCTGCGGATCATCCATCGGATCCGCCGCGGCACGACGTGCTCGTGCGCGCTGCTCTTCTTCGGCGTTCTGCACCGCGGTGAGGAGCGGGGCGCGCAGGCGGGTGTTGAAGGTGGTCAGGAGGGAGGTTTGGGCGGTGATGTGGGCGTGGAGGGTCGTGAGGGAGGCGACAAGGCTCGGGGTGTGGAGGAGGGTAGGCAGGTGAGCGGTCAGGAGGATGGGCAGGAGGTCGAGGGCCTGTGATTGTGGACGGAGGAAAAGAGAACGTTACACTTAGTATTCCTTCCAGTCACGTGCGGAGTGCTGGATCTGAAATAACACATGGACATACCATCTGCCACTCCTCATATGACCCTTCAGCGATAGGCTCGCTCTGAGCATACCTCTTCTCAGGAGCCCATAGCCACCACAACGGGATCCTTGGTCCCTTGTCAGCCTCCCGATGGACGAACGGGTTGGAAGGTCCCTCAATAACCATAGAATGCTCATCAGCTTCCTCATCATCCTCTGGCAGCTGCTCCGTCATCAACACCGATGTCAGCCACTCCAGCAACCCAGCCAGTTCGACGTCATCGAGGCGCTTGAGGGCGTACACGAGGAAGTTGTCGGTGCGAGGACGGGCAAAGATGGCGCGCAGGAACCGGGCTTGAGCTTGTGTGATTACTGGCGAGAACTCCACTTCACTGCGGTCAGGAACAACGGCCGGCTCAACTTTGACACTATTCTCAACATCCTCAGCCACCTCCGCCAAATCTTCCTCAACCTCCCCCTCGTCCTTCTCAAAGTTGCCTGCACGTTCGGGGTTGACGTTGCCCGCAGCTCGTTTCTTCTCTTTAGCCCATTTGCGTCCGTTCTTGAGTTTGACCCACGTTTCCAGGTACTTCCTCCTCGCAGCGTCCCGGGGTACGGAAAGGACCCATTTGATGGCGTCGACGATCTCGCCCTCGTTCAGGTCGGCGACGTGGCGAATGGCGAGTTCCATAATGGACAGATCGCCGCGTTCGAGGGCGCAGGCGATGATGCTGGTTTTGGTGTTGGGGTTGGTTGCTGGCTTGTTTGCGGATGGCACGACCAGGGTGTCGCAGCATCGCGTGGAGGCGCACCCCGTGCGAAGCAGGAATTGGATGGAATGTCTGGGCCAGAACGTCTTAGGTGTCCGGAGACACCGAGCAAGAAGAGTATTCACGACCGTTGGTGAGAGCTCAATCTTGGGGAAGAGGTTCAGAAGAGCGCGAGACGGTGGAACTGTCAGGTACGCAGGAACAGGTTGCTTCTCTGCAGGGGCCGCAGGCTCTTCCAAAGCAGCCTCTGAAACGGACTTCCCTTCCTTTTTCATGGCATTCGCAAGCGCGTGTGCCCTTTCTTCACGGGCTCTGGCACCCCTCTTGTGCTTCGCAGGCACGACAACCTCCGGCACAGGCTCCGCTTCCTTCCGAGCCGCCTCAGCTTCCTCCTTCAGCCTGTTAAGTTCGGTGAGCTTCTTCTGCATCCACGCGCACAAAACGACGTTAAATTCGGGCTCGTTTTTGATTGGGCCTAGCAACTTCTGCAGGTAACCGCGGTCCAATTCGTCCAAGGCAAAAAGCTCCTTGCTCCAGGCGCTCACGTCTTCCTCCGCGACCGGGGGCGCGACGACCCCGGAGGCTGCCATTCCCAAGCCGAGCGGACGGATGACATTTGCCCCTTCCATAACGGAACCGACGGTCGATATGGTTGGCGTCGATTCGATAGGTTTCCGGAGTCGGCCGAGAACGGAAGCAAGTGTCAGAGGTGGGCAGTGGAAAGGAACGAGTTCAACGGTGGAGCTGAAAGTCAGTGGGCGGCGGGTCGTGACGGTTGACGCGGAAAGCGTGATGACACTGCCGGTCAAGGGTGAGATGCTTGAACCAATGTGGAAGGTGCGGATATTGTTGGAGTTGACATCGTGCTCCTTCTCTGGCATTGCGTTCAACTGCTTTTCAATGTGCAATGCACCATACTCCGTATCCCAGATGGACAGAACGTCCTGTGAGCCTGCTTTCCGTGTCCCCACAACCGCTAGATATTTCTCGTCCAGTGCCGTTATGGAAATCCGCGCAGGGCCAGCAGCGGCTTCGAGTAATGCTGGGGCGCCCGTGTTGAGACCCAGCACGTTCAGAGTCAATGCAAGAGTCTCTGTGCATGTCCGCGCTCGCACATTGAGGGAGTACACCTTGCAAGTCAAGTCGGAATACGCGACAATCAGCTTCGTGCCCTGTTTCTGAGATGCAAACGCAGCGGGAGCCGGCTCTCCAGTGACAGGAGGGATCGGTGCGCTGTACACAAGCTGAATCTTTACTGTAGACTGGAGCGAAGAAATCTTGTGTATCCGAGCGACCAAGGCCCCGTTTTCTTCCACGACCGACAAAATCCTCTGAGTGGCGCCGTCCTCCTCAGGACCTTCCATCCACATATCATCTGACCAGATGACCCGCGTCCTTTCTTCCTTTGGTGAGAGGGATGCAAGGGCCTTCAAATCGCGATCTACAACGGTGATGCCTCCATTTTCGTGTATCAATGAAATATGTGCGCCAACCGAGCTTTTCAGGCAAGTAAAGGCGGATAGGCGAAAGATGGGGACATCGAACTGAATGCGGAAATTCAAGCACGTGTGATCAGTACTCATGTCATCCCTCTGCAATATCCTCGGAATCGTACCCACCTTCTTTGACGCGTCCGGCTTTCCAGCAACCAGCACTCGATTCTGCTTGTCCGTCTTGACCAGACCACCCGCACCGCCTCCGACTTTCCACATCCACACTCGTCGCTTCTCTTCCTCCTCCTGTACGTCTGTTCCAGCTTCTATTACAGCATACACGTTCCCTTGAAGCTTTGATGCGTTCTCTACGTCAGCATCTTCCGTGTCTAGCTCCATCGAATCAGTCGCTTGTGATGAATGTGTCGGCGCAGCGGGAAGGAATCGAGCAGGACATGTGAAAAGATGCCCTGGCGGGACGGACCACGAGTGAAGACATTGCTGTTTTTGTAACTGCGATTTTACAAGGCTAGATGAGACAAAACGCTTCGAACAGAAAGGACGTTCAGCTGAAGTCACTTACGTCGTACAGATAGACGCCAGAGCCTTGAACGGTCAAAATCTCGGCGATATGGTCACTCGACTCGCCGTAGTCCCCAAACTCTCTCTCGGATACCCCAGCTGTTAGAAACCCCGGGGGTACCACAACCCTGGGGGGCCTTTTCGATCCACCTTTCCCTGTGCTGGTCTGTTCCTGCTTCTTCACTGCTGTCTCAGTCGGCTTTCCGGCTGACTCTAGAACCACCCTCTTTGGGAGTGCCACGGTAAAGGGGTGGGTCGTGAGCTGGTAAACCTCCTGCAAATGGACGGAGGTGGACATTTTCGCATAGGCCGAAAGGGGAGTGTGCTCTTCGGCTCAACAAGACGCAGGAGGCTACTCCGTCACAGGGCAAACGCTACAGACAGCCAATAAGACTCCGCTCTCCAATATCGGTCTCGTCGCCCTGCAATATCGCACCCAAAGAACCCAGCTCAAAATTCCTTGAATGAGCGGCTGCACACCAACAAGTATATGACTCTTTCTCCGCTCGTGCAGTTTGCTCGTGACGCACGTTTCCGTTGTGGGGTCCGGTGACTACTAGACGCCTCTTCTGCTTCCACCCAACGACGATAGGTAGGTTGAAAACATGAGACCCTTGCAGGTCTGCATTGCAGTCCGTGAGAGAGCAAGCCAGTCCAGAGACCGTGTTTGCAACGTGATCACGTGAGAGGATAATCTCCCGGTCGATGCACGTGTCGCAGTCTCGTTTTATTGTTTACCTTTTCCGGCATTCCCGACCGATTCCCGGCACCACCACATCAGACCACATCTGCTTATTTTCCTCGTAAACCAAACCCCAACTCATAAGTGCGGCCAGCGCAGCTCTCGCAGTCAATTCCACTCGTCTGTCTCGTCCCGCCTTGGCCACAGGAAGGTTGCACACCTCGCCTCACCGTGTACGTCAGTCAGGGCCGATAGACGCCATGAGCACGGTTGAAGAAATATATGAGCTGTTCGGGAGCGATGATAGTGACGATGAGATGGCACCTGCTGACTCCCGGGGGCGCCCTGCAAAGACGGCTGATCGTGGAAGTGCTTTTGGGGACCGGACGATCAATGGATGTCAGGCAGCCGGCCAGATAAAGGGACTCTATATCTACCGGGATCTCATACCAGAGGAGCTCCTGGACGCCCTGTTGCAACACATTCAGAAAGAGGGATGGTTCAACCCGCAAGCTGGACGAAACCAAGCGATGCGGTTTGGCCGCTTCCCGGTCTGGCTGGACCCACTCGTGCAGTTGGCGCACGCTTGTCTGCCCTGCGAATTTGGGTCTCGAAAACCGGTCTTTGACCAGATGATTGCGAACCACTACGTTCCGGGAGAAGGGCTAATATCGCACGTTGATCTTCTCGATCGATTCGACGACGGCATCATAGTCGCTTCCATCCAGGGCACGTGCGTGATGGAGTTCAGGCCCAGGAACGTTTTCCGGGAGAGAGGGGAGAACATACCGCAGAGCGAATCCTTCTTTCTGCGTGCCGGCGATGTCATATGCTTGTCGGGACCGGCCCGATGGGATTGGGAGCACGGCATCCCTGCACGCATGGAGGATTTAGACGGCTTTGGAGATATCGTGCGGCGTGTAGAACGAGTGTCTATTACATTGCGGAAGCTGCTACCCAACGCCTGCTTCGAATGATTTGAAGCACTACTTCGACTACGTGTGTATACGAGGGAGCCTATGTATATATTTACAGGGTCGGAATACACCGTAGCGAGGCACAACTGCCTCATGTCCATCCACAGCTCTTTCAGTTGGTGAACGATACTCAACGGCAGTCAGTGAGGTAGTCCTGCGATGTCCAAATCCCACATCAAATCTGGTCGTAGAGTACGAGAGGCCTTGGAGGTCCGGCGCCGACGGATGACGCGAGGGCTACAATCCGATTCATCATTCTTTCCCGTAGACTGCGACCCCCCTCCGATGCGATACGACCAGCTGTGAACTCGACGTCCCAAGGCTTGCTGCGGCATGCGGTCCCGGGTCAAGAGGGATGGCGATATCACGCCCGCAAATCACCAGGCAGGACCCTAAATGTCTCGGTTGTCGCAGGATGGCCGCCAGTCGTCATACGGCTTCCGCGGCCCGTTTCATCCCAAGCCCCTTTGCGCAGGGGGAACAAACTAGGGGCCGGTCCTCTGCTTCAAGTCTCATCATTGTCCCAGAATTGGGAACTAGCAACCTCGTAGGCGAAAAGCCCCAACGCGGACGGCGGCATCACTCGTAACAGCTGTGGTGCGATGCCCGCGTAGAACGGCCGTATCCCCTTCTGCCGCACGACCTGCCACACTTCGCTCCACTGGTAGCGCGTTTGTTGCGCTGCTCCCGTCGCATTGGCGCTATGGAATCCGTCATCAAGCAGCGGGGCAATGCTTTCGGTGGCGGCCTTTGTCAATGACGGTGTCGGGGCGCCCTGCGGTTGTCCGGCTCCACGAACAGACTCCATCACCGTGGGTATATTGTCGAGTGGGTATATGACGGCTTGATATGCAGCACCGGCCGTAGCACCAGCGAAAATGACCGCCGTTGCGTTGGCGATCGTGACAGCCCATGAGCGGCGCTTAGCAGCCTGCTCTAATGGAGTCAAAGTGGCGACTCTCTCACTTTCATCGTTAAGATTCCACCGATCTGCGACGAAACCTTTCCCAAACCGTCGAATGTTTTCAAAGAAGAAGAAAAATAGCCCGAATCCAGCGGCATCCTTGAGAGCCAGAAATCCGATCCCCTTGTATAGTCGCCTGCACTTCGCCCAGAATGTTTTATCATCCTTCAGCGCTGCTTGACATGTTCGATAAGTAAATTTCAACATCCCTTCGTGACGATGCGCTACGATATCTGCGGGTGTGATCCGTGCTTTCACATTATCGATGGGTGTTGAAATGATTGATGTGCTCGCACCGGCCATTGCGCCTGCGATAAACGGGTGGGCATGGTCGAAAGCCAATGCGGCGGAGAGAGACGTAGTGGATTCCTCTTGGTTTGACAGCGCATACGTCGCCGATGCGTAGACGTTGAAGAGCACTGCTCCCGCACATGCGTTTGCCAAGAGTAGAGGGATGATATTCCTCCCCAGAACGCCGAACTGTAGCATGAATGCAACAAATCCGATATGAGTGGTGTTTCTTCTACGAGGTCCGTCAAATCAACTGCCGCCATACCCCTTCCTCGGCGGCAACCACTCTCATGTACGCGACTCCAGCCTTTTGCCCATGCGCTGCAGCCATATGGTTTACGACTGTCCATGGGTTTATGGTATGCGGCCGAAATAGCTTGATGGGAAAGCGAAACCACCTAGTTCACGACAACCTAACGTCAGACACTGGCCAGGAACTATCAGCTGCGTGGTTTAAGACGAACCATTTCATAAGCCCTTTTCCCATCGCTGTGGCAGCGAAGGCGCTTTTCGTAGCAACTGATTTGGCGACGCCTGCCATTACGCCTGCTACGGGGAGAGGACCCGTTGCTTCCTGGTCGTTTTGAGCAACCGCATCTTGCCCTGCTACAGTTTGCGGTTGCTGAAACGTCGTCGCATGAGCTGCCGGTGCTGTCGGTGTGGACATGCAGTCTTCGGCGTCGATCTTCGCATGCGTTGGATGGTGAGAGTCGTCGGTCAACGGAATTCGGCGCCGGGTACTGTACAGTACAGTAGTTGTGAGTCACGTGTTAGAAACGGGTTTATTCAACTATTCCTTTTTAGAACCATCTACTTTCCGCTTTCCGATCGCACAATAAGACCGGGAAGTCAAGCCATCTAATATACAAACGAGCCAGGCATCAGTGGCTCGTAACCAGAACAGAACAAAGAACCAAAGGGGCCCTCCAACATTAAAAGGTGATCAAGGAGAGGAGGGTAGGGGCAGAAATATACAAGGATGAAGCAGCTCTTGAAGTGTCTATCAGATGCATAAATAACTATGAAATGTCCACGTTCGCGTCATTGGGGGTTGTTCTCCGCGGCCGGAGCCGCAAAAGGTAGTTGTTGCTGTGCGTTGACGGCCATTGGGGCGGAAGTTATGATTGGAGGCAGGTGCTCCATCTTTTGTTGCTGCTGAGGTTGCTGCGGGGGCAACATGTGCGACATGCTCGAAGATTGGTGGGTAGGTTGTATGTACATCGAGAGCTGTTGCGGGTGGTATTGCTGGGGTAACGATATTGACCGAGGACGGTTACCGCGTCCGCTGGACGGGAGCAGATGTCCAAGTCCGAAGAGTTGGGCAGGATGCGATTTCCCTTGCTGACCTTCCATATCGGTGCTGTCTGCGGACAGCGGAGACGGATGAGAGCCGTGGGACGGATCATATCCTGCCTGCGTTTGCATGTACGGCGATCCCGCCTGCGCTGCGACCGCGTTGGCTTCCGAGTTCATCATGCTCTGGTGGAAGAGCTGCAACTGTCGCAGCTGCATCATTTGCCGTAGTTGATGGAACAGAGGGTGTCGAGGGTCCTCTTCCGGTTTCAGCTTGCCTTCCTTGCGCAAATGCACCAACTTGATTTCGTCCTTCAGGCGCTCCACCAAGACGGCCTTCTTTCCCGACGATTGTAGTCCGCGAGCTCGAAGCATATCTTTGAGCTCTGACACTGTGATGTCGTCAAAGTCGGCTCGGAGAAGATCCGCGTCCAGCTTCTCGTATTGTTCGTCTTGGCTTAATGGAGGGCCGACGGGCTGCTCCTTCTTCGGCATTGGCGCTAAAGGAAGCAACGGGATGGCGCTGAGTTTCCCACCGCTCCCGGGAGTGCCGGGCGAGGGTGATGGAGGCGGTGCCATGCTGCCGGAGGAGGATTGAGCTTTCAAAAGATTGACTTGGGTCTTAAGTGCGTCGTTGACTGGGGTCGAGACTGGAGATCTCGACGAGGGTGCTGTTGGACGGAACATGCTCAGCTCTCGGTTACTGAGGCGCGTCGTCAAGCTATGAGGTGATGATTTCTTGTAAGGCGCATGCAGGTCGTGACGCTTGGTCTTCATCGTGATTGATCCGGGAGACGTTGCAGACGACGGACTGCTCAATGAGGAGGGTAAAGTGTTGGCACGCGGACGCTTCGTTATCGCATTGGGGGATGGGCCCGATGGGCCCGCGCCGATTTGAACATGCGGCAATCCAGGAGTCATGGACCCTTGCGGACTATGCATCATCAAGGCGTATGCACTATTGGGCTGATGCATCGACGAGAAATGGTCGTTGAGTTGTGATTGATATTGGTTGTCGTACGGAGACACCGGGTATGTGGGAGGCAACACCATCGCGGAAACGAGAGGCGACGGCTGTTCGTACATGGATCGCTGAGCCATCCCTGATCCCCCCATACTTAGGTACGCCATACCCTGAGGTGAGTTGTGTTGCTGCTGAAGCTGATGCTGTTGTTGCTGCTGCTGTTGCCTGTAAGTCATTGAGCCCGCACTTTCGGAGTACGAGCGGTTGCGCATGTGCATGGTAGCCGATTGTTGCAGCTGTGCCGTGGGGGACTGCTGTGATTGTTGCTGCTGCTGCTGCTGAAACTGATGTTGCTGCTGATGATCATTCACGGATAACTGGGCTGTTGCAACGTTCAGGGACTCGATAGGGAACGGCGAAGTAAGTCCAGGGGACTGGGAAAGAAGTGGGGAGTCTTGGGCATCGTAGGGATAGTGCGAAATATGTTGCTGCAACGGCGAATGCTGTTGTTGGTGTTCACCTAGCAAATGCGGGTTTTGCATGATCAGGTGCGGTGACTGAACCATCATTTCCTGTGGCTCCCGATACGACATGAACTCGTGAGGTACGGAAGACCAAGAGTGTTCGATGCCACCATTCCCACCGTCTCCGCCATCCATGGGCTCGAATCCCTCCTCGCCATTGTCGAGCCAGTTTGAGATGATGGAACTGGGCACGGGAAACGCCTCCGGCAGGTTTTGCTGGAAGTGGTCAGAGTTCGGAGTCTGTGGCTGTTGTTGTTGCTGCTGCCGTGGTGGTGTTTGATGGAAGCCGGAGTTGCCTCCTAACGACGTCGAAAGCGCAGTCTCGAAAGCGCCGGCGTTGCCTCCGTTGACCAGATCGTATAGAGCGTTCATGTTATCTTCGTCCCCACCGCCGAAAGTGTGCCCAGCTCCGTATTGTTGCCCGTCCATGGCGCGCTGGCTCAGGTGATACGTCTGCCCTTGCGACATTGCAAAGACACTAACTACGTTGCGCTTCGGCTTCGCTGCTGGCGGGTGCTGAGATAGCACTCACTTGTTTCAGGCCTCGTCGTTGGCAGTGGAGGGATACTGAGATACGCCCGAGAATATATAGAAAACGAAGGAATGCTGTTCCCGGTGAACGGAAAACGAAGTAAATACAAAGGGGCCAGGTTTGAGAGAGGACCCCGGAACCAGCCTCCAACTCAGCAGGCCTTTGCGTAAGCGTTTTTTTTCCCTACCAAGTGTACGCCTACAAGAAAAGGATGTGCCTGCGTATACGCCGCCAGCCGGTGAACAACTCGGGGAGGGACAAAGGGGCGCGCCAAGAGAGAGGAAGTGTGCAGAATGGTTACGACTAGCGCCGAAGCTGAAATGGCGGCTCAGAATGGCTGGACTGGGGCTTTGGGAAGGAGGAGCAGGGTAATAGCGGATACAGGCAGTCAGGCCCAAGTGGACCCCGCATGAAACTGCAGGGAGAAGGAAGGACTTGGGTTCTGAGCGCATAAAGTCAGTCCATGTGAGCGAAGTATCTGTTAGATATGATATCACCTGCATCTAAATTCAACCTGCGACACTTGGGTCTGCTAATACTGCGGCCAACGTGGGACATTTCGCTGCAAATCCATCTCCATCTTTTTGCGGTGGCGGAAGCGGGGCTGCGGCGGATACCGAGAGCGCAACAATTGCAAGAACCGTGGTTATTGTCCCGAAAAAACTTGTCTCGAGTCGTACCAGTGGCCGCAATTTTCCTCCATAGCGCCACGCTGAAAGTTACCGCCCAAAACACAGGCAAGGGCGATCCCGACATTCGGGTGAGGAAAATCGTGATCGTGGAACTTTTTGCACATGACATCTTCTTTTTTACGGCGTGACCGACTTTCTCCAGAATCCACGCCACGCCACCACCGCTGCACGCCAAACCGGCCGCTATACATAGAATCCCCGGTTCTCACGAGGATAGGTGCAACACTCGCGTCCAGAACTGCAGATCGTGTCGGAGCTGGAATTGGAGCGATGGATAAGAAATGCCTGCACGATCACATAGAGATTGTGACTTCGGATCAAAGAGATCAGAGTCCCCTGACTTCTCCAGTTGGCAACAATGGGAAGGCTGAGTCTGACATATCCCCCTGCTATCCTGCCAGCAATTCGACATTTTGGTTGCTCTTCGCGAGCGACGGGTGAACGCACGCGTTCAAGAGCCAGGAAGCAAAGTTTGACGGTATTTCGCGGATCCGTATTCATCTGCGGCGGAACCCCAGATGCAGATCTATGATATATATCAATGCCATCCAGCAGGGGGATGGCCCGTCATATTCACCGCATGTCCGGGTCGGAGTCATTTCAATCCTTGGCGAATTGTTAGCCGCCGTTAGGTACGCTTGTTCCCACATAGAAATAGGCTGGATAATGTCCTACCAGCAGCCATCTTCGAAGTCATCAGTTTTCAAGACGTCGCTTTGACGGAAAAATGTGCATATGGTAAGGGGACATACGTAGCATAATGTTGGGATCAAAGAGATGAGGGTCTCCTGACCTACCTACGCAAGGTCGTTACATGTGCGTTCTTGAGGTAAAAACAGACCTTTTGATGGATACATTCTCTGCTGCCAGCGACTTTGTATCGATTTTGGAGCTATGCATGCATAGAAGGACAACCTGGAACGCGGCAAGTTTGACAGCATTTCAACAGCGAGAAGTTGCGAAAACACGACACCGACAAGGGGGGGTAGATTTCAACGGTTTCCAGAAACAATGGAGAGGGAGACGAGGGCTATAAGGGTTTAGCATGCATAGTTCCTTCCTCCGCGGACCCCTGAGTATTACACGATGCCTCGACTTCCTCATAAAGCACACTCTTTGATATAGTCAGTCGATTTTTGTCCGTCTTTCCACCATGCTTATGAAGCATAAGCTTGTCATCATCAAGTTTGAGGGTATGCCGCCGCATGCCTTGCCTCACGTTGATGGGATCAACTATGTCGAAAGAGGAAGAGTTGAACTGTTTGTTGTCGATGCCAACGAGATTCTTGTCGAAGACAGCGAGGAGACTGTATATGCTCTCCGTCATATGTAGACCGCGCCGAATCGCGGGCGACTTGCGCGATAAGACAAAAGTCGTAATGTGCAGCACAATTAGGCTCAAGGAAGTACCAGCGCCGATAAGGAGAATGCGCACGCAAGAGTCCGTCGTCTCTGAGGGGGAAAGTGAGCCTGGTTGCATTGTTCGCAGCAAGTCTCGTAACGATTCATCCTACCTAGGCGACTATACTCGCTTTCTGTGAAAACTATCGCAGGGGTAACGTCGGGGACCTTCATGTTTCGCGAAGCCTCGGCCATTATGGCAACAATTCCCATGATTTCCATCTTGACAATGGACCTGACTGCTTGGCCGAGCATATTCTGAAAATCGAACTGTCCTTCAACGGGCAAGTCGGGCAAAAGTCTGCACCCGAGGTCAAAACTCGGGACGGTATGGGGCGTTGAAGGGCAGTATGAGAAGTAGCATGAAGCCCTGCAACAAGATATCTTAGTACTTGGGCCATATATGAACCTAGAGCGCATGCGGACTTACCAATACGATATCGAGCGCATCACATCTAGAACACCCCGATTCCGGCTTGGCCATCCGACCGGAATCTCCTGTTTCACACTCAGCAGGGTACTTTCCGTCAGCGCCACCGTCGCGATGGGCAGCAACGACATCATTTTGACTTCGATATCCGCGTCGCCTGTCTCCATTGCGACGCTACATAAGGTCACCCCAATCGTGCCGTGACCGGATGGGTCTTCGAACTCGACGAAACCTCTGGGGTTTTGAGATAACCCTTTGTGAAAGACTACGAACTGGAATCGCCCCGAGGAATCAGTGACGGGATTGTCACTATCCAGGGTGGCCACAGGTAGAAGACCCAATTCGGGATAGGACACATTTGCGAGATTGAACGTGATGCCGTTGTTGCTATCGCCTCCAATGAGCGCACGCCCGTCGGTCGTGTTCATTGACACTCCCACCAGCGACACCACTATTGAAGGATTTTCGCACCATATCGAAGAAAAGCTTAGAGTCATGCTTAAGCGCTCATTAGCGGATAACAAGAAGGTGGAACTTACGCCAAGCTGGGGGGGCTCTGCGCTCAACGTCAAAAGTCGCATCCTCCGTGCTGCATTTCACAGTCGCAATAGCCGCTAAGGATCTTCCCTGGATCCGGTCGCCTACGACGAGATTGCTATTGTCAAACTTCGGCGGGTGTAAGCCGTAGGCCACACTTTTGTCCGGAAGTGATGATCAGCTTCACGAGTGCGACCATAAGTTGATGCGTCGTCACTCAAAGGACCCACCTAGACAGAGGATGTATCGCTCCAAACCCCTTTCCTACACATCCATTGTCGTCACAAGTCACGTTGACTTGCGGGTCGGGTATTATCCCATCTTGCTGCATTTGAGAGCACATCCCCCCGTTTATATTCAACTGCAAGATATCATTGACATTGTTTGGATCATATTGACCGTCGGAGAGGTTGTACGGAAACATGGGCCATTCCGTCTGCATTTTGACTGTCCGGGTTGGGGTGATCTCGTATAGATTGCCAATTGCGCTGATAATTATTCTCTGAGAACGGGTTGAGGGGCCCCATATGTAAATGGATTGATACAAAGCGGCACAGAAAGCGACAATGACACACACCTCTGCAATCAACCCGAAGAACAGAAGAGCCACGATCCAATGCGTTCCCGATAACTTATCCTCCAGTCCTCCAAATGACCCATTGTAGAGCGCCGCCCAGGATGCGAGAACCTTCCGCGCTGGCATCCCATGCGACGAGAGACGAAAGGAAAACCAAAGTTGGCATGATAGTTTTATTAACCGTGTGATTGGGAACATGGCCATTTGCACAGCTGCCTGGGCGATGGGGGATGCCGTCAATTCTCCAGCTCGTCTCCGGCTCCGGGAATGTTTTCTCTTCTTACTCACCCCAATGCCAAAGCCCACCAACGTTGCCGTGGTTGAGCCATTCTTTACGACCAGTATCTACAAAGTGCAGAGGAGGTGCAGAGGATTAGATTACTTTCATTTTCGCGGTGGTGAATTTTGTCCACAGTGTCGAGCAGTTAGAGCACCGCCATACCTTCGAGCTTCCCACTGCCGCAACGGCAATCAAGCCGAAGAGAAATAACGCATCTATTGCGACATTTTGCCAAAATGCTTTTCCGGGACAGCGGCTTCGAGAAAAGTGGCTTGGATGAGGTTTCGGGTTGGTCATGTTGTTATGTTCTGCACCGTCAAGGGAGCGTATTAGCACGATTATACAGGTAATTATATACTAGCCAGATGCAACGGCCGTAGAAACGTGAGAAGGGTTGTGTGCTCGCCGGTTTTTGTCTTAATCTGGATAGGCGTCTGTTGAAATTGACAGGAGGTGATCATTCGCTTGGACCCATGGTTCTCATTTAAGCGGCAGAAGAAACGCCTGGATTTCTTCAGTGTGGACGGAGGAGGTGAGGAGACACTGAGTTGATTTAGCACTTTCTTTGAACGCGGCTCCGGTAAAACGTCGTACCTAAATCAAGGCCGAAATCGAAGTGCATTTGTTCCATATTAACATCTTCTCACTCACTCACTGGTGTTCGTGTAGCGGGTGAGCCTGGGGTTCAGTTAGGTCCAAAAGAAGGTCCGAGTCTCCATATCACTCCGCCTTTTTGACGGTGTTCGACAGCGCGTATTTCCCTCCTGCGGAACCGGTGATTGGTGCTGCCTGGTGTGCGAGTATCGCTGAAGGATCAGCGTCAAACGACTAACGTATGAACCCTGTCATGCCATGTATATAGACAGATGTTTGCGATGTTCAATTCCTAGGGATGAGGAAACTTCCTTCCAAGCATAGATCACGCACTCAGTTAGACTCCTATACAGGTACTGATTCTATGAAGGGCCCGCCTTCCCGATTTTTTTTATTAACTGATGGTGCTCTCTGGCGTCCTATTCGGGGTTTCCCCTCCTCTCAGCCAAGTCTTCTTGTTGTAGTTGCCAGTGAGTATTCCGTTGACAAAAATCCAATGTTGGGTCTGTTCCTTTGGCACTGATTAGCGATTCCGTACCCGAAACCGCGTAGCCATGAGAAGGTTGAATGAAGTTTTGCAGACTGAAGGGACCACCTGGGGGGACGCGAGATAAAACACACGTTCCGATCAGTGAGATAACAGCGATCAAACATCCGCCATCACTTGGCGAAAGGCATAACATCACCCATCCACCTCCGCAATTGAACTGACATCGCACAGGGTGAAGAGAGAAGAAAAATTAGGGACTTACTGGTTCCGCTGAGCTGCTGGGGCTTTTAGTTCTGTTCGCGGGCTCGTTCCTTTGACCTCCCAAGCACCAGCTTACCTACGGTTTGGCGCCAAGGACCGACAGGCCCAACTCGCGCATGTCAACTTCAAGGAGGCCACCGCAATCCTTTTCGGAGTTGGATATATATAGTCAAGGTTTTGGTTGGATCGACACTTTGCTGAGTTTCGTCAGGGTAAGGTGTCAACGCCACATTACCTACGCCCCCTATACGCACGCTTTCCTAAAGAGCGAGCCCGGTTCGGTAAAGGATGTCGTTCCTCAAGTGGATAGGGAGCATGAGCGCGGGCGCCGGTAAAGCCGGCGGTATCGGTCCGGACTGGCCAAATAGCGGGAACGACCGATACTTTGGTTTAGAGAATTACGGAAACACATGTTATTGCAACTCGGTCGTGCAGGCGCTGTACTTCTGTCGCCCCTTTCGGGAATGCGTGCAAGTCTATTCATATCCCACCTCAGCCGCGCTACTCACTGCGGCGGCGGAGAATATACCCTTTCCTACTCCGACGCCGCTCAAAACCGCATCTTCGACAAGCTCGCTAAATGGTTACTTTTCCGCGGAACACTTCCGGCTGAAGGAGAAGGAGAAGGATTATAGAGGGCCGGTTTCTCACAGTGATAAGGACAAGCCTCCAAAGGGGGAGAAGAAGCGAAAAGAGAGCGCTTCCACACGAATGTCTCTGATAGGCGGAAAGTTGACACACAGCGTCGGCGGGGCAGGAATACCGCCGTTGGTGCCTGCTATTCTCGAGGGAATGGATTTGACCGAGGCCGATAAGGAGACTCTATTATCCGGTCTACAGGAGCTCTTCCTGAAGATCACAACGCAGAAAAAAAAGACGGGTATTATCGGACCACAGCAGTTCATCACCATCCTCAAAAGGGAGAACGAGCTTTTCCGAGGCACGATGCATCAGGACGCGCACGAAATGCTGAACTACCTGCTGAACGCGATCGCGGAGATATTGCTGAGGCATAAGAGGGAGATGGTGGAAAAGTTTAAATCGCTACCGAACCGGACCGTTCCCGCCTCCTTCGACGCGGTTTTACCACCACCGTCACTTACAGAATCGGACGGTGGAAGCTCTACCTCTAAGCGGCAGCAGGTACCCGAAAGCTGGGTGCATGCCTTGTTTGAGGGCATCCTGACGAACGAGACAAAGTGTCTCACTTGTGAGACGGTCACCTCTCGGGACGAAACCTTTTTGGACTTGTCGGTAGATGTTGAGCCCCACTGCTCACTCAGCTACTGTCTCCGCAATTTCTCGAAATCGGAAACGCTATGTCACAAAAACAAGTTTTTCTGTGATGTCTGCAACAGCCTGCAGGAAGCCGAGAAACGAATGATCCTGCGGAAAACGCCCAATATCCTAGCCGTGCATCTCAAGCGCTTCAAATACCAAGAGCAGCTGCAGAGGTACATCAAACTGTCATACCGGGTACCGTTTCCGCTGGAACTTCGGTTGTCGCATTTCACGGATGATGCGGAAAACCCCGAACGACTCTATCAGCTGTTTGCAGTCATTGTGCATATTGGCGGCGGGCCGCACCATGGACATTATGTGACGCTGGTCAAGAGCTCTGGGCAGTGGCTGCTATTTGATGATGATGATGTCACACCGATAGAAGAATCCGAACTTCATCAATACTATGGGGACAACAACTCGGTTGGAAGCGGCTACATCTTCTTCTACATGGCCGAGGACTTTGATGCCAATGAGCTCATTCAGTCCATGCAGTATTTGGAGGACCATGTCGCGGCCACATCCGGGTCGAACATGGCGTCGGTAGCCGCAAACGCAGTGGCTGGTGCTGTATCGCCCAACGGAGACTTGCCCATTGGGACCCTCCATTCACCAGCTGTACAACCGAATAAAGACCGCATCGCCTCCGTCACGAACAATTCCACTCCGAATCACAGCGACTCGAATCTCTCGCAGCAGCTTCTCACCTACCATCAACAGCAGCAGCTACACCTACAACAGCAGCAACAACAGCAGCAGCAGCCTTCCTCACAGCAATCCAGCATCGCAGGGGCCGGCTCGACCAACGGGACCAGCGTCATCGCACCACCAAACGTAGTTTCCAGCGGTCTGTCCGTACTAGCGCCCACCACTTCCACCATCGCACCACCATCCACATCGTCTCACTCCTCCGCCGCCGAATCCTTCAGCCGGATTATGAAACTCGGCAAACGGCCATCCACCGTTCCGCTCAACAACAGCGTCCTTAACACTACGCCGCCTCCACCTCTCCCATTCGCTGCAGATACGACCGCCAACAACCACATCGTGAACGGGATCCCAGCAGCAGCATCGCAACCGCCATCCCTCACCCTCGCGCTCAAATCATTCACGTTTGGAAACCCCAAGGACGAGGATACAGGCACGCCGACGCCGACGCCAGCGACGCCTTCGGCGCATACCGCTGGCGGGAAGGAGAGCTGGGGATGGTTCGGGATTGGGAAGAAGGAGAAGGATAAGGAGCGGGATAAAGAGAAGGAGAAGAAATGATGAATTTAGGATGGAGCGCTGCGCGTCGAGACGCACTCTTTGCGGCTGTGCATTCGTTCATACGCTGCACTGCCAGCGTTGGGATTGGCCACCTGACAGCGCACAACGCCAGCAGGTCGAACCTCGGGGCAAACCGATGCAAACCATTCTGACTGAAGACACGCTGTTGGACGAACATTCTAATAGTATGATCTTTCCGACGCTGGGCCTCCGCTTCCGCTCGGGGTGAGACCCTCCCATCTCCCTTTAACAAGACGGTTATCAGCTCGTAGCGCGATCACAGCAGTCATCCTCCCTTTGAATTGTCCCCATCCCCACGTCCCTCTGCCTTTCTATACATTGTACAGTGTCGGACAAGCCGCACAAATCGCATCTCGAGGGCCGGTCAACCTCTGACGGGTAGGCGCAGACTTATGGTCACTATCTGTACATACTCCACCATCCATGGTACCATATCTACGTACATATATCGCGCACGCGAAGTATGCATGCATCGCAAATGACAATCACTAGCCAAATGACAATCATATGCCCATTCTATAAACAGAAACCTACTTGAATCGGCCGATCTCTATTCTCTAATCCTCCCCATGGGTTCGCCCACTTTGACTTTCTGCCCGCCCTCCAACGTAAACTCAAAGTTGGTCGGGGCCTCAAAGACGAGCACGACGGTGCTGCCTAGCTCAAACCCGCCCATCTGCTGGCCTTTGGCGAGTTGCACGCCGTTGCCGCCGTACTGTAATTCGTCGTACTTTCCGGGCGCGTGTTTGATTTGGCGTTTGCGGAGGTTTGTCTTTAAGTCCTGGTGATGGATATGCAAATCAGGGTAAGACGACAGGTCTCCGTTCGACAAATCAGCAGGCAGAACGTTTCGCAACAAAAACTTACAGGGTCGAAGTCAATCTTGATGGAGCCCACGTTTGTCGCTCCGACAGGAATGTACGAGAAGAACCCATGCGCCCACTCTCCCATCAGAACCACCCTCTCATTCAACACAAACAAGTTCTTGATAGCCGTGACAGCCAACGGGGATACAGAGTACAACTCGCCCGAGAAATGTCTCCGTGCGCGAACGACCCAATCAGTCGGGGAATGGAACCGGTGGTAATCCCCTGGAGCGAGGTAGATAACGGCAAAAAACAGCGCGTTTCCTGGTCGTGTGGACTGTGTGATGGCGTTGGTGGTGGGTTTGGCGGGCACAACAGAGTTGTCTTCGTCTGTGACGGATTGTTGACTGTGCCCAAGCATTTTGTCAAGCGAGTAATCGATGTCGTTGATGTTTCCAAACTTATCGTGTGCGACGATTTCTTGCGAATGGGACTTCTCCGCCAATTTCAATGTCTTGGCTCGTTCTTCCTCATTTATGGGAACGACAGCTTTGGCCTCCTCTAGTTGCTTTTGACGGCCCAGTAAAGCGTCCAGGGAGTAAGTGACTCCCTTGATCTGCTCGACCGTGCGCTGCTGTGTGATCAACCCGAAATGCAGCACTTTGCCATCCGCTGGGCTGACCTGATGGGAAATCAGAGGTTAGGATACATTGCCCCGTTTCTGATTAGTAGTAGAGGCTACACTAACCAAGAGAGCGTCATTGTCGATTGGGCGAGCCCCAGGCTTGAGAGGCCTGTAGAAGAACTGCGACAAGTTCGCATAGTGCTCGAGGTTGGGGTCCTCCATCTCGTCCAGGTTGCATCCAAAGTAGCTTGCATACGCCCGGTAGAAGGGACCGCGAAGCCAAACTGGGACGGTCAAGTTGTTGGCCCAGCCCCATAGGCGAGACACCGCCCGTAATGGCAGAGCAGCATAGACGTGAACCTGTGCTAGGAGTATATTGATGAGTGATGCCCGAAAATATACAGTTCCGCCGTGACATCGCCGGCATTGACGTACCTGCCATGGACCTTCCAAGGTCACGACTGGATGGTCGGGATCTGCAGCGCTTTGGTCTTCACGCCGTCGCATATGTAGGTACTGTATGGCGGCCAAGCAGGCAATCCCAAGCCCAATAGGGATTGGTTTCCATACAATCGGTGTGTTCCGCAGGACCTGCTTCGTTTTCCCGAAGGATTCTGTGGTTCGAATGTACAGTGATAAGGCTCGTGCTCCCAAGCAAGATAATATAACTCACAGAGTACTCACGTTTCTGTTCGTTCCACCATCCTTTTGAAGGTTCTTCCTCCCGTGGCCCCCTATCGTCGCGGAAAAGGCGCCTGGGTTGGCATCCCCATTGTACGCGAGGAAGTTCGACGGTCCTGCTCACAGAGGTGACATGGCGAGCCGGGGAAGAAGAGAACATGCGCCGATGGCAAAGGACCAGCGTCCGTTCGAGCCCAGGCCGTCGTTGTTGCAGGCCAGTGGTGAGGCGAGCCCCAGAAGGCCTCATGTTGCCGGTTTGTGTGCTCCACTGGCGTAAAGACGGATGGTCCGTTGAGGACGGAAACGTGCAAATTGGCCCACAAGAAGAGAGACGTCATGAAAGACAGACGCTACCGGTTGTTCGGAATCTAGCAAGCGGGGTACCGGCGGTTCTTTTCTTACCGGAATCCGAAGATTTGGGACGTGTTCCCTTCACTGTCGCTCTGCTCTCGTTGGAAGTTTTCCATTCTACATTTGCCCAACCCACTCCTGATCGCCTTCTTTCGCTCACCGTTTGAATCACCCATATTTATGCAGTGACCCGAGACTCAGCGGCTGGGTTGGAATCAGTGGGAGTCATCGGCGGTAACTTCACTCGAAGTCTCCAAACGAAAGGAACGAAAACAGCCCTTCCCAAAGACACACGGTCAAAATGTCGTCGGGGTACGCCAACAACCAGTTCGCTGCCTTACGGTCATTGAAACGAGTGCGACGGCCGGCTGGCTCCACTCCGACGGGCCTCGGAAATCCCAGGTTATCAGAAGCAGTGCTGGCTGCTGCAGGGTCTGAAACAGCCGGGGAGCAGAACACCGAGCAATACGAGGCACCGTCACGAATTGACCGGACGGAAGCGGTCTCGCCAAAGCGCAAACGGGTGGCGAGGGGAACGGCAGATGGACAGGCTAGAGATGTGCCAATGTCTACGGTGGAGCAGCGACCGGAAACCTTTGTATCGAACGGGGTAGACCTGTGCATCGTCAGGTTGAAGGCCGACGAGTCAGTATGCTTCAACGGCGTCTTCGACTTTGCCGTGCTGAAGGGGACGGTGCAGGTGTATGGACATACGTTCCACAGTGATCCAGTATGGTCGTACATCGCAGCACAACCTCACGCTGCGAAAGCACCATATCCCGGGTTGGACTTTGTCCAATGCTACAGCCCCACAACGCACGCTTTGCCCGTGTTCAGAGCCACCCAGCAACCAGCGAACCAGAGGAGCATGCCTCCATCGATATCTATGTCGGAAGCGAATGTAGATCAAATCTCGCTGGCTTCTGTTCAGAAACTGCTAGTGAAGGTAGCTGAAGGCCCGCATCAGCTGCTGGATGAGACCCTTTTGCTGATTCGGGCCATGTCTGATCGAAGCGTTGTAAACATCGGACGACGTGTGCCGGGATTCGCGCATCTGTTCAGAAGCAAAGATCAACATACCGGGGTACGTCCGACCTGAGGGAACCGAGGGTGATGTAAATGCTGCAACATCTGACACATCTCCAAGCAGCTTCTCGATATCCCCGGTGTCTACCCGCTATGGAATTCCACACCTGAACTGAAGCCATTGATAATACCCAAACCATGGGAAGATGTTACTGAGGGCAGCTTAAGCGAGAGCGACGGCACCCCGGACCGTTCGGTCCATTGCGTCGTCGGATCCAAAAATATGGGGAAGTCAACGTTCGCCCGGTACCTAGTGAACAAGCTGCTAAACCGGTACGTCCTTGCAAAGATTTCCTTTGGATCGAATGACGCTTACTGAAGTTGTATTGCCACCTGTGACAGATACGAGCGTGTCGCATACCTGGATTGCGACTTGGGTCAATCAGAGTTCACACCGGCCGGCATCGTCTCCCTGCATGTTATCACTAGGCCATTACTGGGTTTGTGCTATTCCACCACCTTTCGCGGCCTCTGTAGCACACCTAATACCTATGTAATGCGCTCCATCCAGGTCCACCGTTCACCCTCCTACGAGATCCATACCAATGTTACTTCATCGGAAGCAGTTCACCAAAAGAGGACACGGATCACTATCTAGCATGCTTACGAGAATTGGTAAACGTGTACGATAAGGAGCTGCTGGCTCAGGACGACATTCCCGTTCCACTGGTGATCAATACGCATGGCTGGGTCAAAGGTACGTGAGGTCAGATATTCCCCTTCGCACAAACTTCACATCATCTGACAATTGAGGAAACCAGGAATGGGACTTGACCTCCTCGTCCATTTCTTACTCGACGCACGGCCATCACGGATATATCAGTTAGGCGTCCATGAGACCACGTCGTATAGTTCCGCAAAGAACATCAATGTGGATTTGAAAGCGATTGTGAACGATATGTGTGGTGGAGGGTATACCGGGCAGGTCTTGCATATACCCACGTCAGCGGATCTCAGTTTGCCACGGTGCGTTGCGTGCAAATCACCGTGTACAATCGCCTGTATGCGGGCCACGGCTAAAGAATCCGTTCTCTACCGATCCACACAGGCAAAACACCGTCCGCTTTGGTGCCAGCGAGCTCCGCCACCTCTCCCTACTCTCCTACTTCCATCAATCCGCATTCGGCCCCTCGCTCTCCAACTCCCACTCCACACCATCCGCCCCAACAAACCCGACATGGAACTTTGACGAATCCCTCACAGCACAATTACCATATGAAGTACCTTTCCAAACCGTCCGGATCATGTTCCCTAATGCTGAAGTGCCGTTTAGTCAGACTCTACATGCGCTGAATGGGTGCATCGTCGGGCTGGTGATCGATCGCACGGAGTACGCTGCCGCACCCGTGGTGGATTCCGAGGAGGAGGAAGGCAACGCCGATGACACCGAGACAGAGACAACCACCAGCGCAGCATCGTCACTGCGGATCATCCCACCAGGCGTTTCAATCGCCCCGCACAGGCACTATTGCGTCGGGTTGGGCCTGATACGGGGAATTGACCCCGTGAGACAGGTCTTTCATGTCTTGACGGGCCCCATCCCGGCGGAACATCTGTCGATGGTGAATACGCTGGTTAGAGGGCCGGGGTATGAGACGCCTGTGGGGCTTTTTGGCAGCGGTTATGAGGTAAGGGCGCTCTACAGGAGATGGCTGTACGATCGATTTTGCTGAACCGAGTCTTTTTTGGATTCGCTCGCAGAATTCCCGTGCGCACTTACCCTACACCAGTCGCCTATCTTCCGAAGGTTTCGGATCACTAGCATGGCGTACGCGACACAACCTTCTCCGCAAGCGGCCCAGACAGCTGTAGACGCCCTCAATAGTCCGCAACTTCCTTCGATTTAGATGTCCTTTGTAGACACCTCGGATAGACCTTACCCAGCATAATTTAAGAAAACCACAACCTCTTCACGAGCCTCGAGCGCATTGAACAGAACCCATGCGAAAACCTGCGTATTCATTCGAGAAAAAAGAAACTCTATGTACAGTCTAAAAAAACGTAAAAGGTGCAACTATGTTACAAAAAGACTACGCCTCGACTAAATCTGGTGTCCAAAACGAACGATCAATGCGTGACGGACGGGGATGTTGCACATACGCCGTACGTACGTACAAAATTTACGCAAGACTGGTACCAGCCGCACTCAATGCACTCTCCTCCACATACGTAAAACCCCTAAACTCCTCCTGGATCGTCTGACTCAGCGGTGCCGATGAGCGCGGTAAAGAGTCGACAGGCAAGGCGTCGGTGAAGGCCGGGTCAAAGTTGGAGGTATCTGTTTCGGATTCGACCTGAGGTTTGAAGGGAGGCGTGACTTGCTTTTTGAGGAGTTTGTCCCATTCGACGTCGTGAAAGAAGGGTTGTTGGCGGATCTCGGCGGCGTCGGCTGGGCCGCCGCCTAGGCGGGAGCGCGGGTCGCGGTGCAGGAGCTATATCGTGGAGAGGTTCGTCAGACTGTGATATCATTCTCGAAGGCTGGTGGAAGGACCTACCCCTCGCACAAGCTGTTGCGCTGGCATGGAGAACCCTGGAGGGAATAACAGCTGGTTGTGGAGAATCTGCTTATACATCAAGTTGATGTTCTCGGAGTAGAACGGCGGCAAGCCGGTAGTCATTTCTGGAAGAAGAAGGACTCAGTAACATGGTCGTTCAACCTTATTTCATCAATTTCCAGCTCACCAAAGAACAGGATCCCCAAAGACCACCAATCGACGGCTTTGCCATAACCTTGCCCCGTCAAAACCTCGGGCGCCAGATACTCGGCTGTGCCGCAGAATGTGTTGGTCGTATCGTTGAACGAAACATTCTCTTTGCATAGGCCAAAGTCTGTGAGAGCGATGTGTCCGGTACTGTCCAGCAAAATGTTCTATGTAACATGATGTTAGCTTCGGCTTCGCAATATCTGAGCAGCCTTGCCAGACGTGAACTCACCTCGGGCTTCAGATCCCTGTAGACAATGTTATACTTATGCAGATGCTCCAGCGCGAGGACAAGTTCACATGTATAGAACTTTGCTCGCTCTTCACTGAAAGCAGTTTCCTTCTGCAGGTGGTAGAAGAGCTCTCCTCCGTTCATGTAATCCAGGACGAGGTAGAGTTTTTCAGGTGTCTGGAAGGAGAACTTGAGGCCGACCAGGAATGGGGATGTCGCCTGGATGAGGACGTTCCTCTCGGATAGTGTGTGCGCGATCTCTTGACGCTCTACGATATCCTTCTTCACCAGCACCTTCATGGCGTAGATACGACCTTGGCAAAAAACGCTTAGTCCGGTTGGCCGTCGCGACACTGCGTAACATGCAAATGCAACACACCTGTATCCTTCTTCTTGACCTGCAGGACTTTCCCAAAGCTGCCCTTTCCAACCACCTTCAGCAGCTCAAAATCTGCCGCGGTCAAAGTCCTCGCCTGCACCGACCGGTACAACATCTGGATCCGGATCTCGCCCTTTACCCTCTCCTTCCATTGCCGTGGTTGAAGCCTGAACCAGTTGTCATGCAGCTTCCCGTTGATTCGCGACGGTCGGATCTTCATCATGCCCAAGAAACCTTCGCCGTGGCGTGGATCCGCCCCTGCACGGTCCCATATGGTTATGGTGACCTCTCCGTCTGGTCGGGCAACATCACTAGTGGGAAGGGAAAATCAGCCGGTTGTCATACTGAAACTGTCCTGGTCCAGGACGCAGCAGCGTTCGAGGGCCGTCTCCCAATAAAGGGGCTGTGCAAGCCGATACTCACAACGTGGCTTCATGTTTCCACACGGAATAAGCGCTCCGGTCGTTACAGAATTGCCCGTTGTTGCCGGCCATGAAGCTCCCGTCCATGTTCCCGCCAATCCTCCCACCCTGCAGTTGGTCCTTGCTACGCCATTCCCAGTGCGCCTCCCGTGTGACAAACTCGTTCTTTTCGAATTCGACGACGCAGTACGGACGCGAGGAGGAGTCGCGGACGAGGAGGTTTCGTGCTTCGACGACTTTGATGCACAGGCAGCCTTTGGCGGCGTGAGCGTTCTCTGCGACGTCCCACGGTTCGTTTCCCGTCACCATGGTTGGCGGTTGATGTGAACTTAGTGGGTAAGGGAGTTTGGCTGTCGTGGGAAAGTTTGAAGGATTTCAACTCCTGTGGCTTCCTATCTTTGCAACTATATTTCAGGGACGGCTTCAAGTCTGTAAGACCCCTTTGAGTGACTGGAGCTTGTGTGCAGAGCTGCAAGCCAATATACAGTAGTCGTCTTCGTGAGTTGGAGTTCTCTCTCAGCGTTGTCGAAATATACACCTACGTATACAGAGGATTCGTGGACGTCCAAGCCATTACATATCTTTAAAGATGGAGCACAGGCACGCAGCCATACGTCTTACGTGTACAATACAGTTACAATCGGCAGGAGCGGCCTCCTGGCGGCTCATATCCGTCGTGACAGCCACAACACATGCAATCCACATAACAGTGATAACACTGCTGACCGGGAAAAGCTGGCCGAGCTGCGTGCAAACCTGTTGCAAGGACCAACCCTCTGAAGATGAAGAGGCCCACGAGGAATTCTGACGGCTTGTCAACCATTGAGGTTACCGCGGGTCTGGCGCCCGGGAAAACTTTCGAAGCGATAGGACCAGCGGTACTCGACCTTCCTTCGACCGTCTCCTATTGGCGGTTGGGGCTTGGCAATGAGACCGTGTAGATAAGCTATCCGTAACGAAAAGGTAACAAGCATTTCCTACAGTCATCAAATTTCAAACCGAACTCCAACTCGAGGCTTCTAATTAAGCCCCACATATAATATTCCTAGGTCCGTTGCCAGAGGCTAGTGGCTAGTATACGGTACGTACTGTACTTTGTCCGAAAAATCCTGGCCTCTCAGGCGGACAATTTACGGGCGCTTTTACTAATTGGGTTTGAGATAAGTTCGAAACTTTTTTGACTTAGAATCCTACATAATTCTACGTAAGAACCGTCGAAACGACATCAAGTGTAACTGATGAACCACCATGGAAGCGTTCTTGAATCTTGAACAATTGAGCTGAGAATTGAAGCCTCCTTCTATGGTGGAGAAGCAACATGAATAGGGCCCGTGTGACGCGCGTTGTTTCCAACGTTTAATTCTCATGACTCAGAGGGAATTCACTGCGCCACACGCGTTTTGGGCCCGTCAATCGCATCGCTTTCCGCTCACATAAAAGAGCGGGACAGGGGATTCATGCCCTTGCTTTCCCATCGCATCTCCCAACTTACAACAACGCAAACAACTCAACATGGCTTCCGTTTTCTGAACCCCCTTTCGGCTACCGCCACCCAGCCTTTCGCCCTCTCCGTCATCCACCAGTGGCTTCCGCCTACCCAGCATCCTGCACCCCCACCCCAGTGAACACGCCAAAATGGCTTCCCTCCACCACCCCACGCATGAACTAGTGACCTCTGTCGACTTTGCTCTACTGCTGCTAAGACACAAGCAACTGAGATAGTTTTTCATCTCCGCCTATCTACAATACAACATACTCTTTTGAGTGAAGCTTTTTTCCTCATCCGTTAACCCGTACCGTTATCGATCTCGATATGACCGCGATGAGCGACGAAGTCTTTGACGCTGAGCTTCGGGAGCTGCTTGGTGCAGGTGTGTATTCTTTCTACTTCTCGTTCATTTGTGTATGATCGATGGCTGATGAACATTGTCTTCTTTAGTGGGATGCCAGAGCCCGACCGCCGGCAATGTGTTCGGCGACGTGACCACTCAATATGGAGTCGCCGACCTGTTGATGGGTAGTGGTGTGGCCGATGCTACCGCCACGTCCCCTGCCCTCTTCGATGTGGATGCCTTCCTCACTCCTGAACTCACCGGCTTGGATGTCTTCCCGGACGGCTCTGCATTCGGAACGTTCTCCGGCATCCAGGAGAGCCCTGCGGCGTCCAGCGTGTTCTCGTCCCCTGCATTCGACATTCCCATGCAGGATTTCGCCATGGGCTCATTCGATGACGCTCTGCTGTTCCCTGACCTGGGCGTGATGGAACCTTCGTTGGACCAGAGCTTTACTCCTTTGGGTCCTACCAACACTCACACTGTTCCTATTACTGCCACCGCCCAGCCCGCTTCCGCGTTGACCTTCGACCCCACTATCCTTGCCGCTGCGGCGGCCGCTAGCGGACTCAACGTCGAAGCGCTCCAAAAGTCGCTCCAGGCCTTCGCCGAGTCTCAAAGCTGTGTGAAGACCGCTACTACCGTTACTCCCGTCGCAAACCCCTCTTCCGAGCCCAGGACTCAATATCCTCCTTCCGGCCGCAAGCGCAAAGAATACCCGTTGGACGCTGAGCTTCTCCTTGCGGAACTGGACTCCAAGCGTCAGAAGAACACGGAGGCCGCTCGCAAGTCTCGTCAGAAGAAGCAGGACCGGCTCAACGAGTTGGAGGTCATGGTCAAGCAGCTGTCCGCCGAGCGCGATGGATTGAAGGCGGAGTTGGTGGCTGAGAGGGAGGCGAGGGCTAGCCGTGAGGTTGACCAGCTGCGAGAGGTTGCGGAGTTGAGGAAGAGGCTTGATGCGTACGAGCGGAGGAGCCGGTAGAGCCGATAGCGCTGGCGTTGAATCCTCCGCACATATCTTGATGGAGTTCCTAGATTTTTTTTTGTTGACTTCTTATGACTGTCTTTCCTAATGTTCGCTTTGGCTACGGTGCATCTCTAAAATCGAAATGCTGTACAAGCACTTTCATTAGCGTTCTTGACTTGCTCATCTTTGGGCTTCTCGGGGTCTTGTCTGACCGTTGAGGTTTGCCGGAGCAGTTCCAAACATAAGCGAGAGTAAATCTTATCTGCACCATACGAAATTTCTTCTCGGATCTGGGAAGCAGAAGAGATCCATGGATCCTGATAGGACTCCGATCCACACTATCACTTCAGCTGAGCACCGCTCCGCCCGTGTAAGATGTGAGGTGACGACGTTGTTTCTGAAGGCGGCGGTACGAGCGTCGAGCGTCGAGAGTGATCTAATCGTGGAAGCGCGCGCAACGCGACCCCAAGACTCCCAACTGCCCAAATGACATTCCCGCGTGTCCGTGGCTTTTGGCCGTCTCCTTTTCTCCTTTTCTGAGGTTTTTTTTCTTGGAAAGCCCACCAGACCTCCATCGTGCAGCTGCCTTCTTTCCCAAAACGATAGAAAATTGTCACACGCACTGAAAGGCACGGGCGCAACTCCTGCGTGCCCGACCGCATCTTCAGCTTGCCCAGTCAACGACGATGCTCCGAGTGCGTCCAACCACCTTCGGGCTTCTCCGAGCAGGCCTACGGCCGTCATCGCTGTCACTTCCTCAATACCATCTCCAGAACCACCCAGGACCCCTCACCACTTGTCCACATGCTCCCTCGCACTCGCGCCAGCCATGTTCGCCCGCCATCTCCGCGGTTCGAAAAATGTCCACGGCAGCGATGAGTCTGGAGCCGGTGACGATTCCCATTGAACGGACCGCTGCAAAACCTCCTCCGCCAGCGCCAAAGGACGATGATCATCATGCTGTTGTGAGCACGTTTGATTTGTTTAGTATTGGGGTTGGGCCGTCGTCGAGGTATGTTTTGTTTTGTGTCGTTGGCGTGGGGAACTGGGGGTCGCCGAGCGCTGTGAGGGCGGAGAACTGTGTCGAGCCCTGCGAACCGCTGAGACGAGCGAAGGATGAAACGCAATTCGGCACAATCCTTAATCGTTCTGCCCCAAATCCGTTGAACCAGTCACACAGTAGGCCCGATGCGAGCAGCCAAGATCTTCCTAGAAGACCTCAAAAAAGCCAACGTTCTTGATAAAGTCCAAATCATGAAGGTACACCTCTACGGCTCCCTCGCCCTAACCGGCGACGGCCACGGCACTCCCAACGCCATCCTCATGGGCCTCGAAGGCGAAGCGCCCGAGTCCGTCGACACACAAGCGATGCCCGGCCGCTGCCACAAAATCGCCGAGACATCCACGCTGCGACTTAACGGGACGCATCCGATCGAGTTCCGGCCTGCGAAAGACTTGATTTTCCACCCGGACGCGTCTTTACCGCAGCATCCGAACGGGATGCGGTTCCTGGCAATGGACGCCGACGCCGAGTTGATTGCGTGTAATGAGTATTTCAGTATCGGGGGCGGGTTCGTCGTTAACGAAAAGACGCGGGTGGCGCATGGCGAGAACGTGTTCTACATGGAGTACGACGCATCCAACGTGGAGGAAGGGCGGAAGAACCAGGACGTCGCTGTCACAACCGCCGCGTTACCGTTTAGTAACGGCCTGCAATTGCTCGAGGTGTGCCAGCGGGAACATATGAGCATCGCGCAAGTAGTATGGGAGAACGAGCGCCGGTGGCGGAGCGTCGCAGAAATTAGGGAGCGGACAAAAGCGATTTGGCAGGTTATGGACAATAGTATAGAGAATGGTTGTCTGGCTGGCGAGAACGATATTCTCCGCGGCGGGTTGAATATCAAGAGACGGGCGCCGAAACTGTACCGGAAGCTGCTGCGTGGGTTTTATGGAGGTCCCAAACTGGGAGGGATCTCAAATGACTCTTCTAGGACGTCGGCGTCGACGACCAATACTCCAGTAGACATGTCTACCAACCGTGGTTTCGTTTCGCAGGTACGCCTGTCCTTTCCTCCTCAGACTAGGCTCCGAATGCATGATCGCCCGCTTACGTTGGTCATCCCTTTTGCCGACAATAGTACAAGAAAGACGGCGTAGAACTGCTCAAACGGCGGCGGAAGAAGCGAATGGTCGCGCCTGCTCTCGACTTTCTTAGCGCCTACGCCATCGCAGTAAACGAAGAAAACGCCGCCGGTGGACGAGTAGTCACGGCGCCCACCAACGGTGCAGCAGGGTCGGTATTCAAGCCCAACATCTCAATTCTATAAGCGTGCAAAGAAACTCACTGCAGCTACATTCTATCTATTCTAGTGTGATCCCAAGCGTTCTAAAATACTACCTAGAATTCTCCTCCGACGAGGCAACCTCAGCCTCGCCCGACTACGAAGCGCTAGAATCCGATGTGATCGAGTTTCTGTTCACGGCGGCCGCCATTGGGATGCTATACAAACGTGGTGCGAGTATCTCGGCTGCAGAGATGGGATGCCAAGGCGAGGTTGGCGTGGCGTGCAGTATGGCTGCGGCGGCGTTTGCGGCGGTGATGGGAGGGACGGTGCAGCAGGTCGAGAACGCGGCTGAGATTGCTATGGAGCATAATTTGGGATTGACGTGCGACCCGGTTGGCGGGTTGGTGCAGGTAAGGATGGCGAATTTGGAGGACAGATCGCTGGTTTGGCCCCGCGTATAGGCGCTGCATTATTCCAACGCTATCGTCTCCTGGCAGATCCCGTGCATCGAGCGCAACGCTTTGGGTGCCGTCAAAGCCGTCACCGCCGCACAGCTCGCACTGAATGGGGACGGCGAGCATCATGTATCTCTGGACGCAGTCATCGAGACGATGCGCCAAACCGTAAGTTGAAGCCTCGCAATGCAGCTGATCATTGCGAACGTTTCTTGCTCACGTCCATCCTTCCCTTTCCATAGGGCCACGATATGATGTCCAAGTACAAGGAGACATCACTTGGCGGGCTTGCCGTTAACGTTCCGTTATGCTAGCGGACTTTGCTTCCATCGTGCTTTCCCTCACTTCCTGCATCTCAGTCCTCGGGCCAACAACCCACGACGACAGGGTGTAGGACGTTTTGGTTTTAGCGGTACCACCCCGTTTAGACCTTGACTCTGTCTCATCCCATGCATTCATCCACATTCGCCTCGAACTGCACCCCATAGACCTTTTTCCATCCCGGTATCCAGCATGTCCTTTAGCAATCGGCGTCGGACATTCATCATAACATATCATATAGACCGAGGTCTTTTGGTTTTTCGTGAGGCCTCTACGAATCCCTGCATGCCTGGCATTTCCAGATGCCCTTCGGTACTTTCGAAACGCCGGCGCACTGAAAATGGAACCATGAACCCGCGGGACAATCCTGCACAACAGACAGTCAATATCAATATTCATGGTCGTACTCTGCACGATTTGTGATGTATGTTGCTCCTCACCGATCCAGCGTTACATTCAATCATGGGAACATCGGGCCCCAAATCCTCCTTGCAAAAGCAATATATGCTCGTATTGAAGCCTCGCGTGGCGACCGGCGGCCTCTTCCTCCGCCGCGGCGAGGAATGTTCGACTGGTTGCGGTTTGCGCTTACGAGACACTGCCGCGTCTTTCGCTCTGCCGGCGGCGGCCTTCAGGGCTTTGGCGGCCTCCATCTCGGTCATTGAAGGTCTTCTCCCCGACATGGACGACGATGAGGATGACGCCGCAAATCGTGGATGTGAATTGGAGGTTGTTTCGGACAGGACTACCCGGGGTTTGACCGTCTTTGGTATCGTGATGGTGCGTTTCAATGACTTTGCGGCAAATGTGGATGTCGATGATGATGGCGGTAGTTGCTGGGAACGCTGCGAATTCTCGCCATCCGATGCATCCTCGACTGTGTCCTCAGCTCCGTCGTCGGGTCGCAAATCACCCCACAGACCAGGCCCGGCATCTGACCGACATACTCTCGCAATCAGCACCCTCAGCTTCACGTCTTGACAGCTCACGCATCCCATACCTGGCGGAACCCCCGTCTCCCCAAACACCCTCAGATACTCCGTCCGCTCGCTAACCATACACTCCATCTCAACCGCCAACACCGCCTTCATCTCCGCCGCCGCCTTGTACTCTGCCACCAGCTCCGCCAAACGGTGCACCCGCGCCCGCAGCCCTGATGCTGACGTGGTGCGTATTTCCTCGAGCGTGCTGTCTAGCTCCTCCATAAGGTTGTATTGCGCTGTGAAAGAGGTAGCTGTGGTTTCGGCGAGCTGTGTGAGGGACGAGGGGTGAGGAGGAGGGGTCGCACTTCTACGCGAGGAAATTGGGGTGCATATTCGTACCCTGGCCATCCTCGCGCCGGTTTCTGAAGTGAGTGCCTCCGTCGCTAGTGTTTCGGTAAGTGTTAATAGCTACCCACGAAGATCATCCCCCTCCCCTTGCCATTTCGAGCGCAGATTCCTCACCATCCAGGTATTCCTGCGACATCCCGGCGCGTGAGTCCAAAAAAGCACTCTTGGATGAGGCAACGAGCGCCAGCACTTACATTAAGGAACTGAACATTCCTGTGGCTTTGCATTGTGAGCGAGCCTTTCGTTGCTGCTACTCGTCGCACCTTGCTTGCTCAGTGTGCCTTTTTGTGTGCAAGTGTGGTTTGGAGTCCATCAGGGTTCGGACATGTCCCTCGACGCGTTGCCCGGTCACGCAGAATCACGCTCCTCCCACCCAGCTCAAGATCATACCAAACCGACGCGTTTGAGAGGACCCACCACAGGACCCACGAAGGGTTTCGGCGAATGGCGCAAAATGTGATAAATTAGAATATGTATGCTTCGTTCTAGGCTCTATGGGTTCCGCAGATATGAAAAGCCCCCTTGGAAGCAGTTCCGCCATTTCTGCATATAAACATCTTCCTACAAAAACAGCTTCAAGCTTGCTATGACTTTCCGCGCGCGAGTCAAAATGATGGAAGTTGACGACTTTGCGCTTCCACTATCAGCTTCCGTTGATGCGTCCTCCTCGTCGCTGGAAGAGTCATCGTCATCTGATTCTTCGAAAGTGATTTTATTGCCGTCCTTGGTTCCAGCTTTTGGGATGGCAGAATCGGGGTTCGCCAGATGTACGAGCTCTTTGGCTTCGGCGACCGTTTCCTGAGATTGGGTTGCGTTTACTTCAGTCCTGGTGACCTAAGGCAAGTGCTGGTAATCGATGACACATACCTCCCGCGCTCTTGGTCCCAAATTCTGCACATATTCCAATGCCATCTCAAATGTCTTATCGTCCATCTGAGTTCGCACCACAAGACAGCCTGTGTTAACAAGTCGGGCCGCGATGGATATAGGCGGCACCGCAAGTCCTCACCTGATTCGAGTACCACATATTCCGAAGAATCCACACTTGCCGAACTTTCTGGAACTTCCACTCAGAGCGGTTCTGGACGTACAGCCGGAGGTACTCGAGAGCTGCATCCCGCTTCTTTCGATCGCTCGCCTTCTCAGCGGTAGGTGGAGCTACGAGTTTCGAGCTAGGTTCCGTTCCGTTTTCCACAGCAGCGGTGTTGGATGTGCTCACAGCCCTCTCTTCTGCTTCTGCAGACGGCGCATCCTTGGAAGCGGCAGTATCTAACTCTAAAAGCTTTGTTCTCAGGTTCACACGCTGTTTCCGCTTCTGAGCCTCAGTCGGTTTGGTTTTCGGTCTGGGTTTACTCGACTTCTTCTTTCTCCGTTTCGATGGCGTCTTCGTTTTGGCGTCTGTTCCCTCACCAGTAGGCAGTCCTTCTCTACCATCACCGCCGCCGGTCCCTGAGGCATCCGCTATGGGTGGCTCTGCGCTTTTGATCTTCTTCAGGATCCCGGCCTTCTTTGTGGGCTCCGTCGCCTGAGTTGCCTCACTATCCACCTCCTTTCTCGCCTTTTTCGATTTCGGCTCGTCAACCGTCCCCGCACCTGAATCCGCTTCCGTAGCTGGTTTCTTACTCTTCTTCTTCTTTTCTGTTACATTTTCGGCTGGTGCGTCGGCTGTAGCGTCTAATTTCCGCTTTTTCGATTTTTTGCCTGTTTCGGGCGTCGGTTGGGCCACTGTTGCATCATCTGCCTTCATTTCCACGGCAGCCGCCTTCTTTTTATCCCATTTCTTCTGCTTTTCGGCTACGGTTGCCGACTCCTCGTTCGTTGCCACTGCTGAACCCGGAAGTCCCTCGCTTTCGGGGCCCTTCGTTTTCGTTTTCGAGCCCATGTTCCGCTAATACTTGACTCGAGGACCAGTGTTTCCCGATACCAGCGACTTGGCAAGACGTTCTCGGCGCTGTTTCGAAAACGGGATGGTATAGATATGCTTGGGCCGTTACAGTATTATAGCACACGCTTGTGCAAATGCAGAAAGTTCAAAAGCCCAAATGCCCTTTTTGCAAGCGTCTGTCGTACTGTATGTACATATGTACGCGAGATGATTAGGCGTAATGCAAGCAAAAACCGCATGGTTGATCAAGGGGTCAGATTAGCGACGGAAGGAAAACGCGTCATTCGGCCTTATCTGCGGACCCCTTTAGCCATCACTCGATCAACTGAGTATTTACATTAGAACGTTAATCATTTGTATCATGGGGGAGGCGAATTTCGCAGTTCGTATTACAAACGCATGTGAGATCGGGCTCGTTTCTTCCGCCGACAACCCCCCATAACAAGGCATTCGGGAAAGCTCCGAGTTCAGTTCAATTTGATCAACGTTCGGAGTCAAAAAGCTGCTTGCGAGTTACGACAGGGACTATAGGTGCCAGCAACAGCCGTCTACCAACAACCGTTCAGTGAAACCCACAGTCTAGCGGTCCCCACGCAAGTGCAAAGTGACAGGTTGCGAGTATTGAATAGGCTTCCATTGGAATACGACGAAGACCTACTCTTTTCACCACAATGTCTCCGTCTTTGGGATCCGCACTCCGTCTCGCTGGCCGGTCTCTCTCTGGGCTGAGGCCCAGGCCGTCGCAGCTATCCACAGCGCCGAATGCCAGGCCCATCCTCACACACTCTTGCCAGCGGACCTTTGTATCATCCGCTGCGAGCAGGTCCGCTACTGCTGTACAAGACCCTGCGCTGAAAGAAGATCTCTCTTTCGAAGGTATGCTTGGCCCGGTTGATTTCTTTGTTTCTCTCGACTGCTCGGTGAAAGCTTTTCTGACTTCCTCCCCACCTCATATAGCAAATAACTTCGATATCCAGAAGGTCGAACATGAAGGAAGGCCCGTATATCTGGATGTGCAGGCGACAACTCCGATGGACCCACGAGTAGTCGAAACCATGCTGCCATATATGACCCGTTTCTTCGGAAACCCCCACTCGCGGACGCACCAATACGGATGGGAATCAGAGAAGGCAGTCGAGCATGCGCGAAAGGAGGTGGCAGATCTGATTGGGGCGGATCCAAAGGAGATTGTTTTCACTAGCGGAGCGACGGAATCGAATAACATGAGTGTGAAGGGTGTGGCCCGGTTCTACAAAGCCAAGAAGAACCACATCATTACGACGCAGATTGAGCACAAGTGTGTGCTGGATTCTTGCCGTGTGCTCCAGGAGGAGGGATTCGATGTTACATATCTGCCGGTGAAGAAGAACGGGCTCGTCGACTTGGCGGTACGTGTGGTTACGACTTGGTGAATTATTCACTGTGGTTGGTGCCTAATGCGACTTCATCAGGAATTGGAGAAGGCCATTCGACCAGAAACATCATTGGTCTCCATTATGACAGTCAACAACGAAATCGGTGTCATTCAACCAATGGAAGAGATCGGGAAGATTTGCCGGGCACACAAGGTCTTCCTGCACGTAAGTAATTCAGTCCTTTGAAGTGGTGAGCAATCCATTAATCCGTCACTACAGACGGACGCTGCCCAGGCCGTAGGGAAGATACCCGTAGACGTTAACAAATGGAACGTGGACCTGATGTCCATTTCGGGTCACAAAGTATACGGACCAAAAGGCATCGGAGCAGTCTACGTACGTCGTCGCCCACGTGTTCGTCTCGAACCCATCATGTCCGGCGGTGGCCAAGAGCGTGGTCTGCGTAGCGGGACAGTGCCTACCCCGCTTGTCGTCGGTCTCGGAAAAGCCTGCAGCATCGCGCAGGCGGAGATGGGCAAAGACGCCGCGCATATCAAGGAACTGTCGGACCGTCTAATCAATGGCATCAACGCCAAGGTTGATATGGTCGTCAGGAACGGGGACCCGGACTCGACATACCCCGGCTGCGTCAACCTGTCCTTTTCCTATGTGGAGGGAGAGTCGTTGTTGATGGCTCTGAAGGACATCGCATTGTCATCCGGCTCAGCTTGCACCTCAGCGTCCCTCGAACCGTCATACGTCCTGAGAGCACTTGGTGCCGATGAGGATATGGCGCACTCGTCTATCCGGTTCGGAATCGGCAGGTTCACAACCCAGGAAGAGATCGACTTTGCTGTTCAGCGTGTTGTTCAACATGTCAGCAGGCTTAGGGAGATGAGTCCATTGTGGGAAATGGTATGTGGTTGCTGCCCTTCTCCGAAACCCCCACATATGCTGACGAGCTTCCAAAATTCTTAGGTCCAGGAAGGTATCGACCTGAAGAGCATCCAGTGGGCACAGCACTAGTCATAGTCATAGTCACGAATCTTTCGCCCAAACGCTCGAACTCAACCTCACCTTGAGATCGCCGATCCCCATCGCATTATGCAACAATCGACCCGACCCGGCTCACGTCCGACGGATCTCTCCTTTAGAGAGCATATGTAGCTTGTGCAGCAGTGCGTTCCACGTGGGCAACCTAGTTCTGGCCGTTGGCATCGTAATGTGTAGCTCCTTCTCCCATTCACAAGTTCCGTTGCCCACATCCCCTACTCAAAAGGGAAAGCACTGATGGCGATACTTTCTTCTTACGCAAAACACACACTGTCTTTGTAAATAATATCACTTCACCCGCTTTGGGCATCGTAATCATTCACGCATTTGCAAACTTTATGACTTTGGAATAAGGAAGCGATATACGAAATGGATGGCTGTGAGTTCTATATGATGCGGAACGGGGACTCGAAACTTAAAAGCACCAAGCGTTGTCTGTATTATTAGCGCCGCCCCAGTCTTACTGTGTACATTTATATGTCTTAAAATGTGGAAAAGGTATCTCTCTGCTAGTCCTCAGAGGGGAAAAGATCCAGCCTTCCCGCATCTACAATATCGGTGTAACTATATAGATATCTACTTGTTTCTCTCCATCGCCTCCCACGGCGCAACCTGCGCCCTCTGCCCATACGCCGCCATATAGTTCATACTGAACCCCCCACTCTGCGCCTCCTCCGGGCCCGTGAACGACGGTACACGATGCGCGATGTTCTCGGGTGTCATGGCACGCGGTTCAAGCAGACATGCTAGGGTGGGTTTGCGGGATAGGGCTTGTGGCGGTGTGGATATCAGCGACATGCTGGAGGCGGTAGCGGAAAGGGGGTGGAGCATTCGGGAGGATGCGACGGATTCGCGGGAGATGGACGCGTCGGGGTTGTTACCGATGAGTCCCAGGTAGCTGTCGGATTGCATTTGAGGAGGGTTGTCACCATCATCACCACCACGGATGCTGGGGTTGCGGTTGCGACGTGACCGTCCTCGTCTGCTGTGGTACATAACGACGGAGGCTGCAAAGACGGCTAGGAAGGCGACAACGGAGACGGCTGCGATGATGATTTTTTTGCGGCGGCGGAAATGGTCCCAGTTTTTGTGGGCGTCTTCGGCGACTTGGATGATGGTTGTGGTAGGAGGTTGTTGTTGGTTTGTTGATGCGCGGCCGGTGGTGGGATCGATGATGGGAGTGGAACTGTCGGCGGCCATTGTTGCTGTGGCATTGCGGGCGGATGGGACTGGCGTCGCTCCTACGAGCTGGCCCGTCACGATTGTTGTTGCCGAAACGCCCTCCGTGTGCCGATGGTGTCCCCACCTAGTCCCGTTTCCTATTCGATACACCGTAACGAATCCACCCGGGCTTGTTGGTGGTGCGGGCATGCCTCCACAACCGCCTGGTATGTTCCCAACCACCGGGCACGGTGCGCTACAATTTGCGTCGGGGGCATCCGCTGTTCTTCTCCATTCTCTAAAGCCAATGCTAAAGTCGGCACCCAGGCATAAACCAGGAGTGCCCTGTAATGGATTGGGTGCCGCAAGCCCGCACATGTCCAACGACTGCTTGTCGCAGAGTTCCAAGCAGCCTTCTATGGTGCCCTGCAAGGTCGAAAGGCGTCCTAAATCTTCGAACGACCCCAAGTTGGTAACGAGGGGATTCGTGTCATCGTTGCGAAAGCATCCTACTAAGCGATTAGCTACCGTTTCAGGTGCTTTGTTCAAATAGGATGGGCAAGCGTGATTAGCACCGGAGTCTACGTTAGAGAAGGACACCCGCACACCCCTCACATACCTCCTTGCGCAGAGACACCCAGTGTGGTGGTCAAAGTACTGACGCATAGAGAGGCCAAGCACAAACGAAGCATTGAAAGGCGGGTATATACTGTATATAGGGGATCTCGGTTACAATAGAGTTGCAGGGCCTACGACAACGTAGGATCTCGACCTTGCCAAAACAAACCCCACACCCTGCCCGGCTTTCTGGCAGCTCACTCCGACTTCCACCCAGGGCTCTGCTGCTGGGGGAAGCCTCACAGATACAGTCACGGTGTTCACACACAACATGAAGTTTACGACCGTCGACGGGACGTCGCGTGGTGACCTACGCCGCCCATTCAATTTCCAATTTGTCTTCCCGCCGCATCCCGACCATGTGCGTTGGCCCACTACCTTAGTACTTTTACCACATTCCGACGAGACAAGCCACACCTTTCCCACTATATACCGGCGAACTCGCACCCTCGGTAGTAAATAACTTGTTGTCGAGTTTGCCAGAGGTTGATGAGTGTTCGAGTCTTGAAGAGAATGGGTGGCGGCGGCACCGTCAACCCGAAATCGAAAGCCACAATCGCGACGCGTTCGACGCGCACAAGATCGCGCTCCGTTAATGCCAGAGTGCGAGCACAGTGCACCGGGTGCTTGACCAGCACACGCACCTTGTGAGAGAGACAGACTGAAGTGCGGGGACAGTCGCGCACCAGCCGCCGTTGTAAGATTGTGGTCCAAGAAGTCCTCTCCCGTCGCGACGCTCGTCTTTGGGCGCTGTGTGCTTGCTCCACAATGAGTCCACATCGGGCGCAATTTGGACTGAAAACCACTTCCTCATAGCATATAATATATAGTATATATACGGGAATACCCATCATCACTGAGGGGGGGCCACACACGGTTCATGGACTTCAACTGATTGTGCGCGAAGACCCGGTGTTCTCCCAACCGTATTCACGAGCTGTTCAAAGAGAGACCCTCCGCCGGTCCACCCTTTCGCCATTTTCCCACGGCCTCACGGATACTTTGAAGAGTGCACATACAATATCATGGATGGGTACGGCGACCCGGGTTGGTTTTCACTGAAGGCTGGGGTGGGAGAAGAAGACGGTCCGGCAAGAGCCAATGCGGGTATTATCGTCCCTCTGGCGACCTTCTTTTCCGTCGGAGGAGTGTGCTTCATGATATTCTGCTTCGTACGAAATGTCTTTCGAGACATCTACTCCCCAAGACGATTCCTTGCTGGGTATGTCGTTGAATCTGACCGGGTCTGCAATTCCCTTATATTTCTTGCTCACGCATCGTACCATACAGTGGACGACCGCCACGACTACCGGACGGAATTTTTGCTTGGGTACCGATTCTACTTCGAATGCCAGAGTCGCTGCTAATAGCGCAAGTCGGTCTGGATGGTGTCATGCTGCTGCGATACTTCAAGATGGGAGCGCATCTGTTTGGCGTTCTTAGCTTGTTCGGGCTGTTGATTGTTGCGCCCGTAAACTACTACGCCAACCCGCCGTCATACGTCAACTCGACCGGAATCTTGTTCGAGGATATCATTCTGCCGGCAATGACGGTAGAAAACGTCCCCAAACAGTCGCCAGCACTCTGGGTCCACTTGTTCTTCACGTGGTTCTTCTCGATGGTCGCCTATTCCTACCTGATATCGTACTACCGCGGACACGTAGATCTGAAGCTCAAATCTATCGAGCACGTTCTGCGCCATACGCGAATGAGCAAGATCGAGCTACGGTCGATTATAGTCTTTGGCATCCCGACCGAGCTCCGGCACGAGGTGGATCTCGCTGCTTTCTTCGAGGGATTGGGCATCGGGAATGTGGAGAACGTTGTGATTTGCAGGAAGTGGTCGCACCTGCGGGCAGCTGTGCAGAAGCGAGCCCATTACCTGACGCAGTTGGAGAAGGTCTACGCGCAGGTGATGCGCAATCTGGGAAAGAGGCCTCATCGGTTTGGTTTACCTTTTTCTGGTAACGGCGCCTCATCAGTCAACGCAGCGGGATCTGGAGGAACTCTCGATTACAACAATGGTGGACACTCTTTGAACGGCAGTGATCTCAGAGGCGGAGATTTCGGAAATGACGATGATCCTCTTGGTGCAGCACGACCCTTGCTCTCAGAGCAACGGCGATTTTCCGCTGCTTCCGACAGCGACGGAAGTGTTTTCGAGATCATGAGTCGCTTGGACGCCATAGACCCCAGGAATCGCCCCACCCATCGAACTGGGTTTGCAGGTTTGATGGGACCGAGAGTCGATTCCGCAGAGTACTATGCGGGCAGGTTTCAGGAGTGGGACCGAAAGGTGGCCAGGTTCAGGAAGTTTCCGGAGGCTAGTCCTGCTACTTCCGCCGGCTTTGTCACCTTTGAATCTCCCGAAAGTGCGGTACGTTTCTTGTCGGGAAGCTGTATTTTGCCTACAGCACTGTGAGCAAGACCGCTCATCCTTGGAAGCATTTAGATCCTGGCATCCCAAGTTCTCGTTCACAAACGTCCCTTCGCATGCATGGCCCGCCTAGCACCCGAGCCTCGCGACGTGTACTGGGACAACCTCTCCGCAAAAGGAGCGGATAGCTACATCAAGATGTTGCGATCTGTGTTCGTGACCGGCACCCTGGTTCTCCTGGTGTTCTTTTCTACTTTGATCGTGTCCACTATCACGGCGTTGATCAGTCTGGATACATTCCCGAACTTGAAAGACTTCCTCAAAGAGCTGGGACCCGGTTGGACGCAGTTCATTCAGGGAGTCATACCCGCCGTAGTCACCGCTACTTGGACGTCTAGTCTACCTGCTGTACTTATCCGTAAGTACACTGGGAAAAAGACTTTCATAGCTAGTGACGATCTCGCAGGCTAACAGTCTATTTGTCATCTTGTAGTGCTTGCTCAAGTGCAAGGTCTCGAAGCACAAAGCTGGATCGACGCTTCCGTTTTGTCCAAGTACTTCTTCTACCAGATCTGGAACATTCTGTTTGTGCAAACCGTCGCGACGAAAATCTGGCAGACCCGATACGACATCATTCGGCACGGCCCAGGAGAGATCATTGATATTCTGGGCAGCTTGGTACCCTCTGTGAGTATCGATGTACTAAGAATCTGCCCGCAAATGACTGCGGTCCTAATCTACGTACGTACATAGGGATCATCTGTACAAATCAACTACGTCATGCTCTTGGCCACCGCCGCATACCCAGCACAACTCCTCCTAGTCGGCCCACTCATCCTGACATGGCTGTACCGCGCCTTGTCCTGGCGACAGAGCACACCCAGACAGATATCCGATGCCTACTACCCGAGTGTCCTCACAAGCATCAACTACGGGATCGTATACGCCGTCCCAATCCTCGTCTTTTGTGTCGGGATCACGTACGCGCCTGTGGCGCCATTGATTTTGCCGTTCTGTGCGTTGTTCTACATTATTGCGTATTTTGTCTACAAGGTATGTGATCCACAACTCGGTTCCTGCAACTTCGTCAAATGTTGCTGACTGCTGTGTTGTCTCCATTCAGTACATCCTCTTGTATGTGAACATCCCTCGGTACGAAACGGGCGGAAAGCATGCGCCGCAAGCCGTGCGTCGTTCGTTGGCGGGCATTTTCATCATGCAACTGACCATGATGGGTTGTCTGGCGTTGAAAGCTGGATCCGGGATCACTTCGAAGCCAGACAAAGATGCATCGCAGGAGATGCTGAGATCCGACGACAAGAGCAGGCTGCTCTGGAGCGGTTACGTCCAGATGGTTGTCGGCGTGGCTCCGCTGTTACTCATCACTAGCCTGGTGTACTGGTGGTTCCAGCACGGTTTCGAGAAGATTGTAACACATATCCCCCTCGAGATCGTCGGAGGCGTCGCTAAGGACTTGGCGAAGCAACGCAACGATGAGGCGGCTACGCGGCGTAACAGGATGTCGGTGGGAGGGGAGGATCATGGGAAGGAACTAGCCACGGTCTCTGCGCCTGCGCCCAACAACAAGAGCAACGGCACAACATCACGAGCAAATAAACGAGTCTCAATCAAAGCCACGCGCGGTCGAGTAAAGTCGGGTAGCGTTGGCGGGCCAGAAGGCAGGCATCCCACAGAGCACATATGTGACGGTGATGGCGTGGATGACTCCCGAGACTCGTCAGCGGACATGATGACGCCTCCCGGGAGGACACGTCCATCTGCCGCAGATAGTGCTTCGTCGCCCGGTGCCAATCCCCGTACACCCACCAACGGAGGGTCGACCTTCGGTGGTCGCAAGTCATCCTCACCGTTCCGCCTCGGCATCCTTGCAGAAACGTCGTCAGCGCACGACGATGATGACATGTACCGGTATGAGGACGGGCCAAGTGGAGAAGGGACGTTTGAGAGCACCGCCGACACTGTGTCGGAATATACCATTGGAATCGAAGACCCGCAGACAAGCATGTTTGATGATCCAAGCTTCTTAACGACAGTTGAGGACAGCACACCGACGCCGCATCTCGAGCCGCCCATGACTCGTGTCGCCGGAATCCTGGATGCACCCTTTATCTCAGCAAGCGCTATTGTCCCCGCCGGAGACGAGGCCGATAATGCGACGAAAATCAACGAGCATGACGATCTGCAATTACACACATACGTCCATCCAGCACTAATAGGGCGACTCCCAGTGCCATGGGTCCCCGGCGCCACGCAACCGCGGCGATGCCGGGAAGCGCGCGAAGAGATGAGTAAGAGTCAGCGCAACTGGTACTCTAGAATCGTAGGTAGACAACGCGTCGGGGTGTGGGAGCTGGGAGCCGATGACGAGACGGTGGATATCGCATCGCAGCGCTCCGATAGTGGAGGTCTTAGGAGAAGAGGGAGGCGGAACAGCCTCAGTGTTGTGAGGAAGGTTATGAGTTTTGTAGACGGCGTGACGAGTTGGGCGCATCTTAGTATGAGCTGAATCCGGTGTAATCCATTTCCGAGTCGTCGAGGTATTTCCCCTTCCCCCCTGGCTTAGCAGGCGGCGAGTTTCCGAGACGACGGAAGACCTCATCAATACCCAAATATCATATATTCTCGTTGTTTCCATTGTGCTTCAGCTCAAGAGGGAGGCGTGTTCCCCACCCCTACCCCCACCCCGCATACTATCGTCTCGTTCCTTTGGATGCCCTTCTTCGATCCAATGACGCTCCATCACGATTTCAAGGTTCCCTCGACTCGGAAACAAACCATCTCGTATCACAACTGATCCGCCAGCGCGGTGGCGCCGAGACGTTCGTCGCGGAACAATGAATCGTCCGATTATTCACCAAGATAACATCTCCCATCTCCATATCATCCGTGACCCAATGCAACGCAGTCGAATCGGTTACATTAAACTTCGACGCGATTTCGTTCGGATCCGCACAGAGGTATCCCGAGACGGTTCCGTCCTTCCCAACTGAAGAGTTCCCGTAGGTCCCGTGCAGGTGTGAGAAGGCTGGCGAGGTATGGGAACCCGGAACGAGGAGGAGGGAGCCCAGAGAGGTTTGGATGTCATCCAGAGGTAGCCATATGGTTTGCAGGTGCGGAAAGTAGACTTTGTCAATGTGTGGGCCGGTGTTTTGGCCAGGCGGCACCGCCCGAAGCCATTTGTATGGATGCGCCCTGATCGTCAATGGTGATGCTGCACTTTTCGTTGCCTTCCTCCTAGTCTCACCATCGCAACCAGCTGAAGCACATGGCGAAAACACAGCCTCCAAGAGCTCGAAAAGCTTCGGATGCTCCAGCACGTTCAAAACGGGCTCTGCCCTCGCCAGTTCCTGTCGATTTAACAACTGCGGTCCCTGACCGTCTCGCTCCAGCTCAAGGATGTCCGCCTGGCTGGCGAGGTCGGCACCATGATGTGAACCCACGAACCCGTTCCCTCGCATATCGGACAGGATCCTTTGCCGCGCTTTAAGAACGTCCCTCCGGTCCAGGTAGCCTTTCACGTAAAGGTATCCGTCGTTTTCGAAATTCGACCGGAGAATGTCAACCGAACTATCGGGCGGCGTGGGACGCATTTGAGAAGCAATCACTGACCCTCCGCCCGCCTTTACAGTTCGAGGGAAGGCGGCTACTGAGGCGCATGCTGTTGGATTGACGAGCATATGTCTTGAAACCGAGCGAGGTACCGATTGTGTGCCTGCTTTCCCTTTTGCCTTCTTGAAAGGACTTCGACGCCTTGGAGGTAACATTTCAACAATGACAATCCGCGATTCACCGCGAGACTTGTGTGAAGCCAGGTGAAGCACTTTACTGTACATACAGTATGATAAAGAACCGAGAGCTCGTCGCGTTTTCTTTCCCACTTCTCCGGGTTGCCCACCCAAACTTCGGTTCGCACCGACCAATCTGACCACTTGACAAGGATTGAGAACACTCTCACGCAACGGGGGCGCTCTCCCGGAAGTGGAACTCCCTCGAAGGCCTTTGGGTGTGGACCAGGTGCGAGAAGCAACCCAAGGTGACTGTTTATCTCCCGCCAAATCTGGACATGGCCTACGCTTCCCACTCTTTCGCAGACGCACACATCCCCTCAACCGCCCATCTTGTTGGACCGACCGCGCTCTAGACCGGGTACGTAATAGTATAAGAGGACGAGATGGACGGATGATGCACAGCCCATCATGGCAACTCTTGGCTGCCGTCCGCGCGTCCATACTCGCCATGGCAGATGGAGAGACAGCGGCGGTGGACTTATTAAAGCGAAAATATGAAACAAGGGCGAGTGGCTGCCAAAGAAGAGTGGATACCAAAGACGAGAATCTCGATACCAAAGAAGGGATAAGGAGGAAGGATGCGGTGCTCGCGAGCAAGTCGGACCATGTCGGCCCCATGTTTCTTTGTAATGAGTGTTTCTCCCTAGACTGGTGGCGCGGCATATGGGTCTGGAGGTCAACGGCGCAGGATGTGAGATATTTACTACCCGCTTTCAAGCGTTGATTTCTCAGAATCATTTACCTAAGAACACACGATCAGAACACATGCCGGACCCTCCTGGTCAGAGGGTCTCAAAGGGTCCGAAGTTCTCCAGGGCTCTCGAAACTTCTGCTCCGCTTGGTAGGCCTTAGTGTCGGATTCTCCATGGGATTCGTAGTTTACTGTCAATCCTTGCTGGCAGCTGTCGCTTCTGCTGCAAGCCAATGCGACCCGAGTCCTTCCGTGTATACCTAATATGTGTACCTTCCATATCAGCCGCAAGGGTTTTGATCCGCTCCTGGATGCCCAAGCACCAGCGAGCACGATCAAAAGCAGATGCCTTTGCTGGAGCAGGTGAGCAACAAGCCGAGCCTTTAGCAAACTTTGCTTCGGGCTCTCAGAAAGCACCGGCAGGCATTGGAAGTAAGCTGCTCCGCTCATTCACACTGGGGCAACCCAAGCTTGAGTTCGGGACATGTTCCCACCTTCGCAAGCAGCCCTACCTCAGGCTTGGATAGGGAATGCAAACCGCTATGGCTGTCAGTCGGGCTTCTGCCTTGCAACTGCACGTTCCATCAGCCATTTTCCATGGAAAGCCCCATCCTGCTTGCGTCTTCAGATTCAGTTTTTCAGGTGCTTTGCATTCAGGGCGGCTCCCTACTCAACGCTGCTCCCAATTGGAGTGTTCTGGAAAGTCCAAGCTCCCCTATCGAAACCATAATAGTGGAGAAATACGACACCGTTGGCTCAAAGAGCAAAACCATTTAACAAATTGCCGAGCATCGCCAACTGCGTGACAAAAGAGAGAAGTAAAATGATTTCTATGTGCTGTGGTGCTGCAATAAATTGGGGGCTCAATCGAACCCTCGTCGGGCAAGGCTTGCGCGGTCGCCGCCGTGGTGTTGCTCAGGCCAGGCTGTTCTGGGCTTCTCAAAATACATGATGTCCGCGCGAACCGCATACTTTATGCCTTCCTTGACCACCAACCCTGCGTGCACCAGATCCTGTGAGAATATCAGTGCCCGCCCCTTCCTGGGCTCGACATCAAAGTGCTTCATGGTCTCCGCATTCAGAAACCTTGTCGCCCCGCCCGTCATGTTGTCTGTGCCGAGATAAATCATGAGAGTGAGCTTGCTCTGAAGAGTGCCATCCAACCGATGGATGGTAAACGGGGCGTCAGCATGAGCGGCAAAAGATTGGCTCGGCGTGTATTTGTTGAAGCGGAGTTGAGGGTTCAATCCCCGGACCTGGAGAGCGTCGCCAGTCGCGCCGCCCGGTAATTGTGGCGGGACATAGGGAGATATTTCGTTCCATAGCCATGTAATCTTATGGATATCACCAGTCATTACACTCGAGTCGGACCGGATAAGTATGTTCGACACAAACACCCCAAACTTGTTCGCCGGTGGGGACGAAAAGTGAAGGCTTTCTGCATAGGCCACCAGGTCTGTGCACTGGGCGTCGCTTAGCAAGTCGTCGATTATAATGAGATATCGATCAGGAGTCGATAGACCTAAGGTTTCAAGAAGGTTTACACTGGCCACACGCGGTTGCGTCGCGGGTTGAGGCCAGGTAGCGTAGTCCAATAAGCAGCTTAAAAGCGGCTGCGCGGATTTTGGATTAGGTGGATTCGGCAAGGGCCTCGTGAGGACAAGGAACGTGTGGTCGGGAGGGTGCGTTTGCGGAGTTTTGTGGGAGAAACATTGGTCACAGAGGTCAAAATCGGGGCAATTGCCACACTTCAGACGGAACACCCCGGGGAGCGGGTCGGCCTTGCATGCATCGCAAACTACGCCGAGGTGGAGTGAGTACGGCGACTGCTGAACAAGAGGGGCTTGGGCTTGGGCTTGTGGTTGTTGTGGGGGCATGTTTTTCGAATCTCCGGCTGGAAAGTGTAAAGAAAGTGAGAAGACTTCCTGCATTACTACGTACGTATATAAAAGCTTCCCATCACGTGCGGGCACATACAACTCGTTTATTTGCTTTGAGTTTTATTTTCTTGGGCTACGCGGGAAAGTGGCACGAGATCGACCGATGGATGGGAGGGAGCTCGGTGATCTGGCAGGTCACGGTGATGGGCTGAAGGGATCTCAACATAACCACGACGATCTTGTACGCTGTCGATACGCAAGTAATGTTTCACGTCGGCATCAGCAAATGCTTATTTACTGTACACTACCTTAATGAATATGGAGCTGAAACATTGGCGTAGGGCAGCCCGCTGGTGGAAGCTGACCTTTTTTGATCTTGACCGGAATTGAAGGCTGTGTTGCACGTACAGTATGCACACGAGCTATAGCTGCTTCATGTACAGTACTAATGTATGGTCCATACACGGAAGTCGGTTTGACGATGCCTTCGGTCGTTTCCCCTTGCGTGCGCTGGTGAGTGAGAGAAGGTCAGCAGCCGGGAGGCTTGCAGGCGATGAGGCGAAATTTGGGTGGCAAATAAACAATGCGGAGTTGGAACCATGATGAAACCTGCCAGCCTGGGCGCGTTTCTCGCAACAGCGCTGACGCCTCACAAATGATGGGATGGCCCGGGATCATGGATTGATGGGCGCCGAGGGGTGCGGTCACAGGGGAAAACCTTAAACAGCCACAAACAACACCAACCTTGAAACTTTCCCCGGCTTCCCATATGCCGGCGCCGCGGCGTGCCTCCGATCTGGCACCGAAACGTCTGCAAATGCACAGCGATATCAGCCAAGATGTGTATTTTGCGCGCTTGCGGCGTGCGCTACTTGCAGTCCAGCAAGGGGGTTGGTTACAAGGCAGGAAATCTTGCGGCATGAGGTGGCTGCGCGGGGCCCAGGCCCCTCGTTGGGTCCGGTACCCCACAACGATTCGGTGTCCCGTCACCATCCTCTGGCGACGAATATATAAACGCCGAGCCTTGCTGCCCCTCTTCCCCCAGAATCATTTTGCCTCATCCTCTCTGTAGCTGCTGGACAGTCTACGAGCCCTCAACTTCACACATCGCGGAACCAAGTTGATCCCCTCCCATACCCCATTTCACGAACCCACCCGCACATCGCAATCCAACACAACCGCTCGCTGAAAACATGAGCGGCAAACTTCATGAAGCCGTCCCGGTGGCAACCACCGCCACACATGTTCACTCCTCAAAATCGTACGCATCCCGCCTGCCAGTACCTCTTCAAAGGATCTTTTTCGTCAAAGATATCGATGTCATGCACGCGCAGATGGCTACCGTCCAGTATAAGAAGACGCTTACCGCTCTGGATCTGACCCTCCTTGGTGTTGGTGCCATCATCGGTGCTGGAATCTTTGTCTTGACTGGAGTAGCAGCGGCCAAGCATGCCGGACCGGCATTGATTATCTCGTTCATCATCGCTGGTGTCGTTTGTGCCTTGGCCTCCCTGTGCTATGCTGAGATGGGATCGATGATCCCAGCGTCCGGGTCGGCTTACTCTTTCACATACGCCGGGCTGGGTGAGGGTCTCGCTTGGATTTGCGGATGGGATCTCATGCTCGAATAGTAAGTTTGATCCCTCCGATGGACTGGCTATTCGCAATGTATTGTCCGATGACTGCCATTGACTCACTTCTTCACTCCCTTTTCTTAGCATGGTCGGAGCAGCCACGGTCGCCGTCGGATGGTCCCACTACCTCAAAAACTTCATCATTCAGGTCGCGGGTGAAGGCTCGTACGACGACAGATTCTTCAACGCACCCTTCAAGTGGTACGAGGTCGGAGAAACCAAACAGGGCGTTGAGCTGACATCTGCCCAGTTCGGACTGAAGTACTTCAGATGCGGAGGAACTTTAGAAGCCCCCGAATGGTGCAACTCGTACGTCGATTTGCCTGCAATTGCCATCGTCATCCTCGTCACCGCCCTTCTCGTCGTCGGCATCCGGTCCTCTGCACGCGTCAACGCTGGCCTCGTAGCATTGAAAGTGACCGTCGTCATCATGTTCATCTTCGCCGGTCTGAAGTTCATCAAGAACGAGAACTACCAACCCTTCATCCCGGAGAACGAAGGTGAAAAGAAGTACGGTGTTTCGGGTATCTTTGCCGGGGCCGTCACGGTTTTCTTCGCCTACATCGGCTTCGACGCTGTCTCCACAACCGCCCAAGAAGCCAAGAACCCGCAGCGCGACCTGCCCATTGGAATCATCGGTTCTCTCACCATCTGCACCGCTTTGTATGTCGCCGTCTCGGCCGTTTTGTCTGGGCTCCTGCCTCTCTCTCGGATCGCTGAAGAAGATGTCATGAACGCCCCTGTCGCTCAAGCGCTTTACATCGCTGCCCAAGGCCAGGGTGTCAACTTGAAGTGGTTGACAATCATCATCACCATCGCCGCGATCGCCGGACTTTCGTCTGTCATCCTCGTCATGTTAATGGGTCAACCCCGTATCTTCGCGGCCATGGCTGCCGATGGCTTGTTGCCGTCAGTTTTCGCCAAGATCCACCCTAAGTTCGGCACTCCTTACATCACTACCATCACCACGGGCTTCATTACCTTGCTTTTCGCGGGGTTGTTGCCTGTCGACATTCTCGGAAATCTGACATCCGTCGGAACGTTGAGTAAGTTTCTCGCTTGTCTTGCCAAACGAGCTGCAGCGCACTTTGCTAAAGAGCATATCCTATTCTCTTCTTCCAGTGGCGTTCTTCTTCGTTTCGCTCTCCTGTTTGGTCTTGAAGATCAGGGACCCTCATCGTCACCGTCCTTTCGCCATCCCTGGGGGAAAGATCGGAGGGATTATCATCCCAGTCTGTAAGTATTCATTTCCTCAAAATCGCTCCATTCATCCCGAATTTGACGCTAACGATGGCTCTTCTTATCCAGTGTCCATGGCGGCCGTCATTGTTCTCCTGAGCCAGACAAGTACCGCCTCGATTGCCCGTGTATTCATCTGGATGGCTTTGGGTGTGGTCATCTACTTGGCATACGGTTACCGCCACTCCAAGGCCCGGTTCGACCCTGCGCGGACTCTTCACCATATTGACGGTTGAGGCGTTTGGCAATTTCCCTTCCCTTCTTTGGGAACTGCGTTTGCCGTACCTTTGTAATTGTCAGTTTCTTTTGTACGAAGTTTCTGGGAAACTTCCTTTATAATCAGAGAAACGCCGGATACTTGCTGCACTCCGCATGACCTTCAACTTTTGCGCTCGCGCTGGCCTCTTTGATATCTAGTGGGTTGGATATCTTGTTTATCTGGGTATGCGATATCCGTTCTCAGAGCGCCTATGCTGCTTGGGTTCTGCTGCGAAGAATGGTCGGAATTCTGAAGAGGGTGCGTAATGGAAAGACGCGCCACCATGTGGCAAACAGCAACGCGAACGTCGTTCAAGTTCGGACAACGGCACTCAACATCAAGCTGTTGCGTTAGGTAAACGCAAAAGCTCACGCATAAGTACAGTACCTTCGGAAGCAAAGAAAACAACCGCTGCCTGTTATAGAGCCCGGAAGCACCTACCGATTTCAATAACGAAAGCGGCCCGAGGCTTTGGTCTCACAGTGGAAACCAGTTGTGGCTTCTTCGGCAAAGGAAATGAACGATGTGGATAGTATGGGCTCGACGAACGGCGTCAGTGGGTTCGGAGACGTGGGCACGGACTTGTCGCTTGCTCTTCCAACGGACTGGCCGGAGGAGTTCCTGGGGTTTCGGAGCTTAGACGACTCCTTTCGATGTTCGATATGCAAGGACTTTTATCGAGTATGTTTTTCCGACTTTTGAGTGAAGTTTCATTGACAAACGCTGACACTATGTCTTGTCTCATAGGCTGCCATGTCCCTACCGTGCTCGCATACTTTCTGTTCGCTATGCATTCGACATCACTTGACAGTCCAGTCGGAGTGCCCGACTTGCAGGATACAGGTCCAGGGTGTCGCTGACATGCGGCCAAACAAAGGTGGGAGGCACTTGCGGCATATGCAGGAACGATATGTAGCCGACCTGATCTAGAACGTGGCCGGCCGCTTCTTTTCAGCATTGGACGACTGCGTTGCACATTTTAAACTGTGCCGCTCCGCACATCTGAAGAAGCTGACTGACTTACTGCAAAATCGCGGCACAGCCTCCGTTGCGTGCGGGCCATCCGCGGATATCGCACCTGAATCAACGATATCACCGCATTTCACGCAGTCGACGAGGCATGACACTGTACCGGAATCGAGCAGGAGTCAAGCGGCAGGGGAGGCGCGTCATAGTACGAGAATGCAGACGCGTCGGTTCGCGCAATACGGTTCGAATGGGGATAGTTCTAAACCTGTGGAAGCGGCTGACCGTCCGCTGGAGAACCCACAGGAGAGGCTTCAGTCTTTGCAACCACAAGGTACAGTTGTCTGCTAGCTTTGACCCGACGAAGCTGGCCTTTGAGTCTCAACACCAATCTCCCACGTAGGCGAAGCTGCGGTGACATGTCCATTATGTCAGAAACAGACCAAAGCGAAGGATATAGACCGCCATATGGATTCCGCATGTACATACGTATCGCAATGGACCGTTACAGGCGTTGATCGCAGCGTTGGCGGTTTCTCGCCTCAATCAACCCACACGTAAGTGTTTCTCTCGTTGAGTTCCATGATCCTTCATTTGTGGAATTAGTCCTAACGGCATTTGTCTCCTAGCAGCAAACGAGCAACAACGACAATAAGGCGCTCAAAAGCATCAGTCCCATACGCTCTCTACAACGACACTAAACTCCGCAAACTCCTTAAAGACGAAGGCCTCACCACCACCGGCGACCGGCAAACGCTCATCAAACGGCACACTGAGTGGGTCAAACGCTACAACGCCAACATCGACGAAGGCAACCCAAAAAGTACGAAAGACATTCTGCGGGACTTGAAGGACTGGGAACGGACGAGCACCATCGCACAGCCGGCGCCGTTTACGAGCACGGCAGGACACGAGGAGACAAGGCAGACGGAGGCGGAACGGATGAATCACGCGATGAAGTATCAGCATCATTACGAGGATATGATTGAGAATTTGAGGAAGCGGAAGCGGGAGGGGACGCAGACAGGTTAGAGATTCGGCGACCGTGGTGTGATGAGCTAGCTGTCTTTCGCTTATGAACGTATAGGAGAGGGCTTATCTGGCGTACTTATCGTTGCTCGCTTCTCTGCTCTGCAGGTGGACGCCCACCAGACCCGCCGGTTGCTGTGAGAGACGAGGACACGTAGGCTGGGAGAAACTATGTGAGGCTGTCTGAACCATATATATAGGCCAACACATCCCTTCCTTTCCTCGTCGTCGCGTTGTATAGATTGAGTTTGCCTGTGAATGGCGTATGGCATAACTCCGCCTCTAGAATTTTGGGTACTTACAATAAACCTTGCAACCACAATCATTTGGACGGATTGATATTCGCATGTTGATGGTTATATTAGCACTGGACGGTCAGTTCCTGTTGCCGGACGTTGCTGCTCGCCCACATCGGACGAAGTCAGCGACTCGCCTCTCGCTAACGTTTCCCGCCAGATCCATTTAGACAGCAGTCGTCAGTCGAACACATCAAACAGTAAGCCAGGGACATGATGAATAGGGTATTGCTTTTCCATTTTGAACGCTCACACCAAAGGTTTACACGAAAGGTATCACATGTCGTTATAGACATGTTTTTCTAAACTGCTAAAAGTTCCGATTTCCTTCCCTCCCGCTGCTCTCATTCCCGTCCCTCTCGGATATAGTGTCCATGCAGAGGAGTTGGAGACAAGAGCTGGGCCCTTTCCCTGACATGTTGCGCCCTCGAAGGTTAGAAGGAAGGGAATTAAGTTATAAAATGTGGGTTTTTCGTGGTTTATGTTCCCCTTTCCTTCGACTCTTGGCAACCCGGGAAAATAAAACGCCTTTCTACAAAGAATGAAGTCCTTTCTGTACAGACGCCGGAATATGTCGATCGTTCAGATAAAATGGGTCCTCAAAGCTCTTCATCGGAGAGTTCGTCGAAAGGAATCGCATTCTTTTCGAACCATTCTTGGACGACGGTCGACGCTTTGGCAAACTTGCGACCGGAGTACTTCTTGATGAGCGCTTCGTGCTTTCGCTGACGGCCAAGGTAGCTTTGGATCAATCGGACCGGACGATCGAGTTCCTCTTCAGTGTATCCGGAGTAGTGAACGAAGTTCTTGTCCTGCGAATAAAGGAGAGACACTCAGAATCAAAGAGTGTAGCCTTCCGCGTTGAACAGTACAAAACGTACCCAATCACCGCGGTTCAGGACTTTGCGCGCAACCAACATGGCAGCCGAAGCAGTCATAGAAGGTCGGATGGATAGGAAGCGGTGGTCAACCAGAGAGATTTCCATAAGGAACTTGGCCACCGTGCGAGTCTCGACTTCGTAGTTGTCGGCCTTGGAGATGCGACGCAAGAAACTCATGGGTCCAGGGTACTGAAGGTCAAAGTCCAAGACTTGAAGTACGTATCGCTCGGCACGCAAAAGATCGTCTTCGACAACACCACCGTCGCCCATGTAGATGAAGTTTGCAACGGTAGGAGGGATGACCTCTTCATACTTGGATGCAATGAAGAGCGCAGCGATGCCGACGAGTTGAAGTTTGGTAATGGAGACGACGCGCGCACTGAGAAAGCGATCGATGATGTTGATAGCCAAGTACAAGGTTTCGGGCAGAAGGCGGAACTTGTTGTGGACTTCAATGAGCCAGTCAACGAGGATGCCGCGCATGGTCCAGTGAAGCTCCTGTTGTTGCTCCATATAGTTGGCGTTCGGCATTGTGCCAATCTGCAAGGGATAATTATCTCTGTGAGAACGGGGCATATTCACCGATAGGAAACATAGGACAATCTACCTCGAGCTTCTTCAGGTGCTCGAAGATCTCGGGTACATATTCAGCGACCATCATCGGGTCTTCGGCTTCATCGGCGTCCATGTCCCTCCAGGAGCGCTCCACAATCTTGGCCTTCTTGCCGGCGGGCACGCCATCAGGAGCGTCGTCGATGACGTGCTTGGGAACGACGGCGTTGGAAGGTTTGGCTAGGTTCTCTTTCTTAGCTTCCTGCTCAGTAGCGGCGCTGGATGCAGACGAGTTCGGCTTGGTGGTCCTGCGAACGGCGGCAGTCTTTGTGCGTTGCTCAGGCTCAGCGACCGAGGGTTCGACCTTGGCAGGGACGTCCTTGGCTGGCGCAAGGGCTGGCCTTTTCTGAGCGACAACTCGAAGAGGACGCTTTGCAGGCTGAGCTTTCTCGTCCTTGACCGGCGCAGGCGCTTCAGTAGCGGCTTGAGCTGCTTGGGCTGCGGCGGCCTTTTCCTGCTTTGCCTGTTGTCGTTTCTGCACGCGTAAGGTTGAGTACAGGTTCAATCATGGAGCCCACTTTCATGCTCAGAACTACTTACAATGGCTTGGTTGGGCCCACGCTCTCCCAACGCGTTGCGCCTAGCAGCAGCGGGTTGAACGGCAGCAGTCTTCTTCACAGCAGTGACCTTGGTAGGGATCGCGGAATCACCTAATGCAGCTTTAGCTTTGACGCCGGCTCTGGCAGTAGGTTGAGCACTGTTTTCATCGTGCACTCCCGTCGTCTTGAGGGCAGCCGCCCGGCTGCGCGTGGTGCGCTGCATATGAAGAAAAGAGAGGAGGATATGAGACTTTGTGTCCGAAAAAGTCCGAAAACGGTAGAATGCACTGGAGACAGATTCACAAGAAGCCAACCACAAACAACCCCGGATCAACCAGTGCTTACCTGTGGCTGCATCATATTTGCTACTTGACGATGTAGTTCACTCTCAAATATCTATAGCTGTGAAGAAGGGTAGACGCGTAAAGATGGTAAGCAAGTGCGCAGAATAAAGCAGGATGCCCGCAGACGAAGAAAGACGGAGCAGAAAGCCCTGAGCAAGCACCAGAATCCTGATTGCCGTGAATACGTGAAGAAATCGCGCCTTACCTGGATGTCCGGCTGGATGGTCGAAGGGGTCCGGAAAGCGGAGTGCGAACCAAAAGTGACGACGAGGCCGTTCGCGTCTAAACAACATGAGTGAGCAAGGTGTGTCTTTCGCTGTGCTGTACCGCACGAATATACTGTACCTTGTCGTGACGCTGTGGGCTCGGTCGTTGGCGACTTGAGAGATGGGGACCGGGTGGTGATTGTCGTACGGCGAGAGCGAACGCGTTGTGAATGGTGAGAGGCAAGGTCGTCCTGTAACTGTGCCGAAGCGAGCTTCTTACTCTCTGGTACGGGTGGGCCCAGGCCAGCGCTCGCGGAAGGAGGAGGGATAGCGTTGCTGGATGAAAGCACGAGCAGGGCCAGATTGCGTTATGGGGAAGTCAAGATGGGGAAGAGAAAGCGAAAGGGTTTTGCAGCCAAGTTTGCGTTTCTTTTGAAGAGGTCGCCGCACTGTGTTATAGCTGTTATCTATCGCGCGTTCGATTGCGTCCTTCTGGGCCTCGCTTCATCAATCGGACACGAAGGCAGCATTATTAGGGCAAGGTTTATCATTTTTAAGGATTCGGACAACAGTGCGCTAATCAAAAAGGGCCAAAACACGCGGTCTATATTAGACAACTGCGTCTCACTCCTGTCAACGGAATATAAGAACGTCTAATCAAAGGGCGAGCTTCTGGAACAGCAGCTTCTTGTCTGACTGCGTGTAAACGCGTCCGACAGACGCTTGAAATTTCAAAGTCGAAAAAGTGCTGAATCAAGTTTTGCGACATGGGCAAAGGTTGAAACACCCAATTTCACTCATAGAGCAGAGCATAAGACCAGCATACCGAATAGGATAGGCAGCACTTCGGCAGAGTCTCTGATTAGTCGATAGGTCATCTTCACTGCGGGAACAGTCGGTTATCCGAGGTATCCTTACGTTGCAATGTCAGAAATGGGTTTTGCCTTGCCGGGCCTTCCAGCGTCCCGTATGGCAAGTCAAAGTAGCAAGGAAGATAAGGCCGAAAGGAGTTCTCAAGGGGAGGCTGTATCAGAGACACAATTCGCCATACCTGACTTGCCAGCGTCCGCCCTTCGAAAAACTGAAGTCGAAAATGTGGTTTCCAGCCCGTCCGAGTTTGAGGAGGAGACATCTCCACCTCAAGCCAGATCAGGACCACCGCCGAAATATCCACCTTTACAGTACGAAACACCGGAGTGGTCCAGTGCCCCAGGGGAAGAGCGATACTTTGAGGTGCGACAGAGAGCTCTTGGCAGTGTAGTTCGGGTGGAAGTACCGGAAGAGGTTTGACCAAACGCAATATATAGGTTCTGAAGAACGGCCAGATCCTATCGAAAAGTGGAGCCATCACGAAGGCATTTCTGATTGTGGGAAGATTACCGATATGTGACATCGAATTGGAGCATGCGGTCAGTGTGCAGACCATCAGAGCAGAGTTGGGGTGGATCCTGAGTGATGAGACACTCAAACCATCTGGTTCTAGAGCATATCACGATATCATGCTATCATACAATTCAAGCTGGATGGTACGGAAGTGCGTAGGGATGGTTGAGTTGCGGGATACATGGGCACATTCAGTGGGTCTGACAGGGTGGAGCATGTGTAGGTTCGGCGTACGTCTACGATCTCGGGAGTACACATGGCACATTTGTGAACAAGGTAGGGATGGCGCGTTCGGATCCTCAATGACGATAGCGTACTCATATGTTAAGAACATGCAGAAAGAGGTTCCAAAACGAACATACGAACCCCTGCGAATAGGAGGTACGGTCACTCATGCTTGCGAGCTTGACATATCGGCAGCTGACGCGATGGTTCGTCTCCAATAGACATGCTAAGGTTTGGAGCCAGCTCGCGCATCTATATTCTAAATGGTACGGCGCCAGAGGAGCTGGAGGAGGACGAGGAGACAGCCGCTCCACCACAGCGCTTGTTCTCTAGACCGCCGCCGCCGCCGGCCATCAAATCGGAAGTCACCTGGTAAGTAAGCGGCGTCTGCAAACGACCAATAGCCCTAAATGCATACCCACTTACAATTTTGATCAGGGGCTTTGGAGAAGACGCCGTAGAAGACGAAAACGAAGAAGAGCACCAGGACATGGATCTCCCGGACACCGAAACACCAGTAGACGAGTCGGCATACTATCATTCCGATCCGCGCAAAGCACTCCGTATCTGGCTCGAAGGTCGTGGCGCAGATATGATCTTCCAGATGGAGGAAGAAGGCCCGGGGCATAATCGCGCGTACACAGCAAAGATCGAGCTGCCGGTTGAGACGGAGTATGGAACTCCTCTGCAGGCGGTTGGATTGGGTCATCGGAAACGGGCAGCCGAAAACGACGCCGCTTTGAATGCTTGTGTCATGTTGGATAAGAGAGGGCTGTTGAGGGGTGGACGGTCGGAGCAGGTTCAAAAAGGTAGGCGCATACGGAAGATAAGTTTCTCAGAGGATGAAAGTCATAAGACTTTCCATTCTTTTGCAGAGCGAAAGAGAAGAAAGGAAGTATTCGGCGACGACGATGACGACGATGATGCATTTTATGATCGGACTTCTAAATGTAAGCAGCAAAGGACCACCATATACAGGACTTGTCGTTCACTTATGCTCATGCCCTTTGTCGTTAGCGTCAACCACACGAAAGGCAAAGGCAGCGGCCGGCGAAAGCGCACCGGAGACCTTCGAATCCCTGTCGAAGAAACGTGAGGAAAAGATGCTCGAGATTCAAGCTATTCAGGCCGAGATTGATCGTAACGATAATGATGGAGGTGAGTTATCCCAAGACGTAACGCCAAACTATAAGAAATGGACGCGGAGCTAATGTACTTTTCCCTGCAGAAACGCAAGAAGAAGATGAGATCGACGAGTTTATGAGTTCTCTCCGCCGGAAGGAGGCACAACAAGCGAAGGATGCCCTACGAAGGAAAATCCCGCCATTACGAAAGGAACTCGATCGGCTTGATAAACTCATTAAACTAGTCGCGCCGACGGGTGCCGCGATTCCTCTCCCAATTCCGCTCTCACAACCACGGACAGAGGCCGAAGACGATAGCGCGTATGGATTGAAGGTACCGGCAAAGGTTTTAAAGAAGGTTTCTGAGCCTTCAAGGAAGCGGCAACGATCACCGGAACGAGAGCCGCCGAAAGCGCATCCGTTAGCACAGCTGCTTCAGGAATCCACTGCTGACACCGTAGTTGGAGACTCGACGGTGAAAACTGGCAAATCATCGAAAAGTAAGGGCCCGGACGCAACACAAGCAGACCCGAGCCCATTGGCAACACCTGAAGAGGACGAACTGGTGGATCCGCCCGCTGCCGCAGAAGCGAAAGCGAAGCGGACACGGCGAACCTACGGTGTCATGACGGCTTCTCAAGCCAAGGCGCACGACTCGGTGGAGACGGAGGCGATGGTCGATTCGCTGCTTGGTGACAAGGAGGACAAAGAAGCCGTAGCGAAAATGAACGCCCAGTATGGGTATTGACACAAACGCCAACCGCGTGTGCGATGAGATGCGGCGGTACATGGAGGATTTTTAGTGGGTAGCTTTGGATACGTAGAGCTTCGCAGTTTTTATTAGTTTACACCTTTCTTCATGGAAGTATCCTGGCCTGGGCTTCTTAAACTGCCTGCTCCTCTAATGTACAGTTACATATATGCTCATGGGGAAACCATGTCCCCAAGGAATCATGCGCACCGTGTGTTCATGGCTCCGTCTTTTTGGCTTCGATGAAGGTTGTGCTGTGCAGTCTGTGCAATTGTCACGTTGCCCGCACATGTCACATCTTGACGCGTGCCCGCTTTAAGGCTTTTTCCCGCGGTAAATTATTCGTTGTCCAACTCCTGCCTAAAACAGTCGGCCAGTGGGGGAATAAACTGATGAGCCTGCATGCTGCAGCCGAAACTCCCTTTTCCTCGTCTCATACCCCTCAATTCCCGGCCGGAAGTGGACAAGTTCCTGACGCTATGGCCAACACCCAGCTCAGTTTCGGGAGCTTCTTCACCAGCAACAAAACCATCGATGTCGGGCTAGAAGGCTACTGGGGCCCCGTCACGTCAACCCTCGACTGGTGTGAGGAGAACTACATCGTCAACTACTACCTGGCAGAATACTGGAACTCGCTTTCCAACCTAGTCTACATAGTCCTGCCGCTGGTCGGCCTTCGGTCGTGCGTCGCTCTCGAAGCTGAGCCGCGGTACTACCTCAGCTATGTAGCGCTGATGCTTGTTGGCGTGGGCAGCTTCCTGTTTCATGGGACGCTCACGTTTTTCACGCAACTGCTGGACGAAGTGCCGATGATGGCCGCGACGTGCATATTCCTCTACGCCCATATGCAAATGTTCAACAAAAAGACCTCTTATGCCGCCATCACCGCTCTGGCGCTGACCTTCTTCGTCACCAGCGGCTCGTACATCATACTGAAGACACCCATCGTCTTTCAAATGAGCTTCATTACTCTCGCTGCCCTGCAACTCGCCGTGGCAGTCAACAACATTGGAATATTGCGTCTGACCGACAAGCCAGCGGCGAACACCGTTTCGAGGATCGCGACCGCTAGCGTGACGGCGATGGTCGTGGCATTTGTGGTGTGGAATCTGGATCAGGCACATTGTGGGACGTTGCAGGAGAAGCGAAGGGAGATTGGGTACCCGTTCCGTGTGGGGTTGGAGTTGCATGCGTTGTGGCATCTGTTTTCTGGATATGGAGGCTATGCGGCGGTCGTGGGGAGCCAATACTGTAGACTGAAGGTGCTGGGCCGCTCGGACGTTCGGGTAGCTTTGCGGGGATGGATCTTACCGGTGATTGCATTGAACAAATCTAAGACGGCATGATAGACGCTTATGGGCTTCCTCATCGAAGGCCGACGGCGGCGAAGGCGTACGAGTAGTGATAGACGTTAGACCCTGGGTAGATACATTAGGATTTGCACTTTGACGCTGGACCTGTACTGGCATTGTACTCGTGTTTTGTAAGGAGTTCACCTCGGTCTTGCAATAGATGTAGAGGCTATGGAACATACAATCAGCGACCTGCATGCTTCCTTAGCATTGATAGCTTATCCTGTGTGCAGCATGTACGATCAGAGGCAGCTTTGTCGAGGACAGAAACAAATGCAGCGTGGTGAAGATGTGGCGCTGGCCCGTATCATATTCTGAACCCGCAGCATATGCTGTACATTGATTGCAACTGAACATTGCTGAAGCGCGGCAACAGTCGCTCCAGACATGTCTGGTCCCTATCCAATACTCCAAAAGCTCAGTCTCCTCATGGCTCAGGTAAATGCTCCTGAACCAGCCCTTCGACCCTCTCCCACACTTCCTCTCCAAAAATGCTTATTATCCTTTCTCTGTGGTCCTCGACCTCGTGAGCAGGTATCTTTCTCTCGCCCGGGTTGATAGCGCCGTCGCGGGTCCATCTTGTGCTGAACCTGAGTTTGCGGATGCCGTTTGTGAGAAAGCACTCTCGCGAACCAGATCCCTATGGGGCATACTGTACATCGCACTTTTCCTCACCTCTTCTTCGGCCAATCCCGCAACACCACCAATCCAGACGGCATCACCAGCAGCTGCCAGTACGTCTGTGACGGGGACGGCGCGGTGATCCTCGTCTCAAACAATGCATCAGGATCCGCCTCCAACGACTGCGTTGACACGCCTCGCGATGCCGTAGTGAGCCGGTTCCCGCCATCGTCGCCATCCCCACCGCCCTCATCCACGTTCAGCTGCTCGTCACTGCGGAATGCTTTCGTGGGCGCCGGGGTGTTCAGAAAGTCATCATCGCCAGCCGAGTCCGAAAGGTCGTCTAGTTGACTCGTACTACCAGTCGTGGCTTTGATTTTGCTTTTCTTGCCATTTTGAGCATTGGGGTTGATACCAGACTGCTGTGACTGAGACTCCCGTAAGCCGACTGCATATCGGCTGGGTTGAACTGCTGGGCCGGATACTTGTTTAGCAGGGTCCGGTACCGTTGATGGTGCGACATTGACAGTGCGGCGAGGGGTGGTGGAGGAAGGTGGTTGTGTGTTGGGTGCGGAAGGGCGGAGTTGGTGGGATTGTGGAGTGGTCGCCGAGCGAGGAGCTGAAGCTGTGTTTGCCATTGAGTAGGCTGTTAGGGAATCGTGGTTTCGCTGAAAAATATGGGCAAGTTTTCTCCGTCCGGGCGCTGCAGGTTGAGAAACGAGGCTTTTCCAGTTCAACTCCGAACGCTGTTATTTTGCGCGAGACGCGCTTGCCGAACGCTGACGTCTCATTATGGCATTTTGTACTGGGAACGGGCTTGCTCTGAGACTAAAAAAAGCATGTAAAGCTTAGGCAACAAGCAGGGGCTAACTATGGACATTCAGTGCGCCACCCCAGAGACAGCGCCTGCGAGGCCTGCGGGTCTAGACAGTACTGGGACAAGCAAAAATCTTAGAACCTGTCTGGTCGCCAAATTCCACTCAACAAAATCATCCTCAGCATTGCCGTGAGAACTTCCATCCCCCCCAGCGACCTAGTCTACAGATATGAGTACTCAGCTCTCTGAACGCGACAAGAAGAAGCGTGACGAAGCCAACGTCAAGATTCTGCAGGAGTTGCTGACGCTTCCGGATAATCAATGCTGCGCGGATTGCAACGAGCGCGGGCCAAGATGGGCGTCAACGAACCATGGTGTATTCTTATGTAAGTTCGCTCGTTGGGAATATATGTGCCCGCACATAAAATGACACTTGATGTCGGTGGATTTCAAAGGCATCCGATGCGGAGGTCTTCATAGGAAGTTAGGAACGCACATATCCAAAATCAAGTCCATTACGCTGGATTCATGGACGCCAGAGCAGATCACGGTATGTCTTTCCTCCACTGTCCTTCATATCGGACTGCATGTAGCTAAACGGTCGATGTTGTTTTGAACAATGATCAGCACATGAAAGAATGGGGAAACAGGAAGGCAAATGAGAAGCTCCTCGCGGGTGGAGCTCCTCCGGCACCGGCGCACAGTGACCAGGAGATGGAGCAGTATATTCGGAACAAGTATGAGAAGCGAAACTTTGAAACCAGCGGGGGCGCGGTATGTAGTGGGAGCACAGATGCAAGCCCTTTGTGACGCACTCAGCTGACGCCTTTCATCATAGAACCAAAGTGTCAACATGAACCTCTCCCGCGATGCCAACACATACGCCAGCCAGTTGCGCACCTTGCAGGGCATGGGCTTCACAGATCAGATCGGAAACCTTGGCGCTTTGAAACGTGCCAATGGAAACATGGACAAAACGGTCGAGTATCTCCTTGCGAAGCAGTCTAGTTCCTCTCCCTCCGGATCCGCATCCCAGCCTAGCCGGGATACCTCGCGTTCGACTACTTCGGCCCCGGCGCCTCGACAGCAAGCGCAGACGCAGCCTGGGGGAAGATCCCCCGCCATGCAGGCCGCGCTCAAGGCGCTGGAGGCCATGGGCTTCCACAACGAGGATGAGAACATCCAGGCCCTCGCCGCGTCGAATGGGCAGGTTGAGACTGCGGCGAACAAGCTGCTTGATCTCAAGAACCGCCGTGGCCCGTCGCAGCCGTCTGCAAACTCGGCCAGCAATGCTCAGCCGGTCATTCCGCCTCGGAATGATTCGTCGACTCCCAATCAGTTTGTTCTGGAACCTCCATCGTCGTCGAAAAGGGCTGTTGCTAATCGTCAGCAAGCCGCTGGCGACTTCCAGACGGCGAATGCAGCAACTCAGCAGGCCGCGCCCTCGAACGACCCGTTCGGAGGCTTTGGTGCGGATCTCTTCGCCCCACCAGTTGCTGCTGACCAGCAACAGCAGCAAGCTCAGCAAGGATTTTCGCAATCCTCAGCTAGTCTGATCCCGCCGCCCTCTGGGACCAACCTGGCGCCTCAGCAACCCAAAGGTGTCGCGAAAGACAGCATCATGTCCTTGTTCAATCAACCCGTGCAGAATCAACAAGGCATGTTTGGGGGTATGGGGCAGCAAATGGGAGGCTTTGGCGGAAACGTCGGGTACGGTAACCCGATGCAGGGCGGTTTCCAAGGTGCTCAAGGTGGGCAGTTCAACAACTATGGCGGAGGGCCCCCGCAGCAGAGCCAGCAGCAGGTGTTTCAGAACCAGTTCCAGCAACAACAGCAGGCTGTAAGGGCTGGTAACAATCCGTTCGCTCCCCAGCAGCAGCAACAGCAGTGGGGACAACAGCAACAGTTCCAACAGCAGCCGCAACAGCAACAGTTTGGGTACCACGGTCAGTTCCAGCCTCAACAACAGCAACAATTGTACGCATATGGTCCAGGTCAGGGACAGGTGAGCTCGGCGTTTCTTTCTCTGCTGCTTCACGTGTCGAAGATAATGCTTACATCAATATCCCATCACCAGGCTATACCGCGTACAGCACACGATCTGCCTTTCGGTGCTTCTTCCCAACAACAGCAGCAGCCGTTGCAAGCTCAGAAGCCGCAGCAGCCGGATCCTTTCGCGGATCTAGGACCGTCTTTCAACAATAACGCTGTAACGCAAGGACAAGCACCTAACCGCAATCAAGCCCAGAATTCGTTCTTTTAGATGGGTCGGGCTATTTGTATGGGGCGTCTCTGGCTCTCCATTTTTTGGGAGATTTGTATACCAACTTTTGCAAATCCGTTCATGGTCTCGGTCAATAGAAAAGGCGATGATCGGGGTTACCGACCATCCGTTTACGCGAAGTGTCACTCCTACGGCTGCGAGGCTTTCCCTGACCCATTTCTTAACGACGCCCAAAAGTAACTTGTGTTCAACGGCCTGGGGTTTTTGATACATCTGGGCACCACGAACGCCTGGCTGCAAGGTCAACCAGGAGAACCACGGCGGGCTTCTACAAAGCTGTCCAACTCCTCACCTCAGGAACTTACTAATTAGGGACTGACATTTAGGAACTTCACGGGACTGACAATTCCATGAAGCAGCTGGCAAGGAAAAATGGAGAAAGCGTAATCGGCGTACTGAGTTAGTTTGGCGTCTCCTTGCATCGTCATTGTCTTGACACCCCTGGTTACTTCCGCCGATAAAGTAGCATGGTCTCGTAGAGTAGCTGTTGTCTACATCTCGACATGGTCGTTCAGTTTTGGAGAAGGTCTGAAATTGAATGAACTCCGTGAAGTGAAGCGGACCAAGCGGTTGCCCGAGGTCGCCAACTTTTATCTGGCAATTAACGAAATTAAATCGATCACTCTGCACATAATTCATGATTAAGCCGACTTATCATTGCCATTAAGGTTTTATCTCGGCTCCAATCCGACTCCAATCTGGACTCCAATACAGCCGGCGCTCGACGTGTGGAGGGCGCAACCATACTGCCTCGACCTGCAAGCTTTTCACTCCACTCCACAACCCATTTCGGTAGCCGACAGTTCTCTCTCCCTCCGACGATCTCTTATATAAAAAGTTGCGAAACATGGCCTGGTACACATACATCGGTGCTTTGCTGGCCAGGTCATTACATACAGTCGTTGTCGCCCACTTCTCGCTCACTCACTGATACCCGATTTGTTTAATAGTAACCTTATGCGCCCTGGGAAACATGGCTTGAGTCGGGAGTGCATGCAGAATTATGCCATCCATGGCGCCCCGGGCTACGTCATGTATATGTACTTGAAGTTCGTCATCGGACAGGAAACGATTCCCCATTACTTGAGCGGATTCTTTACGACTGTTTTTATGTAAGTTCTTCTGCTACCTCTACTCAGCGATAATGCCTTGCATGGCTTTGTGGATGCTAAGTTGTCGTGGCGTTAGGTGGGTGGTGTTCAGTTATGGGTTCGGACTGTACAATATGTGGAGGGGAATGACAGGAAAGGATATCGAACCAACCACCCGGTATGTGCCTTGCATGCTCTTACGCTACAAGAGACATTCAAAGTAGATATTGACACCGCTCTCGAAAACAGCGCCTGGGAAATGGGACCCCACTTGACGCCTCCCCAGCGTGCGACACGCGAAGTCCTTTCGATCTTTGCGGGATGTTCCTGGGCCTTGTTGGAGGAGTCTGGGTTGATAATCGCCGCGGCCGTTGCCTTATTGGCCTTGATTGGCTATGGATTCTATGTGGTTGAGTGGGACAAGGAAGCCGACTGGGTGAAGACCATGACGAAGTATGCTGAGGAAAAGAAAAAGGAGGGTGTCGCCGGTGCTGAACAGAAGCCCGAGGCGAAGGTCGAGAGTAGGATGGCGAATGGGAAGCTTCCTGCCGAAAAGAAGAAATCCAAGTAATGCGGGTGATTGAAGCGCGCCTAAGGGCGTTGGATGGATGGAGGTCGGGCAGGGTTCTCGGTTCTGATTCGCAGTTTTGGGAGGAGAGCTTTCGAATTTCCGCCATCGAAATCCGGCGTAGCAATTTCATTTCATTTAAAGATAGCATATCATAGTGTTGGTAGCATACCATAGGGTTAATCCTTTCTTGAAGCGAAAAGAGTATAGTCATCTTCGACTTCTTGATGCCCTGAACAACAAAGCAGCCCCATTTCATCATTTCATTAACAAGTCTCGTGGGCGGTTGATCGTTGCGACCGCTGCTCGAGCTGCTCGTTCATGAAGTTTGGCTGCGCGCGCATATGTCAGGTGCTGCTTTTTTCTGGCGTCGACGCGTTCATGCACAAACTTACGGCCGGGTGGTCTCGGGTCGCCTCGCAGCACATTCAATTGTCAAGTCCCCAGGGTCCTTTTCTTTCTGGCTTTCGAACTGCTTGTGGTGTCGGCGGACAGGGAAGTGAACGAAGGTCAGCATCGTCCACCAGGTCAGTCGTGGCTAGGAGCTGCGACACTTGTTTCAGGTGTCGGACCGCGACAAAACATGTGTCTTTTCTTCTCGTCGCAATTTCGTCCGAGTTCGCCGAAATTGCCCTCTAAACATTCCAGTCCAGCTTACATCTTACGTTCTTATTCCCAAGAAGATTTACCCAGTGATGTCCTCTTCACCGACAACGACCGTATCGGCGGTCGCCGCGGCGCCGACAAACACCGCCGTCTCAAAGCCGGCGTTCGACTTGCATGCTGCATTAAATCGCGCACTCGGGGGCGGACTTTCAGGCGCGGCTGCTATGGTGGTGCAGGTTGCTACTCTCATGGTGAGTAGCTGATCTACATGATGGTGGGGGAGGAAGGGTTGCTGGACGATTTTGCGGGGCGTATGCGTCCCTTTCCCGGCCGTGGGAAAGAGCGACCTTTCCCACCCTCATAGTCTCATACTCTTTCATATAGCCACTTCGCACAGCTATGAACTATCAATACCGGTTTGGCACAACAACAACCATTGCGATCCAGACCCTCTACAAAGACGGCGGAATCCTTCGCTTCTACCGTGGTGTAAGCGCCGCCCTCATCCAGGGCCCTCTTTCGCGTTTCGGAGACACGGCAGCAAATGCGTTTGCGTTATCTCTTCTCGATGGTAACCCCACCACCGCGTCTTTGCCCGTCGCCGTCAAGACGATCGGTGCATCCGCGTCCGCTGCCTCTTTCCGGATGTTCCTGACCCCGGTGGATACGCTGAAAACGACGTTGCAAACCCAAGGAAGCGCTGGAATGGCTCTCCTGAAGAAGCGCATTGCGGCCCATGGTGTCTCTTCGCTGTGGTACGGAGCGACCGCTTCCGCGGCAGCGACCTTTGTTGGGCATTATCCATGGTTCTACACCTACAACACGCTGCAGGAAATCCTCCCACAACAAAACACAACGGCAAAGAAGCTCGGCCGCCAGGCGGTCATTGGATTCTCCGCGTCGATTGTTAGTGACACGATATCGAACTCCCTGCGTGTTATCAAGACGTACCGCCAAGTGAACGAGACGCGCATTTCCTACGCTGGCGCGGCACGAGCTGTCATTGAGAAGGACGGAGTGGTCGGTTTGTTCGGAAGAGGACTGAAGACGCGGATCATCACGAACGGTCTTCAGGGAATAATGTTTTCCGTCCTGTGGAAGCTGTTCCAAGACATGTATGTGATATAAACCCTGTCTTCCTTGCATGCCCGCCTCCAAGGAATACTAAACATTTCGATTTCCTCAGGTACTATGCCAAATGAACATCTCCCGTGCGGACAAGGTGTGGAGGCGAGACGTGCATTGCTTAGTTTACAGATGATGGGTGCATTCCCTTTCGATGATGGATGAAAATGGATCCGTAGTCATCGTCAGTCCAATCGTCCCTAGCTCGTCCAGGAATAACAAGACGATAAACTGTAACCCACCATAATAGTCCACTTCGCTGTAGCTGCGGACCATTAGGGGGCACTATTCTAGAGTTGCTTTAGGAAGAATGAGAGACAAACACATGTTAACTTTTAAATATCTATCTGAAACTATGAATTACGATGATGCAAAGATATCTACATGTACAGTGAGGATGGGTGGCTACGAAAGAATGTAAGAGTAACACGACTGCTTGTCGCCATGTGACAATCTAAGCGAGAGGATGCGAGCCCCTTTACAACTCCATCGCTGCCGCCGAGTGAGCGGAAGCCGCGATCTTCTTCTTAACTTGTCGCACCTTCGTCCGGCCGTTGATGAGTCCAGCGTACTCGGAGGTTGCGATGTCATATGCCGAATGCACGTACGGCAATGGCAAATCCGCGGCTGTGATCTGCAGCAGTCCAGATGGCAGCAACATCACGGTCATGGAAAACCGAGCAACGAATTCTCCAGTCGGTGCAACTTGCAGCCACTCAGGGACCAAGAGGTTGTGAGAAAGGTTCTCCTGCATCCCTAACCTGTGTGACGAGCCGAGGGCGATGAGGGCACGGGTGGCAAAGGGGAATACGGAAAAGGTGTTGGCGACGGTCGAGAGGGTTGTTCGGGAAGACTTGTGTTTGAGGTTGTAGAAAGCATTCACGTCCCGCTTCAAAACCATCGGCTTGTGGTCCAATACATGCTTGACTGCCCCGGTCGCGGCAGTGGACACCGCAACGTCGATCACCCACACATCTCCGACCTGCGGAGATTCATCGCCTTCCTCAGTATTCCAAGAGTCCATCTCGTCATCGTCGTCTGGGACCACAATGTTCTCAAGGTCGACGCCTTCGGGAATCATGGAATTTGGAAGTTGGGCGCCGGGCACGCTGGCGACAAATCTCTTCACTTTACGAGTGAAGTTCGTGCGGACTGCGCTGCATCCGAAATGCTGGGCGATCCCCTCAACGGTGCTGGTGAATGTTCCTCGCGACGTCTTCAATTCGGGATCTAACAGTTTCGCGACGGCTTGAGCGCCGTAGTGGGCTGCGCAGATCGCGTCCGCAGGGCGCCCGGTAGTGGGTTCTGACGGGGTCGCGCTGAGGACCGTGCTGTGAGACAGGCTGGCGATGTAACCGTCGATGTGGACGGCCAGGTCGCTTTCGGATTAATAGGGTCAAGGTTAGTATCCGAGCGTCATTCTGATCTTATCAAACATGCGCGACCAACATTTTGACAAGGTCCCCGGCGTTCAAGACAGTTGTGTCCTCCTCAGCCGGGCTGAAGTTTCTGACAACGTGGTTGATCGACACGGACGTAGGAGAGGCGATTCCCCTCTCCCCTTTTTTGTACATTTTCGCAGTGGTCTCCAGGATTAAGTTATCGCCCAATTTGCAAAGCTCCACGGCACGGACACCGATATTCGTCGCCTGCAAAACCTGCTTCATCACGTCTAATGGAGAGATAGGGAGACCTGATGGTTAGTGGCGAAGTCGATAGTGCTTTTAACGTCTCCTTCCGAATTGGAAAGAAACAGAGCCGGAAAGTTCCCTAAAGGCGTTCCGACTTACCATTGGCGATATCGGCCGCAGTTCGGTACTTGGTCACAACTGCGTGGTTGTTGAGGTCGTTATCGCCGTCAAACCGACCGGGGGCAGGGGTTATCTCCATCATAGACATACTGGCGAGTTTGACTTCTCGTATGTTGGATACGAAGGCGTTCGTTTAAGCGAAAATGTCCTGCGGTGAACAGCTGTGAAGTTGAGAGAGAAAAACACCACGAGCAGAGAATGGTTGACAAAACGAGCGCGACACGCTCGCAAAATCAATTCTGGCTCTCAGTCACGTGATGTGAATTGACGATATGCATTGTCCTGTCAGTTTGACCAACTCCGATCCCCTGTGAGTTTACAGAAAAGCTTGAGTAGTTTCTTCGCTTCGGCCCCTTGATGCTCCGTCTGAAATTCTCGACCCGCCTCTCGTAGCTGGCTTCCCCTGCATTTAGAGTGCTGATGATATGGTAGAATTTCATCGCATTTGAAACAGACATCCCTGCAACAATTTTCGAGAACACGGCTGTTGGAAGTTTGTCGGTATTTTTTTCGCAGCCTCGTAGACAGGCCGCCGATATTTCACATTTAGAGGACTTTGCGAGGGATCCTCACTATGAGTACAATAGTGCACGCCCGGGTAATGCCCAACCGGGCGCATGATTATCTCTATGGTATGTCCAGGACTCATGGCGGTGCCGCCTTCTAGCAAGCACTCTACTTCGCCAATGTCTTATGTCCCTCTCTTACTGACGATTGGTTTTCAGACACAAATCATACTGTGGCCGGGAGAACAGATCATATACGGAATATGATGAAGTGTCAGACAGCGGATGCGGTGCGTGAGCTTAGAGAAGTGTTTGATGTGCCAGCCGAACCTGATGGAGATTCATTCTGTGCAAACAGATAATACAGCCGTCGTTCGATAACATGTTCTCTACACTGCGTCACCATCCATCAACGAGATATGCCTTGCGCGCACACAACCTTCCCTCACATCTGGGCAATGACCGCCGCACCTACATCTCCACTCAACCCGACGTCACAGGTGCCAACCGATTCAAGTACTTCCGCAGACCCATCATCCCGTACATGCCTTCGCTCGGTGCGCAAGTCGTGTATGCTCGACGGCCTATGGCTATGACAGCCATGGCGGCGGGCGCAGTAGAAGAGTCTTCTCGACCGGTAACCCCGTTCACGAAGACTGTCGGGATACAAACGATGTACAGAGAATCAGATGCGCAGACAGATCCATATACCCCGGAATACACTCTGCACCCGTCATGTGCAGACGGCGCAAATCCGCCAGAGATCCTGTCTCTGCTTACTCTAACGTTCGGCCAGGGATTGCCGGTTACGACAACGGAGCTGGAGCTGATCGAGAGGGCGCGGGCAAAGCGAGCATGGGAGGCGACATTACCGCCCGTAACTGATCAAGCCTCGTTCGAGAAGCGCCTGCGAATGATGGAGGAGATGGAAATGCGGGAGTGGAGGGAGCGAGAAGATGAGATCAAGCGACTGCAGGATGCACGTCTTGAGGTTCTCAAGCAGGTCATTGAAGAACGAGAGGTGGCCAATGAGGTCTTGTCGGAGGAACGTGTAAAGAAGGCGTGGGAGCGCAAGATGGTGGAGCGGGATCAGGTTCTGGAGAAGCTGCAGCGCAAGAAGATCAAAGCACTGCGAAGATTAGCCGATCGGCGAGCGCATGTGGAGCCGAAGATTGAGCGGAGGGACATCATTTCAGAGTATGCAGACTTTGGATCCAAGGTCTATGCACCATGTACGAGAAATGGTGTCTTTTATGACAAGCCGGGAGCAACAATCCAGGTGCACCTAGGCGATGGCGTTGAAGGCTTCAATGGTGAGCCGGGGACTCTGTCTACGGGTTCGCTCTTCTGCAACACACTAAGATGGCACCTCTCCACAAGCTCTCTCGGAATTGGAACGGGATATACTGCCGAAGCTCCTCAATGCTTCATTACTGCAACCGCCTACCCTCGAAAAGAAGAGCAGTCATACCGCTCGCAAGGTAAGTGTTTGCTCGCGAACATAAGGGGAGTGGACCTTTATAACACAAGGTTGGCGCAGGATGCACAACTGTACGCACAATTGGAGCTTATGGACCAAAAGCTCAAGGAGCGACGGGCGGCAGATGGGCAATCAGAATTCCGTTCGCCAAGCCCTCCCCTGCGGTTTGCTCAAAAGATTGAGAAACCGCCTGTCAGACCCCCTACACCGCCGATTCTGGATCCGTATGTCTAATCAATCGAAGATTTGCGGTTATTTCGGCGAGATTCTGATTCGCTCTGCCCTCAATCTGTAGGAGAGAGGAAGATGAAGAGATGGAAGTTGCTGCCATCTTATTACAGAAGCTCATTCGTGGTCGTGCGGCTCAGAGCCTCATGTATCAAGGTGATATGGATATGCTCGCGAAGATCTGGACCCAAAGGAAAACATCTGACCCATTCTTCAGGAAAACAACGCCGCCTCAACCTCATCTCCGAACTCCGTATCCGTCAATCCGTCCTTCCGCCCATCGGCTCGTACAGATCACCAGGGCGACCCAGCTCCTACCCGGCATCCTCTTCACCCGCACAAGATGCTTTGGATAGGCTTGCTGGCGGCGATCATAGTCAGGCGGCAGTGGCCGCGGCTGCTGGCGATGTCGCTGCCGCCCAGGGATTGGAGACAGGCGCTGGGTTGCGAGATGCTGTGGACAGGGCTGTCCGGAGGGAGCTGGAGGTCATCTTTGGGGAGGTGGGTCTCATAAAGCTTTCATCAATGAAGCATTGCTCGAACGTCCCAGCTTAACATCATCTTCGAATCCACAGGAAATCATAACCGCGGGTTCAGAAACCGACAACATGCCCCCACCCACCTCCACCGACGGCCTCACCGCCTCCATCTCCTCCAATCTCCTCTCCCAATACACATCTCAAACACTCGCCTTCCTCACCACCGAGCTCGTGCGCCTCCGCGAGCTGCACCGCATCAGCGCCTTGGTTAAACTCGCCGAACGGACGCGGCGGATGCGCGAAGCCGAGGAAAGCGGGCGCAGGCAGGCGGAGATGGAGCGACGTGTAATTGAGGATGAGGTGTTCCGGCAGGTTATGACGGTGCATAGGGAGTCGGTGGAGTCGTATTTGGAGGATGTGGTTGCGGGTGTTGGGGATAGAGTTGCTGGTGTCAAGGCGAAGCAGCAAGTGAGGGAGTATGTGAGCAGGGTTAATAGAGTGATGGAGGCTGTGGAAAATGGGTACGTTGTCTGAAGCAACTCGATAAAAGCCGGTCACGGATGCTGATGCCCATCTCGTTTTTATCACAGCCTGCCAGGTGCAGACCAAAATACAGGCGGTACATCAGATGAAACCACTGTGGCAGATCTAGTTGCCTCTTTCCTGATACCAGAGGTCGAACGACAGACATTGCGGAATCAAGGTACAACGCTACAAAGCTACTTCTCATATTCATCTGGTATCAACTGAGGCTTTCAATCGAAACTCAACGCCTGGTGATTCTTCCCCATCCGCAGTGAAATCCGACCAACGCAAATACATCCAAGCAGCCCACACCAGCATTTCCGCTGCCATCAGCGACATCGAGGCGCAAAGCAAAGATTCCATCCATCCCTCCACATCCAGCCTCAACGTGCGTACTGGTCCTGCAACGGCGCGGGCCAGCACCATCGCCGGGCCCAATGGGGCGGATGATGGAGGCGTCCAGGGGCTTTTGCAGCGCTTGCAGTCGGATGATGCGGTGGATGGTGGGAAGGATAAGTCGGCGCCGTTGTCGAGGCAGGGATCACGCTCGGCTTCGAGGGTATCCCGACAAGAGTCTTAGGAATGGCGTGTTGGGGACAGTTTTTTGGGTGCTGCATCTTGACTGAATGGTTTACGGTACAGGGCGAGCGCATGTTCAGAATATATTATGGAGATGTACTTATTTAAACATTGGAGTACTTCCGTTCGCTCGTCATGCTACATCTGCCCCCTACTGCTATCTGAACAACTCGGGTTCTTCCTATGCGGCGGATCCGCGAACGCCATGAAGAACTGCAATATCGCAGGGCTGGCAGCCCTAATATAGTCATTCTCATCCATGCCTGATTACGCCGCTTCTATCGCTCGCCCCAAAACTTCGCCCGGTAGTCATCACTGCGAAGGCGATTAGCATTGAACAAGATCTCATGGCAAAGTGAATGCCTCTATTCATACCTGCATGTGACGAAAGTATTCTCCACAGGACTGGCTGCTATACACCGCAGTGGCGCCATATGTGCTAAAGTCCAGAGTCAGAAATCGCCAAAATACCAAGTGCTTTGTATGTATTGCCTCACCTGGTGTCTTCTTGAGCAAAGCGCCTGCGCCAGTAATTTTGGTTTATGTCTGTCGCTACCTTACCCACGGCTCAACAGACCAACGCACCTGTCCTTGAATCCCACATTACAATAGCCCAATCCTTCTCGTCCGTTCCCAGGACATAGTCCTCGTTGTAATTGAACGTATTTGTCGTATAAACATCCTGAAGTTCGTCCCATGTTGAGTTCCATATACTGAACGAAGAACGGGAGGTCACCGACATTTACCTTTTGCGACGCGCCCACAAACTCCTGCACAGCATTCCCCGTGTGCATATCCCACAGTTTTCCCACGGAATCCAAGCCACATGATAGGAGGTACCTTCCGCTGCGTGTAAACCGCACGCTTGTGACAGGTCTGCCCGAATGCGCCTGCGATATGGTTTTCACGCATTGGCCAGAGACGGTGTCCCACATTTTGATGGAGCCGTCGTCACCCGCAGTCGCTATGATGTGTCATTGGAGATTAGCTGATTGTACCTCTTCAAGACGGTGAAGTTTCCCGTTCCATTCTTACCAAAGAATTTACCCGAAGGGGCATATCGGATCTTCAAGAAGGATCTGGTGAGTGCAGTTCCCACGGAAAGATTTGCTCAGCAGTTGATACCTTATTGATCGCACCAGTATGCGATTCTTTGGATGCTGCTGCACTGAAGCACTTCAAGCTATGCACATCAAAGATCCGAACAGCCTCATGATCCGTGCCTTCAGTGGTGGAGTGTGAGCAAACAATGCCCCGACCGCTTTCTGGCACTGTGGACTGTTTCCGCACCTGCCGCAATGTAATCTCCAGAAGGATGGAAATGTATCGATCGAACAACATTTGCATCCTACACGTCCTATTAGTCAAGTCCCATTCGCATCACGGGTGCGGGTGCACATACCTGCAAATATCGAAAACTCCGCTTCACATTCGGCATCTGTATATCAAACAGCTTGATAGTCTGGTCATGGGAACACGATGCCAGCACAGTCCCGTTCGGATGGAAGTGTACATCGTTCACAGGCGCCATATGATCGTAAAGAGTTCGTATCACTGGCTTTTCCTGCGCGCCGTCTCGGAAGGCGGCTTTTATTCGAGACACGTCTAGGACTTTCATCGTCGTGTCTTCCGATCCTGTTGCGAGGTATTTGCCGTCCGCGCTGAAGACTTGGGTTGACATGTGACATGTTAGGTCTGCGGAAACCGTCGTTCATGAAGCATGACGCTCTTCTCAGGCCACTCCCTCACCTGCCGTCCGGCATGCTTCCCGATGCTGCGTACTGAACCATACCGCGAGGTTCGGAGGGGTCGTCGGAGCTGCGTAGAAGACCACATTCATTCTTTCAGTATGGCTATCTTCCATTTTCGACTTAATGAGTCGCACCGACCTTGCCCTTTCGCGTCCGCCCAACTTGACTCCTCTGCTTCAGTGCTCTCTTCATCCGATATTTCCTCCGTCAAATCCGCCGGAACGATCTCCTCCGCGTCGTCTGAAACGATCCTTCCAAGTAAGTGACCGGTAAGCTCTTTGGCCTACCGCGCCTCCCGCCAGCCCCTCCAACAACTGTTCCCACCGTTGTCTCTTCCCACTTTGCCCTGATAACATAACTCTGCAAGTTGAGGAGACGGATCGAAAGCATATGGTGTGTTGCTCTCCTCCGCGACAACCGCCGCTATCGAGTTCAGACCATAGTGCTGCAACTGACTATATGTAGGGGTCAAACGAAGCCGAAAGTGTGTCTCAGAACCATAAGGCGGCGGAACGAACCTAATGATCAGAGGCAGCACTTCTGCCCGAGGGAGCTGGTTATCCTCGTCACTTATATTTGACTCGGTGTCCTCCATCTTGCCCGCTTGTCTGTCCAATCCGCGTAGCTCTCTCTATGGGTGAAACGACGTATGGCCTCCCTGTAGTAAACGCTGGAGTCGGGAATTCTGAATTCCTCAAAAACGCGTTGCAGAGCCGAAAGTCAAAAAGCGTCCTTGAACATTGGTCCTGACTCCTCAATTTCGTCTCGCATACAAATCAGCACAGTGTATATAGAGAAGGACAGCCAACCACTAGAGCTTCATTCGCCCCCTTTCGCTCTATTCCCACCACTTGCACGAATAAGGACCTGAATCATCGACAAACAGCAACACCCAGTTTCGACGCAACATCAACATGGCCCGACACCACCCCGATCTTATCTTCTGCCGCAAGCAACCAGGCATAGCCATCGGGCGTCTATGCGAAAAGCACGATGGAATCTGCGTCATTTGCGACTCATATGTGCGGCCAGCAGACTTGGTGCGCATCTGCGACGAGTGCAACTACGGATCGTACCAGGGGCGGTGTGTCGTTTGTGGAGGGAATGGGATCTCGGATGCGTTTTATTGCAAGGAGTGTGTTGTGCAGGAGAAGGATGTACGTATGAGCCTTCTTTCGAGATTGGGGCTGGCGACCGGTCGATGTGGGGTGGGAAATGGAGGTTGGAGGGACGGAACCTGCAGCTGGTGCAAAAGTGAACTACCACGAAGAGGGCAGGCGGTCGAGATCTTGACCAGAGGGAGCGGAAATGATGAAGGGGAAGGGAGAAGGGCTTTCGGTCATCGGTCATCGAGGATGTGTTTTGCTAGCAGCGACTGACGTATGATTCTTTCTTTCATTCATTCGACCTTTTGGATCTACAGAGAGACGGCTGCCCGAAAATTGTAAATCTAGGGAGTAGCAAAACGGATCTGTTTTATGAGCGGAAGAAATATGGCTTCAAACAAAGGTAATCAAGTGATGTAAAATATCTTCGACGCCAGAGCGGTAACTAACATCTGTGCATACACTCCAGAACTACGTAAATCTGAGGTGCCAATCGCCAGTCTCACCATCTTTCGCTTCCGAAGCGATTGGCACCGAACCAATACCCATTCGCTTATGGCATTGTACATAGTGGCTCAACGAAACCTATATAGCACCCGTCGAACATCATTCTTGCTGTCTGATGAATCTCTGAACCAGTCGTATTCATGAGAATGTACGAGGCGTAAACTCCAACTGGTGAAGAAATGCCGTTACCTTCTCACTCGAGCAAGCTCAGTATCATTAAATTGTGTAACTTATCCAAACAATGGATGCATCAGTTCTGGAAGACATCTTCGGCACTTCGTCACGGCGTCTACCTGAGGGAGTTTGGTAACCGCGTGAAAGGCAAAATCTTCGGCCGCCGTGCAGCATCGGCATCTGCATCGGAGTTCGTAGTAAGATATGTTCGCCTGAAGAATCGGAGAATCGGAGATATGTTCGTCAAATCGGTCATCAAGATGGCCCAAAGAAAGTCCGTGTCAGGGAGGTCGTTTTGCAGTAGGAAGCGGAGGCTGTTGTGATGATAGTTTCTTAGGTGTTTGCCCTTGTTACTTGCGCGTCCGATGCCTAGGAAGACAACTTCCTTTGTGGACAACTTTGGGAGTTTGTTGAACCAACGCAATGCCACACCCGTTCTGGCTTGAGTGAGGCGGTGCGCATCAACTCGCTCCTGGCGAATACTTCCGGGTGTAGTTACGCTCCGGGGTCCCGGTCTCCCATCCCTTATGCATGTTCTGGAACAGCAGCCTTCTTTGGTGTTGGTAAGTGCATCAACTCGGAAAACTAGTGGCTGCTCCGAGTCTCTGCGTTACAGCTTGTACAGAACGCCATATGCGCGAAGACATGGTAGGGATCGGGGCCAAGGACAAATAGGTCGCTGTGATCGGTTGATGCTGCGAAGGAGTACGCAGGGGCGCTCACGGCCGGAATGTCAAAAGGTTGATGCCAGGCAGAAACGGTGCCGGCGGTGAACGCGGACGCTTTTTGAGACTCGGAGGCGCTATTACTGATGGAATCCTTGTTGGCTTCTTCGTTGACGGGTACAGCGGGATGGTCGTTGTTGGCAGCGGGATGTTGGGCAACCTCTTGTTAGTTAGCCTCGTGATATTCGTGGATCATCGTCGGAGGGGGCACAATCAGTTGCAGCTTCGGACGCTTGCGGATGACCAATGGTGATTCTTCTTCGGGTCCTCGGCGCAGATTTGGTGTTTAAGATGGCGTTGGTAGTATGAAGATGGTGTCGTGGAATGTAGTGTTTTTCAGGATACTATTTAAGAAGGCAGGCCCATTTGATTTATCGCCAGCTTCCCGTGGAGATATGATGCATTGTTGAGGAAGAAGTCCATTTTTGAGGGTATGTAGGCAGGCAGGCAGGCGTGATCTTCCATTCCTTGAGCATCTTTTCGATCTTAGCCTCTCCTTTGAACAGCGTATCCAGCACCAACGCGGAGGTTTCTTTCTTGCGAGGTCCCAAAGCTCGCTAGACCCAGGGTTTCCCCCTCTGCTCCCATCCAAGCTCTCATCATGTCGTAAGGAAGCGCCAAAAGCTCTCAATCTTTGCCTCCTTCACCCCACACTCCTGCGTCCTTTGGTCCAGTATTCCGGCATCCGACCCCTCAACAAACGCCCAGCACATAGCCTCGAAGCCGACGCTCCCGCCAGCGTGCCAGCAAAAGACCACAGAGCGTTCAATCCTCTTCGGGTCGTCCGACTCGGACATGGCCTCGAACGCTCCTATGAGTAGCCGGGTCACGCACCCAAAGAGCCGGCATGACAGGCGTTGGTTTGGGACACGATCTGGGTCCGCTGGTTTCTTGAATCCTCGCCTCCCCTTGTACAGTACCCTCGCAAAAAGCTGGCTCCCGTTCTAATTGAAATGAGCGTCCGCTTCACAAGCGGATGAGTCAGACGCCGCGACACTGACTTGATATTGGGGGGAGGGAGCTTTTTGCGAGGGTACTGTATATGGAGTCTTGACAGTATCCGACAAGGCTTCAGAAGATTTGCGGTCGTCAGATACCTAGTTGGTCGCAAGTCGATCCTTTGCTTCTGAATTTGAAGTGCGGTACAAGCAGAGAAAAGGATGGTGTGAGAACGCCTTTCCCACGCCATCATCGTGTCGCCCATCGCTTGTCTTTGGCGTTTTTCCCACGCTGTCATCCAGGCTGTCAAGATCAACCGTCGCAAGGCGCGCGAAGCTTGATGAGTCATGACCGCCGAATCGGAAGAGTTGGGGGGTGCGCAGCGGATTACCGAGTGAGTCGGAGTGAGTCTGTCCAGTCTCTCCGTGCGCGTGGGAATTCATCAGCCTCGGGAATCTCCACCGAAATCTCCCACTCCCTCCCTCTCCGACCGGAACGCCGCTGAGAAATCCAGTTTTGCCCTTCCCATACGGACGGCATGAACAACCCCCAGAATGTGATTCACCGCTGGAATGAGAGAGGGCGGCTGGAGACAAGATATATAATAGCCGCTGACAGCCCCCCGACCGCCCGCCGGCGGAGGCAGCTCATATTATGTAACTACAGTTAACCGAACCCACTCGCATCGAGTAAAAGCAAACGTCGAAGGGAACCAGAACGTTCGTTGCTTGCACCGGACGATCACTTTCACCGCTGTCACATGGCAAACCGACCGTTCACAGTCGAGACACCGAGTAGATAAAACACTAGATACCGCCATCTTGCAGCGTAGAACCTTTCGATCGGAGAGAAACAAAACAGCCGCATAAAACCCCATTGCCAGCGTCTGTTATGCTGGACATGCTTGACGGTCGCCTCTCGGAGCAAAGCTCCCCCCTTTTCGCTTACTCAGAGGAGCGGGCACCGTCGCCTTTCACAACACAGCAATCATCCAGTCATAGCCGCTCGAACGGTCTCGGATTCACAGCAGCAGTGCAGTCCATACCACCTTCAATGGTCCGCTGCGAAGTCCGCACGCGTCTCCCATCCGAGTTCGGCGGCGAGTGCCATGTGCACATGTACAGCAACAACAAAGACAACGAGGAGCATCTCGCGCTAGTGTATGGAGAGGAAATTCAGAGCGCATCGTTGGAGGAGATGCGTTCGGATGACACGCCGGAGGAACGGATGCTGCGTGGTGTGAGATTCGTCGATGGAGTCTCACAGGAGGGCGACGCACGGCAGCGAATGAAAACGACGCCGCCGTTGGTGCGAATCCACTCATGCTGCTTCACAGGAGAAACGCTGGGGTCCCTGAGATGCGACTGCGCTGAGCAACTGAAGGAAGCGATGCGGATGATGGCGGAGGAAGGGAGCGGGATAGTGCTCTACCTGAACCAGGAGGGCCGCGGGATTGGGCTGAAAGAGAAACTGAGGTAACCATACCCACCATCGTACATGTTTTTCGCATGCGAAAATCTATGTTCTAAACTGGCCATCACCATTCAGAGCGTACAACCTTATCGATCTCGGGTACGACACGATGGCCGCCAACATCGCGCTCGGCCACCCAGCAGACGCACGGACGTACGAAATCGCCAGCGCAATGCTGAAGGACCTCGGCATTCACAGCGCGAGGTTGCTGACCAACAACCCCGATAAACTACAAAGCTTGCAGAAGGATGGCATTGACATTGTAGAGCGAGTGCCTATGATTCCGGCGAGTTGGCGACGGTTGGGCGATGGGATGAAGGAGGTGGCGGATGCGACGGCGCATGATACGCAGACGCGCATGGATGCTGGATCGCAACCAACACCACCCGCGTCACCTGAACCGTCACATCACGACCCACATTCACGGCGCGGTCATGCTACAAATCCAGCGAGTTCGAGAGCGAGGCAACTGCAGGATAGAGACGAATACCTAGTCACGAAAGTGCAACGAATGGGTCACATATTGAACATCCCGTCGCAAGTGCTAGAGGCAGTGAATAAGTCCACTGCGTCCCATAGCCCCTCACCGATGACTCCGGTGTCTGTCGGAGAAATTCAGTGGACATGAGACCAATTTCCTTCTCCATAGAGGACTTACGATGGAACACATGCCTGTGCTCGTCACTATTTGTATAATAATGTATTTTTATTGGCAGTTTACATCATTCCCGGTTATATCAAACTCATACGCGGGTATGGGAATCAGATGTACTGCTCCGACTGTATGAAATTATTGTCCTGCGGACTATTGCAGGCTGGCAACTCGAAGGGGCCCAGAAAGTCGATGAGAGATGAAGGCACTGCCGTCCGTACATCAGTTGGTACGTGACGGAAACTCGCGAATATAGATATAAAAGGCGATGATTCTTTCAAGTGGAAAGGTCGTAGTTGAGGTCGATCGCGGATCAAACGGAGGAGGCAGCTGCCCATTCGGCGCCCCAACGTTCGTACATCTTGATTGCAGTATGCTCGGCGTCGTCGTACGCTGCTGATGAGGAGGGAGGATGGGGTCAATCTTTTGCAAACACAAACGATTGAAAGGTGGAGGTTACATAACATACCAGTCAGTTCGGGATGCACAGGAATACCGTCGTCGTTACCATCCAAGGCCGCCAGCTGTCGCATAATGAACTTCCGATAAAATATAGCACTTTCGTCCAGGTAAGCTTGGACGTACTCCTCCACATTGGGGAACTGCTTCTGGAACTCCTGCATCCCCTTCAGTCCCGCGGCTTTTGTGGCCGGGCTGTTGAGTAAGTTCATTATTTGGCGCATCTCAAAGCGGCCACGGTCGTCAGGTCTCGCAGTCTTGAAAGCGCGATCGAGATTCTCACGACCGTCTTCGGACTCGGTCTGACATGCGGTGTCCGATCGGGGGCTGTCGGCGACGATGGTTCTTTTGCTTTGGCTCTCCGGGGTAGAGCATCGCTGGGCACCCATGATGGCTGCGTCGGTGTTTTCTGTCACGCTGCTGACTTTCTCACGCTGGTCAAACGCCTCCAAGTCCGGGAGTAACGAGGATGCAGACCCAGCAATATCCTTCAACATGTCGCTTGCGCTGACACTTCGCCACAAGGGGCTCGGCTGCACGGTGGTGGCGGTTCGCACAGCGCTGGCCCGTGGGGTGCCCTCGGACGGTAGTCCTTCGAAAAGGTCACCCTGCGAGCCTTCCGGTGTCTGGAAGTTGCTAGTCTGTCCCAATCTACGCTTCTCCATCACGCCATTGACGCATTGTTTCGCAAAACCGGTCACCCAGGACGTCTCCTGGGCGGGGATGTTGCGAAGGTGAGGAAGCAAGTCCTCGCCGAGCGCCACAGCGAGTTTATGGATGGTAGTCTTCATGAGTTGTACTGGGACCATGCACTTCTCGATCCCGGTGTCTCTGGCAAGGGCGTGCCAGTGCCGCGAGGGCCGGGCGGAAACGAGTTCGTGCAAATCGGCGAAGAAACGACCGAGATCAAAACGGCCGGCATCGAGATCACCCGGAAGTGTCTTGGAGAGCTTCCAGACACATCGCTGGATGCTTTCCTGATGTTTCATCTGTAAGTCGCGCTCTTCCCCTTCAGCCGTGTTCGCCAATTGCTCGGACGAGTCCATGATCAGCGTGAAGATGATACGAAGCATGGTCTCCCGTTCCACCTTGTCCAACACCCGGACGACAAGGACGTTCAAGACTCTCAAAATGCCATGACCTCCTGATAAGCGATCATCCCGGAGGTAAGGTTGATGGATGGCGTAGAGCAGCTGGTTCATACATGAGTGTACGTCCTCGGGTTTGATTCGCAACACTGTGGCCGTCGACTGGAAAACGGTAACCATCGTGTTGATGATATGCTTTGTGAAACGCTCAGCGGCTGGGTCAGGGCCGCGTCGAAGGATATCGAGCCCATACGCGAGTCTCCCACCAAGTAAGGGCATGAGGGCATTGATATTCTCGGTTAGCAGCTCTGGATTGCTATGCAGTCTTGCCTCAATTTCCTTGAATGATACGATGGCGGATTCAAGGTCGGAATCGTTGCTCCTCACAATCAGCATGTTCAATGATTTTTCCGAGAGACCTGGATGGGGGGCATCCAAACGGTTTTCTAATTCCCCGGGCTGAGATTGAGGAAGCGATAACTCCGACGTCGATGATGATTTCGACATTCCCGCAAAGACAGGGGAGAAGTTGCGCGACCGGGGTGCCGGGAGCGAAACATCGGTCAGCGGGGCCGGAGGGAACGGTTTGTACGGCTTGAAAGTGCGCTCAAACTCGGCTGCGCTTCCATTGGGGGCAGTGGGTTCCGTGATTTTTGCCGGCGAGTATGCTTTATATGGTTTGAAACCTCTTTCAAGTTCCTCAGCGTCCAGGGTAAATTGTTTAACTTTTGGCTTTGCCTTAGACGACAAATCGAAATCAATTTCCTTTCCGTAATCCCTCGAGGGACTCGCCGATGGCTTCTTCCCTCGAGGCGGTGAGCCGGAATTGACACTCAGTCGAGCTGTGGGGAGCCTCGAGGCCGACGCCGGGCTGATTGGTGCTTTAAGCGGAGGAGAGCGGCCAGACCCAGGTGGACTCCGCCGAGGTGGGGATGTCGTGGTTCCGCTTTTCGGGGATGTCCTGCGACTGCCCGGCGCCCCCAATCGGGTTGGACTTGCCCTTTGAGCGAGACTAACGCGAGTCGTTCCGGACGCCGTTCGGTTCGCCGCGGAGACGCGCTTCAACCGTTCCTCGACAAGAGACTTATCTTTGTCTGACATTTTGCCAATATGCTTGTAAATAGCTTCGCCCACGAACTGATGAGCCGCACAGACAACTCCAATGGCACCATTGCGGACGGTCGCGTCCCTGTCGGCAATGTGCGTAGCGATGATGGGAAAGATCTTGTTGGGGTTACAGACCGAAACGCCATTCCGTTGAATAAGGAATTGAAGCTCGTCCAGAAGTTCGGCACGGGTGCGAGCGTTCTTGGATTCGAGGCCTTTCATTAAATGCGTGAAGAGTTTGGAGGCAGGATACACACGGATGAGCTGTTTGAAAATCGCTCGCACCCGGGCACGCATTGTTTCCTTCGGGTCGCCGACTTTGTTGATCAAGTAGGGTATAAAGGACGTGGCTTCGTATTCCGTAAGATGATAGCCTTCGTCGTCCAGCAGGGTGAAAAGGTGCTCGCATAGTTCCAGTGACTTCATGAACATGGACGTGTTCGTGTCGAAGAAGCGGAGGGTAATATATTTAAGTAGAAGGTCGGAGTTGGCGGTATAGCGGTTCTTTAAATCCTCCGGGGACATGTTCAATGCATTGGCGTAGGCAACGATGGACTCGACCCCATTGGCGATTGGAGTATCCAATGAGGTCAATCCAGCAAGAAACTTCTTTTCCTTATGGTGGTCTGAGGCAAAGAGATTGCCGTGCACTTCCGGGGAGAAGTGCCCCTCGGACTGGTTTGCAAGCAGATCAACAAACTCTCTGCGCGGTGCATCGAATGACCACTTCGATAGACCTCTATCGGCTGAAGAACGGCTTTCCTTCGCATGGAAATCGGCGCTGATCAGGGGAAGGCCGATTTCATTTGAGCTTTCGTAATCGCGGCGGCTGACTGCTGAACTTCGCGCCGCTACGGGAGCCTTCCGTGAGGCCGGTCGGCTCGATGCTGTCGAGGGACGTGACGTCAAGGAGGTCTGGCTCGCCCGCTTTGGCGGTGTAGTTCTGCCCTTCGCCGGAGCGGTTTTTGGTCGGTCGGCGGGAGCGATCTTTCTGAGAAGTTCTGCCTGTTCCTGCGCGACCTCAATTTTCCATTCCTCGGCAATTTCCACAGTCATGTCGATCAATTCCTTCATGGACTGCAACTGGGAGCCAGAGTATAGCTGCTCCGCCTTGTCTTGTATTCGTGATGGATGGTCGATTGTCCTTGCTATGAATGCAAGAAGCTCGGACGCGACCCGGCGAACTGACGAATCTTTGTCCCCCATGCAGACGACAGTTGCATGTAGAATGCAATCCATATTCGGCGTGTTTAGTTCTCCAGTGTCGTCTAACCGGTCGACGATCCACTTCAAGAGTTCAAGCCGGGAGACACTATGGGCTTGTTCCAAGGCAAAGGCTAAACCTGGTAGCATCGGTTCGATGCCGACAGCCTGGAAAATGACCATCAAAGTGGGTAATGCGGCGCCGCGAACGTGAGCTTTGGAATCATTCATTATGGTGGCGATAGGACCAACGAGCGCCTTCGCTGGTTTGGCAAACGGCTTGCCAACGGCGGCAGCGAGCCTTCCAACGACCTCTACGGCTGCCAGAGCGAGGTTCTTATTGGTGTCCGTCAAACGGTCCTTTAGCGCTGCGAACAGTGGGGAGTCACTGCTCAAGATTACTCGGTCGTTGGAGTCTCGCAGAAGGCCAGCCAGTCGATCCAGGCCTGCCTTTCGGGTATCCCATTGGGCATCGCAAAGCTGATCGATCAGATCCCCGTTGACTTGATCAGTAATGTTCGTCCGACCATGGGGATCGGGGTGCACGTCTTCCGCGCGAACCGGTGCCGCTGCCGCAGATGGTCGTTGCTTCGGTGCGGCTGCCTTCGCGGTAGTAGACTTTCGAGGCGGAGGTGAATTTGATTTTGGTTGCCCCGGTGGCGCTGGTTTCAGGGGCTTTACTGCAGGCGCAGATGCTGGTCGTTTCGCAGCAACCTTCTTCGCTGCAGGAGGAGGGGCAGCCTTAGCACGGATCTCGGCCTTGTCGAAGTACTCTTTAACTTTGGAAAGTTTCAAATGGTCGATTTTCTCCGTAGTGCTGGCAAGCACACGTTCCGTCACAACTTTCATAAACGTCCCGAAGGCCTCAGCGGCAGATTCTCTGACTCCCGCATCGCTGTCGTCGAGCGCCTTAGCAAGAGCTTCGCTGAGGATTTTGATTTCCGGCTTTCCTGGGACTTGACGGGTGTCCTTCAAAGAACGAGTTGCCCATTTCAATGATTCTGTCCGAACTTGGGGGTTTTTATGACCGACACCGCCGACGATGTCTTCTGCTATCGAATTAATGCCAGCGGCAAGATACACCGCGTCTACAGCAGAGCGTAAGGCGTCGACGACGGTCTGCTTCTTCTCCTTGAATTTTTCGATGACGGGCGTAACCACAAGTGATTTGTATTGAGTAAAAGTGGTGCGTAAACCGCCGGCAATCGCAGCAATGCAATTCGCCGACGCAGTAACGACTAAAAGGTTGGCGTCGTTGATACGCTTTCCGAGCGCACCAACAAGTTCGCCGTATCGTCCATCTTCGAGCTTAGGTGCCTTGGCGACTTCGTACAAGGCTTCGAGTGCCTCCTTCCGGTCCTTCCATTTTGCAGAGGCAAGCTGCTCGTAGAAGTCCTTCGGGAGCTTGTCGAGGACATTTACCGGATCAAATAGATCCAGAGGTTCGGCAGCGTCCGGTTCTTCAGTGGCTTCGGCATCATCCGGATCGCCGTTGAGATCTTCGTCGACCTGCGGTACAGTGGCTTTCACCTGCTCCGAACGTAGAAGGCGTTCGGGCGTTGCCTTGTCGGTCGACGCAGCGGCGAATTGCTCAGTCAGTTCCTTAAGTTGAACCGGTTTCAAGTCGTTTAAAGTGCTGATCAACGCAGCGCCTAGCCAGCGGTGCAGCTCCATAGCGAGGGCTGTCCCTTCAGCTCGGACGTTCTTGTCCTTATGGTCAAAGATTTTCGGCAGTTGTTTGACAATCGGCTTGACACTGACCACGCGAGTGCCAAATTGTCGGATGGCTTCCCTGAGCGCAGTGATTGCTGCTGTAACGTTCTTTGGATTCTTGTGGGCCAAGGACGGCAGGATTTCTTCGATGATTGGGTCAGCCACATCGATCTCGATATACATCAACAAAACATCGAGGGCCTTCTGCCGCGTGCCCGCTCTGACAGACCCGAGGCATTTGTCTACGATGCTTGATGCGAGTACACTCCTTGTCTTCTTGGCATTAGGAGCGTTCGTAACGTACGACATGACGGCGCCAAGTCCGGTTTCTTGTGCAACTGCATTGCTATCGGCGACGATTGCTTTGAGAGAATCCTGCCATTTCTTATATTCGGCATCGGCGTCCGGGTCGAGAGTAGCAAAGATCTTGCTGAGTTCGTCGTATGCGCCAGAGCGAGCCTTCCAGGACTGCATGGGGATTTCATAGGGAGCGGAGTTAGAGCGGAGTTGGATTATGTCAGCCGTCATACCGTCATTACGTAACAGTGAACATTCATATGCTCACTAAGTAACCTCAGCCATCGAGTTCGAACGAACTTGGGGACATACCTTGTGCACAAGTCTCTCTTGCAGAGGCAAGCCCGAGAAATCTTCATCTGGAGTTGCCATTGATGAATGATGATTTATGTTTCAAAAGTGTCTATCTTCTGTAAATCTGGTTGGAAGGTGCAGGAGATTAGCGTCGCATTTCGATGATGGACAAAAGGCGGTAAGCAGCGCTAGTACCTTCGTCGCACTAGGAGAACAAGTTGGGATTGCCGGTAAGCATGTACGAGGGAAAGAAAAATGGGATACTTAGTCATTAAATCCCGGCGCTTGGATGGGATCGTTCAAAAATGAGAGCTGAAAACATACCTCTCGGTTCGAGAGAAACGACCGCCAGCCGAAAGCGGTGATGCAATCGCCGACAAACACACAATCACCGCTTTGCGGCTGGGAACCGATTGGTGCGAACAAAAACTGCCGCACGGGTCGGGTGCTCAGAACACCTGCCTTCGCTGCTCGTTTGGGGTTGCTGGGGAATCTTTTCGAGATGCTTGTAGGTGCAGGGACCTCCCCGAGTCCGACGTTATGCGAACGTTGTTCCGTGAAAATGGGTGTTGGAGCTTGCAGATGGGGGCACGTACTGCAAGGTAATCTGGTTGGAGAAAACAATTGGGAATGACACAGGATGGGACTTTCACACAGAGGGGACGGACAGAAGCAGCCCAAAGTATCGGACGCGCCGGGCCACGAACATTAGCGCCAAACCGCATTTGAACAGCCGCACTCTGATCATTCAACATTAGACCTGGGCACTTTTGAAGCGACTTTGTGCCAGAGCGGAGTTTGTTAGGGTTACGCTTGCTGCGGGGTGACTCGAGTCTGGACTCGAGTCTACCAGATTCGAATTCGTAGAAGTCCACCAGCTCCTCCCACCAAACCCAGCGATTTCAGTGCGAAACTATTTGAAAACAACCGGCAACCATGGGCATGTTCATGCGGTTGGTGGCCAAGGACAGGCTGCGGAGGTATGGTACATCCAGAAAACACAAGCAGCAGTTGCAGATTCGCTTCCCACGTCGCTTCCATTACTCATTTTCTCATTCCATTACAGCTGGGTAGTGATCATCAGCGTCACCCCAACATTCTGCTACCTCACCTACCTCACCTACAAGCGAGGTACGTCTCTTCCATCTCTCTTCTTCACAGCCTAGCGTCGCTTGCCCACATCGTTGTCTTCCCATTCGCAATATCTCACCCTCTCTCTTCCTAGTGATCCTCGGCGAAGGCCCCAAACCACGCCCAATAGCAGAGGAGCTCGCACGGGTGGAGGCGGCAAACAGGGGTGTGCCTGCGGGGATCTACACTACGGCGCCGGCGCCGCCACAACAGCCGGCTGCTGAAGCTGGGCAGGGGTGATAGGTCACGTTTGCGCGTTTAGTCATCAGGACCAGAACGCTACTAAGGAGAGGGTTTTTGGAAAGCACGGGTGCATATGGGGAAGGATAGAGGAAGGGGTAGATGTTGGACGGGATGTAATTGTTCGGCGCGGGGTGTCGGCATCGACACAAGGGGGGGGGGGGGGGGGGGGGGGGGTTTGGAATTCCCAGCGGTGCATGGACTCGCCGCCTGCGAACGGACCGCACCCGTCCAGCTCAACGGGTATTCGAGTCTTGCGGTCGGTCGGAACGGCGTATAGATCTGTCTGGATCTCGCGTCTGCAGAGAGCAGAAAACCACGCGGAATTCCCGTGTTTCACGAGCTGTCATTGAGCCAATGGGAACATGTCTATAGATCATCAGAAGCTACGAAGGACTTGACTTCCGCAGGAGCAGGTCAATTGTAATTGCAACGCATTAATAGTATTTATCTAGTCAGTGTGAGGCAGACAATGCCGGGGTCATTGATGGAGTGTGATGGTATGATACAACGTGAAGGAGGCCAATGATAGAACATCAGCCGTGCGTCTATCGCCAGGATCTATGCAAGTGATGTTATGACGGGTGGCGTTACGTTGGAAATCCGATGAAGGGCTTTCACTGGTGAGCTGTAGGCTCCTTCGTTGCACCGGTCGGTTTGATTGATGATGACTCGCCTGTCGTTCAAGGCCCCGTCTTCTCAGACGTCGCGGCCGGCTTGGGAGCAGGAATGGCAATCGAAGGCTTCGGGGTATCCTCATCTTCAACCTTCGTGGCCTCATGCATCGCAGCCAACTCATCCACCGCAACATTGTGCTGAATCTCCCTAATCTGCTCTACAGCCTCTTCCGCAACCTTCTTCCCACGGGCGGCAACCCGCTTAATAGCGCCTGCCGTCTCCCCGTGCCCTTCCTTCTCGGCTTCCTCAGCCAAGAACAAAATTTCGCTCATGGCCACAACCCCATCGCCGTCCGCGTCAAGCTTCATGACGATCCGCTTGATCCTCTCGTCATCAGGGTGGTCGCGAATGAGTTGGATCGCCTGTTCCAGTTCCGCGATGGTGATTTTACCCTGGGAGTCGGGTCGGACGAGGTTGAGATTCGATCCGTGTTCCAAGTCGTATTTGGCACAATCGGCTTCGAGCCTGGAGACCATTTTGTCGATACGGTCCCCGATCTCGTTAGTTGATTTGGCGGTTTCTTTTTGCGTCACCTGTTTTAGCTCCTCAACGTCCTTTAAGGGTTGCGTTAGATGCTTTCATCATGCGACCAGAAACCAAGCGCCCATCCCGGGATTTCCTACCTCTTTGTACTCCCTACGCTCTTCCTTCAATTGTGCAAGGGGAGCTCTGATGTCATCCACGGCGGACGGATTGGTGATAACTTTCAGTACTTGACTCAACCGTGTCAGTTCCTCGTCAGTCATATGAAGAGCGTCCTCCTCCTCAATGATGGTCTACAGAGAGTCCAAGTTTGTCAATGAAGAGCATAAAGCAGACAAGAATTTGCTGTATCACCAACCTGTGCCTGATGTTCCGTTTGTCTTGTGCGAACTTGCTCGACCAAAGGCAACTGCTCAGCAGCCTCTTGTTCTTCCTTCGCGCGCTTCAGAGCCGCTTCTTCCTCCTCTTTGGCCTTCTTGGCCTCAGCGATGGCCTGTGGAACAAGTGTGATATGTTTGTCAATAACGGTAACCCTCCAAACCGTCGAGTCACGTGGCAGTACTCACCGCTTCCTGCTCCAATTCGTCCTGTATCAGTTCTTCCTGTTCTTGCAACACGCTCAGCCTCTGCTTGTACGTGGCTGACCCTTCGGCCTCAGAAATATGCAACTGAGCCTCGTTCACCACTTGATGCGGCAAAGACGACAACGTAGCCTGCAAAGCTTCCGCGTTGCCCTTCAACGCCGCATCTTTATCGGTCGGAATGCGATCGCTCAGTTGGAAAGCGCGGCTGAGGATTAAGAGAGACGAGGAGATGTTGTGGTTGACGTGAAGGTCAAGCCATTGTTCTAGCTCTGCCCTCATGCGAGCAGGTGACACGCCCGTCGTCCTGATACCGCGAGAGATGCAGACTTGCTGCAGTTCAGGTAGCGACAACTTCTCTGCTCCGCCTTCTGCAATAATGACTCGGTCGTCCTGCTCCAGGTAGTTGAGTCGTCGCTGAATTTGGTGGCGAAGGAAGCTGTCTGTGCCGAATGCTTGAATGTTCATATACTTGGCCATGCTGACGAGTTGTGGCCGAGACAGATTGCTGAGGGTCAACTCGTCTGGGAACTTCTTCGCAATTCGTAAAATCTCCTCGGATGAAGCCGGTTGTGCGCTTGTTCGGCACTGCAGGCAGATATCAGGCGTGAGTTATCAGGACGCTTTTCGTAAGTTTAAGAACGAATCGCACCTTGTTGAAGAACTCAGTGAACTCCTTTGCGGCGGCAGCAGCAGAACTACCAGAAACCGTAACATCCTCAACGGTGTCCTGCAAGAAGCGCGCCATCTCCAGTCTCATCTTTAAGATCTTCTTCTTTTTCTCTTCTTCTTGGAACTTGCTCTCGAATGTACTGGGCAGCATATTGGGGAATAGCTTCAGTAGAATTGGAAGAGCGAGTTCCATGAAAGGGATCAGGAGAATGATGATGAAAGGCACCAGTCGTAATAAGTCACTGGTCGTGCGCTTCAACTGAGGCAGTATAAGAGTTACGACCCTGAGCTTCAAATGCATTGTAATCAATGGCAATGTGGAGAGTGACATACCTGTCTGTGCTCTCTCCGGGACAGTCCTTGCCCATTCAACAGCTTCACCAGCAGCCTACTGGAGATTTTGATCTCTGTCCCGAGAAGCTTGGTTCCATGCCAGTAATGGAGCAGCTCTTCTTTTATTCGCACAGATATTGACTTCTTGGGAGCAGATTGCACAGGTACTGCGGCGCCTTCCGTGGTGGGCCCTAGAGCATTGGACGCAGCAGCGAGCTGCTCGCTCTTTGCTTCCCGAATGGCCTTTTCGACCGGAGTCTCCTGTTTATGGGCCTGACTCTGACCAACGGGAGCCACCGTTTCTGGCTCCCGCAACAATCTCAAGGAGGTCGGTATAGTAAAAAGACTGCTTATTTGCGAAGCTGAGCTCCGGTCCCCCCGCGGTATCGATTCGACTCGGACACTCGACGCAAACGTCCGAACTGAAGCTGGGCCCCTCGTTTGGTGCTGTGCATAGAACGCAGCTTCCCGGGCGAATGGCGAGGTTCGACCTATGCTAACAGCGTTTGCTCGCAGCGCCCGTCCAACAGCGGTTGCCACATGGCGACTTATAGCCGCGTCGGGCCGGCTTGAGAGTCCCATACGATACGAAAACATGCTGAATTTCGTTCCAAAAACAGTGAGGCTTTCGCGGGAAGAATAATGAGTCTCCAGTACACTCCAGTACAGGGGCTCGTCAAGTACAAGCTTCGCGAAACTGCGGTCGCTATAGTCGCTTTACGACTCGGCCGAAACTCTCACGAAATCCTTCCGAGATCACGACTGAAGGGTAGCACGTATTTCCAAGCTAGCCTGTCCAGGTCTACAACGAGCCCGTTATCCTAGGTTATAGAAGCAGCCGCTGAAGGGTCGTCGGCGGTGTCCTCTGCTGAATGAAGTGCAAAATGTCAAGCGAAGTGGAACGTGGCGAAAACCTCGAAAGCCCAAACCGGCGACCTGCAATACATCATAGTCGTTCCAGTCCGTGAAATTCCGACGACCTCAGAGTCGTGACTCAAGATTGAAGACTGTCGCGACGCGTTTGGATCAAGACGTCTCAATTCATTCAATGGCGTTGGCGCGCTGGAAACCTGAGGGCTTCTAAGTGAATGTGCTTAGGATAGGCGCAGCGAACAACTCGTAATGATTAGGCGGTGCGTCGATCCCGTGAGTCCAGACGCTGTCCAAACGCTAAGGCTGGCACAGTCCACTATTCACAAGGGTCACCACAAGCGCAACTTGACCCTTCTCAGAAGGGGGTCCCCAACACTCTAAAGGAAGGGTGCTTCCCGCCAGAGACGGAACTTGTTTGCTATACAAGGTTGCAGGTCAGCGTCGTCGTTATGTCTGTCCAGTATATCACGCATACTAACTGATATATTTGCCTGCTTACTCCCCGTTTTCAGGCAGCTGTCACGGTTGTTTGGAGATCCACCTCGAGAGTCGAACCATCTACTGGAGAAGCTTCTCCAGGTCGTCGACCAGGACTGGGAACTGCTGTAGGACGGGCAGATTTTGGAAGGAACGGTCATTACGGAGAAACCCACGTGGTGGGGGACCTCTGCGCGAATCTTGGTGATTTGCTTCATCCGAACTCTCAACTCCTGCGGGCTGGGAAGCAAAAGACGAAGCCAATCAGCCCACCGCAAGGAATCCGAATCAGCTCGTGGAATTGGCGAAAGCGGCGAACGGGGTTTGTGTCTCACTCAGTAGGCTGTGCGGACTTCTTCCACCGGGCTTAACAGATTTACCCCGTTTCTAGGCGTTTGTCGGTCAGGACTCTTCTGCGCAAGCGATGATTAGCCATCTCGAAACTTCGCCAACCGAAGAGCATATTCAGAACTTCCCGCCTGACATAGTTTACGGCGGATATCAGCAGCAGCTCATAGCGCGGCCAACGGGGTTGCAGGGAAGGCCGGTTCTTATACAAATGAGCGACCCGAGGGATCTCAGGAACTCTAGGAGGGAACTTGGCCACTATCAGATTGTGAACGGCGTACCTGTTCTTTCCTCGCAGGGACAGGGGCCGTGGGCGCAACAGGGCTTCTACATTCGACAGTCTCAAATGGCAAATAGCGCCGGCTCTTCTACCTCGAGGCAACAGCAACCTCAACAACAACAGTCTTCCGCGGCCGTCAATGCTGCTCACAGAGTACGGGCTCAAGAGAGAAGTTTCAGAAGTTCCCCAGCACTGCAGCCAATTATGACAGGAGGGGCAACGCAGCGGTCATATCTGGACTCGGACTCGGATGTGTCTATGCTGTCGTCGATGACCTACTCGACCTCTGGTTCGTCGTCAGGCCGACAGTCGAGCGCTAGTTTACCACAGGAAATGACTGGCGTACAGGATTGGAGGACCGACCCATTCGCAATGTACGCAGCTCAGCAGCAGCAGAACCGAGGCATCCCATGGGAGCAGCAGCAGGAGGGCCATCCGGCGTATCTGTCGCCAATTGACGTCGAGATGATGCGTCCCTACATGATGTCTTCTCTGAGACATCCACAAAATATGCTTCCAAATGGCACTATCATCATTCAGGAAAGCCCTGCGGTTGGTGGTCAGCAGGTGAGGCATATGCACACCATGAGTCAGATGATCACTCCCGTCGCCCCTCCAACAATAAAAGCTCTACGAAAGCCGCTGCGAGTCAATTCTGCACCTGCACCGGGACCCAAAACAACATCCATGCAACCACGTAGGGAGATCATGCAGGGTCCGACTCCTATCGAAAAGCCACCAATTCCAAGTCGCACCGCTTCTGAGACAAAGTTATGGAGAGGAAACCTCTCGGCTCCTATAGAGGGTGTCATCGATTTGACCGCAGATCCCTCGCAGAGTTTCCCGGACGGTTCGGTGACAGGGGAGAAGGCGGAACGGCCATTACCAGCACCGCCACGGCCAAGGTCAGCACCCGTTCTCCAGACTTCCATAGCAGCGGATCCCACCATAGGGGTATTGTCGAGCCCGTCTATCCCGGCAAGCACTTCCACGACCACAACGCAGAAGCGGTCCCACAAGAAAAAGGCGAAGCCGACGGCGTCAAAACTGGACGCCCAACAGGCCCAGAGGGTCAATGGGGTTTACATTCCAGCCGGACTGGTAAATCCATTTTCAAAGAAGCCTGCAGCAGGCGGAAAGGAGGAGGCGGATTTGGCTGAAGATGTCCTCAGCATCCGCGACGTGATTGCCACCGTACAACCAGCGGAAAGTGAAAGCGAAAAATCGAAAAAGTATGTACAATTTCTGTTAAGGATACCTTACATAGACGTTTGAAGCTGAACCTGATGGTCAAACCTGCAGGTCTCCCATGGAAATCAACAAGCCATCGAATACGGAAAATAATGCGAGCAAAAGTGTCCCAAATCCAAGAAGCGCAGCCCGAACTGCCGGGCCTTCTCTCGCCAAAAATGTAAAAGATACCCGTAGCACCTCCCCGGTGAGGCCTACCACGCGTTCCGGCATTCCTAAATTCCAAATCCACGAGGAGATCGATGATGCCAAGGTATGTTTCATTCCACACCGGTTGCTGTCATTCTGGTAACAAACCTCTGCGCTTTGACTTGGTAGAGCATTCAAAATGACGACCATTGCTCCGCGTGTTTGGGTCGTGGCCGCTTGCTTTGCTGCGATTCATGCCCGAGAGCTTTTCACTTTCAGTGTCTGGAGGAAGGTTTTGAGACCATCACTGATGTTGAGGTGGATACTTGGGATTGCCGATCTTGTCGAGCGCGAAAGGTAGGTCGAACGAACCGCAGATTCCGAATCATGCAGGAGGTATCTGATTTCGGGATTCATCTGTGTACGAGCAGATTCAAGCTGCAAGCAGCAGGAAGGGCAAACGGAAGGCAGCATCCCCCGCCACACCCGGGCAAGCCGCATCCGGTCTGTTCGACAGGCTTTTGGTGAACTTGGAGAGCCTGAACCCACGAGTATTTGAGTTACCAGGCGAAATCGTCAACGCATTCGAAAATGTATATATGCACCCAGCAACCGGGGCGTATATCGATACCCGGGAGATCGAGATCACCAGACCGAAGAGTCACAAAGCGGGGGCACGAAAAGGGAGTTCGGCCGCCGTTCTGGAGGGCATAGACGTGGCGAAGCTGACGACCGATCCGTCCGCCGTAACATGCCACCAATGCGGCAACTCTGGGTATAAGTTACGTCCGACGGCGCTATTGGCCTCTTACAGTATACCACAGCCGGAGAATTCGGCGGGTCGACCCCAAGCACTGCGAACGGATCTGGTGAAGTGTGACTACTGCCCCCTTCATTGGCATCTGGACTGCCTGACGCCGCCATTGACCTGCATACCACCCGAACTGAAGGAAGAAGAAAAGGAGGTCGTCGATGCTGGGATGTGGCACGCGTTGCGACTGCGTACCTGGGGCGCGGATGACCGAGGGGAGCGAACGGATGCGAACGGTGAGGCAGAGACCGGGGTGGTCCATCTCCGACGGAAGTGGATGTGTCCGTGTCATGCTGACTGGTCGATGCCGAAGCAACGCGTTTTTGCCCGACGACCCTGGGTGGAGATCAATGCTGAGAAGCCTGTCGACAAGGAGACGAACCCAATACCCTCGGAGCCAATTCTGTTTGTTAGCCAGAAAAGTGTTGGTCCAACAACGACTTCGAAAATGGATGCTGCTAGCAAGGATCTGAGGATCGATGCCACCCAAAGCAAACGGCGGCCCATCGACTCCGTCGAAGGCGGCACGCCCACCAGCGCCTCAAAGAAAGCACGCACGAGTGCTGGGGACGTACATGGTCGCAAGGAAGTCGTGCTCCCCAAGCCAAAATCTCCAACAGTTAGCGAGCCTCTCCCACCACCCATTCAGACCACCGAAAGCGCAAACAACGGCAACATCGAAGTCGTGAACGACTCAGATACCACAACCTACTATTCAGCGAAATCCTCCGCCTCTAGAAAGCCTTCATTGAAGAAATCGCCGATGGAGGAGCTCGAGATTGGGGGGGTCAAGTACAAGCTCCCTGAGCGTCGCATCAAACTGGATTTCCTGGATCGAGTGCGGACCCTCGCTGAGCTGCGGGCGCTTGAGAAGGCGGAGACGGGTGGATCCAGCAGCAGCGATGGAAAGGACGCGGAGAAGGATCAGCGGGTCCCGTCGCAGTTTAGCCATGTTGGCGCGACATTCCGCAGCTGTGTCAACGAGCTGTATGAGGCTGGGGAGCGCGGCGTTGATACGGGTTGCGGGCCGCTTCCTTATGCAGCTAGTGCGTTTGTGGATGGTGCTGCGCTGAGGCATGCTGGGAGTGTTAGGGCGACGGATAAAGAAGCGATTGAGGTATGTTCTTGGGTCTGATTCGCCATAAACTTTCAGATTGGTTCTGCGCACCTCATCGATTGACTTTTTCTGGCTTCGTACAGTGGCTGGAATCCGTAACCAAAATGCAATCCGAGTTGGCCTACCTTCTGCAAATGCGCATGGCAGCCAATGCCTATATACAATCTGGTCTTCCCGGCACTGCTGGGCCTTCCACGAACGCAACCAGCAACGACGAAAGGCCGGCGTCAGTCCCACAACCGGGCGGACAACAGAAAGATCCTGCTCCCGATGTCCCTCCCGCGGTAAAGGTGGCAGCGGTCAGCAAAACCGATACCCCTCCCATCGTAGCGGTGCCCGATGATATTGAGATTGCCGATACCGACTCCACGATACCCCCTCGCATCACCAAGACCGCCGCACCGCAACAAACCGAACCGTCTGAAAGCAAAGATGACGTAGTCGTCCTCGACAAGCGAGACCCAGAATGGCTTGCGTTCTGCGCTTGGAAGGCACGGCAAAACACAACCGTGGCGGCAACGTCATCACCGCAACACGTTCACCAGAACGAAGAGTCGGCGGAAACACAGTTTGGAGTTACCTTACCGATACATGGAGCATAGCGAGCGTTGATTGGGAGAGCTCATGGAATGCAAGGGCGCAGATGACAGGAGATTTTGGCCTTTTGCCTCGGAGGACGGGGATGCGGGAGTGGTCCTATATATGCCTTTAATGTTGGACAATTATGCTATCGTGCGGGCGCGCTTGGTATCTGGGGAGGAGGGTATTTTGTCGCGCGGTGCTAGCTTGTTTGTATATTGGGCGCTTACTCTTTATTTTTTGAAATATGAGGTTGCCTTTTTGGCTTGAATCATGTTGCATTGCGTCTTCCGTTGGCGGACTGCTTTCTCTCGGCTACCATTGATAAATCAACTCGTGCCCACCTTGAATCTGCCCCCAGGAGAGCCAATGCTGTGGCTCCCAAGACCTTCTACCTCTACATGCTGCTAATGCTACGACGCTCGCAACGGTACTCCGCCGCTGCTATCATCCGCTCCCCACTCCTAGGGGCCGCATACCTCCTACCAGCCGTCGATCCAGGCCGATCAAACCCCAGAAGCCTTCCAATCTATCTCTTCTTCGCCGCCTTCACCCCCCGCTTCGGGCACAACTCCTTCACGGGGCACGCCTCACACGCGGGATTGACAGCCTTGCACAACACCTGCCCAAACCCGACCATCAGCGGGTTGATCGGCCCCCACAGCTCCTCCGGCACCTCCATCTGCAACCGTTTTCGCGTCTCTTCGGGCGTTTTGGTGGTTACCCAGCCGAGCCGGTTGGAGATGCGGTGCAGGTGTGTATCGACTCCTATGGCGACGTGTCTGTGTTTGCCCGAGGGCGGGAGGTGTGAGATTGGGACCATATGTGGACTACCAGGACCGACTTTCTTGGACCAGGTGGGGAGAACGACTTACGTACTTATGCCATGCCGCAGACATCGTCAACGCAGCGATCTTTGGACCGACGCCTGGCAATAATAACAGCTCCTCGAAAGTGGTTGGAATGTCCCCGTGGTATTGTGTGCTGCATATTTGACTTGTTCCTATCAAAGCCCTGCCATTGTCCATCGAAGGGCACGTCAGCCGTCTGAGCGTTTGAGGAGCACTCTGGGCATCCAAATGCCATACTCCATGTCGCTCAAAATGGTTTTCGTCTAGCCGAACGCAGCAGCCCTTACTTTGTCTTCTGATTCTGCATTCCTATCCATTTGAGGTGATCCCTGATGACCTCGGGTTTGGTTTCCAATATGGCATCGGGTGTAATGCCCATGGGAAACGCTTCTTGCAGCTTGCGGACCGCGGGCTCAAGTTTCAGGTCGGGCGTTTGCGCGGACAGGATAAGGGCGACCAGCACTTCGAACCTATAGACCTGGTACGAGAAGCAATCGTTCACATAGGGGGTCTGAGGGAGGAGTTCCCAGACAATATCGGACGGACCTTATTCCCGAGATCCTTCCTTCCCAATTGTGCACATCCGCACCAGTCGACCGGCGCCGTTACGCTCTTCCGAAAGACCTCGATCACGTCGTACACTGCTTGACCCTTCCACGCGGTGCTGGGGACACTCGGAGCTTCAATATCCTCAAGCTTGGCATGTGCAACGCTCTCCAATTTCGCATCCTCAAGCTTCACGATTGCTGCACCTTCCAGCTTCACTGTCGGCGCATCCTCGAGCTTGACACTTGCTACATTCTCCTGCTTTACTGTGTCCAGGAGCTTTGACATGCTCCTGAGTGGTGGCGACGTGAAAGCACTGCGGCACGCACGAATTGCGCTGGCGGGGGAATTCAGCATGCCCCAGCGTCGAGAACTTCCAACTTTCCGTCGCGGAAGACACGCTCGCGTTTCGCAATTCATCGGCACTCCGCGCAGCACTCCGCCTATGGCCCACAGGTCCGCTAGCAATTACTATGGACCTGTAGTCCGTATCTGGGAACACAGCAGGTCCTGTTGCTTTCTGGTCCGAGAAGTTAGTCCGAGAAGTCCGAGAAGTCCGAGAAGGAGGAAGACATGCTGATTTTTGCAAATGCTAAGTTTAAACGAAGCCACTTGGTGAAAATCTCGATGTGCCCATCCTGCAGGGTTACATCAATAGTGCATTCTTTGACGCACGCAAGCTCAAATGGAATCGATGTATAGGCGCGGTGAGGCGGTGTGGTCATTACGGGACTGTGCTCGAAGGGAAGCTGTCGAAGGCCAACAGCAACAGTCCCGCAATCCTCTTTTGGTCGCAGTGTCATGTCAAACATGGGCTGGTTTCCACAGACCTCAGGGGAGTTTGCATCACGCCGACGTTTGGCCCGCTGCATCAGGCCAATGGCTGCATCCTCGACCGCAGAAAGAGAGGAGCGGAGAATTTTACAATTCAGGATGCTACTAGTATGGCAGCCTCGCCGCTTGGCACCGTGCGGCGTGAGGACAGGCTCCGACAGAGAATGTGGAATTGCGAGCGCAGCCGCAGCCGCAGCAGACCCGGAATTTTGCAAAGGTAGCTACATGATACATCCCAGCCTGCACGTATAATCACAGTCTGAGAGCATGTGTGCATACCTCAAGACCAGTGAAAAGGCAAGAGGTTGAAAGACATGGCAAAGATCGAATGACGAACGGGACCCTTTCAATAGATACGTAGTAGCCGTCGCATTTGAGAGGGCGCTGGATATCCTTTCTCTTTGGAGGCATATTTGGCACCGATGTACAGTATGTACAGTATGGGTCTATATGTCTGCGACCTCACGTGACTAAGTCAGTGTCTATCGCGAGCTGCCATTGAATTGACAGCGTCGACCACGGCATCAGTCTCCTAATACTTTGTGCTTCCCCCGTTGGCAGCTATCACCATTCTCCTCGGCATGTGCCAAGGCCGAGGTCAAGACGTCGGGGTCAATCTCGCAATGGCGAGTATCTCTTGTCTGCTTGCTTGGTAGTCGCCGGCAGAATCGCCTGGTAGTCGCCGGTCGCGTCCCGGGGGGGGGGGGCCGGCCTGGAAGTCACGTGAGGTCGCAGACATATAGACACATACTGTATGTTGATAGATTTGATCTGAGAGCAGGGAGGCTCACTGACGGAAGATTCCCTATATCTAACGGCGCATACGTCGTGTGATTTGATTAGCCACACGAAACCCCTACTTGTAGCGAGATAAGTCCCCCTTACTGAGGCTGAGAAAGCAGACTCGCTGCAAGAGGCAGGTCGTTGGCTAATGTGGATCCTTAAGTTATTGTCCACGGGAGAAGCTAGTTCCCATCAACGCGCGGACATAAATGGAAATATTTAATTCGGAAATGCGAACGCAATAAGGGCAATAAGGCCAATAAGGCGCACGACGGCGAGGCAGAACACTAGGCACAAGCGAGAGAGAAGCCGCCCGCATTCGCAACCTCACACAATCTCCCTACTGCCACGACGTTATTCAGGGGATAGCACCGCCCCGTAGAACGCAGGGGATATCTCCTACAACCGTCAACGAAGCGTCCCATTGTGGGGACAACCCCTCCCAAGCCGCTAGCCTCGCCCGTGCTGTACGGACGGCACGCCCCCTCTCGGACCTTCGGGCATAGCGCAGCAAACGGAAAAAGTTTTCGATATCTGCGGGCCCATCGACCCTTGGAATGTCCTCGCTGCAGATGAACACCTCACACGGCGGCATGGACCCTTCCTCGCATAACGGGCAGTACGGCGGCGGCGGCGGCGGGCCTGCAGAACACCAGCCACGCGGCATGGCCGGCGATTCGGCAGGAAGCCACGTTCAGCACGTCCATCATGTTCAGCAGCCGCAGCACCATAACTCAATGCATCCCCCACACCCTCACTACCCTCAATATCAACAGCACCCCCAGCATACTCAAACCCACCAGCATCCCCAAACCCACCAGCACCCGCAAACCCACCCACACCCTCAAACACACCAGTTCCACCAATCCCAGCCTCAACCTCACACCCAGCATTACCCTCAGCCACAAAACCCTCACCCACAAAACACTAAACTCCAACACGTGAACCACAACCACCCACAACCGACCATCGCTATGCACCCACTTCCTGCCGTACCACCACCGCCACCACCCAAAACAACCACAAAGGGCACTGCACCCGATCTACTGAATCCCAATGTGGCTTCCGAGAAGAACGCTGACGGTTTATTCGAGTGTACTTATGCAAACTGCAAAAAGGCTTTTGCGAGGAGGTTCAACTTGTCCACTCACTACGCAACGCACTTTGGAATAAGGGAATGGGAGTGTGAAGTTTGTGAGAGGAAGGTAAAAGCATCGAAGGAAGTGAGATAAAATGGTCGTTAGCGTGTCCGAACGAAGGGAGGATATGGCGAGCCTGCTGGCGAAGTGAGAGTGCGTCGGTAGTAGAAACTGCGCCGCCCAACATCTTCGTCGACGGCGGAGTGAGCGGGATTGCCAATTTCATGCATGGCTTCATACATAGCCCTCAATTGTGTTGTTGATTGTTTGCTTCCCGTACTAACATCCTCTCATATAGTTCACCAGGCGGTATGATTTGACTCGGCACCAGGGAATTCGTCACTCTGGCGGATCAACGGGACCCAGTTGCAAGAGCAAGCCATCGAAAGGCAAACGTAAAGCATCCTCTGCCGGCAGTGTGGAATCGGAGACCAGCCCGCACCCAGCAGGGACCTCCGCTCCAGCTTCCAAACCCGCTGATGCAATCAGCACAATAACACCGTCGAACACACCGGGCGCCACTCCGACAGGCTCGGCATCGGGAACACCCGTGTACGATTCGCAAAGTGACCCAAACCATCCTCCTCGTGTGGCTGCGCGACTATTGGTAGGGGTGCCGTCGCCGGCGACGACCCCAACCAGTCCAGCCTCTTCTTACGGGGACATTCGCACGAAGAACGAGATGCAGCAGATTGTGAGAGGTCCCGTAGGGCTCCGCATGGACGTAACATCTGCATTTGTCGACTCGAACGAGGCGAGGAGACCGAATAACCAAGTTCAGCCAACACATTATACAACTGACTCACCACAACGAGCGTCCATCAATTCCATGCTCGGCGCAAGCATGCCAAACATACCCCAACAGCAGACTAAGTGGATCATGCCCGCAGCCGGCAATACCTATCCTGCCGCTGCCGTTCATCCTCAGCCCCAGTTCAATGCTGTCGCTGCTGAAAACCTTCCACCGTCCCACCATCGTTCTTCTCCCGCATACCCAGGGTACGTCAACCATCTTTTACAACACGAAAGTGGCGACAGTTCCCAATTTCTCATGGAAAATCGACCACAAAAGGGCAGGCTGTCCGACCGCATCCAACTACCCATCCCATCCATCCATATCGGCGATAACAGACCACCAGCGACCATGGATGAACTGACACCTTCCTCTACAAAGCGGCGACGACGATTTCCCGCCCAGGAAGCCACTCCGCCGCCATCCGCTTCCTCCTCGTCACTGGCTTCCGCGCGACCACCCATATCCATGTCGGCCTCGTCGAGCATCAACTCATTGATCGACTGGCCGGTGCTTACCCCGACGTCCGCGCTGAGCCATGCCCCGTTCCCATACAGCAATGTCAACGGCGCGCTGCAGCACCTTACGCGAACCGTGCACCACCCCGTGGCGCGGCCAGAGTACGATATGACGACAGCCATGCAAGAGCGATACAATAAAGCGGTGAACCATCCCGCGGGCCCCACTCAAGCGTACAACGAAGCGGTGGCGCAACAACAACAACAACAGCAACAACAACAACAGCAGCATGATCAACAAAACCAACAACAACAACAACATCAACTACAACAGCAAGCAGCAGCCCCTCTCCCGCCGCGGGTCGTCGAGAACGAGGAAGAAAGGCGCGCTATCGCTGTTGCTATGCTGCTGGAGATTCCGGGCACGTCGCATCGGAGGGATGGGCAGCCGACGCAGCAACCATAGCCAACGCAGTTGCAGCAGTGGCATCGTCCTTTTGATGTGTGAAAAGCACACCTTTTTTGAGGGGATTGTAAAGGCCGCGGGGGGTGTTAGATAGCCCGAGCATCACCAGATATCACGGCGATTGAGGCCGCTTTCCCGCAATTGCACATCTTTGTACAGCACATATTCAGTATCCACCCCACCCGTCGCCCATTCATTGTAGAAAGACCACCCTCCCACCGTCACACGCCACAACACACCCACTTTCTTTCACTTGTTTGAAGAAAATCCTGCATAAGGCAAAAGCTACAAAATATATACACATCTTAATTGAGGAACAAAGAACGGAGGCTGTAAACATGTGGACTTTTTTCGGGGGGGGGGGGATCGTTGAGTGCATCATTATCCGTATTCGGTGCGTGAGTATACGATCAGCGCCAACGGCTCACAGAGTGGTTTCATTATTGCAAAATGGGGATATATTGGTGTATATCAGAAGGCCGATGGTCGATCGTCGACAGCACGAGTAACGAGACGATTTGGGGTGGTGCGTTGATTATGAGGAATTGCGAAGTGTGATCCTTTTTTACGCTCTTGTGCCGATGACGATTTCGAGGAACATGTCGTCTGCGCGTTGGAATATTAGATACGACGCCATGCATTGCTGAGAAGCAGTTGCAAAAGGGACTTACGGCTCATGTTGACTTTTCATGTGAGTGATGGGTGAGGGAAGAAGGAAAAAGTTAGAATCCGGCATGACATCGTACACGCCGTATATGTGTAGTGCATACCCCAGCCGTCCTATTGAGAGAAAGAAGGGGGGCGAAATCAGTCTCAAAAGTTACAAGGACCAGAAGGCATGCAAATTATGACATACCCGATCCTGATCATAACTCTGGAACGCCTCCGACAAATTCTTAACCGTAACACATCCACAGATGAACGAATCGAAAGTAATATCTACTGCGCCTGTTAAAATCACGATTCAACGCACTCTAAGGCACTTTTCCTTTTCTCTTTTCGCGCGGGCAACACACACAGACAACGCACAGATACGCCGTATGTGTCATCTCACTCACGCGACCGACGTACCTTTCTTTGCAAACTTCTTGACGACCACGTCCACGACGCGGTCGGAGACGTTGAAGCCGAAGGCGGATAGGGCTTGGCGGAGCTCGGCGCGGTTGATGGTGCCGGAGTTATCTCGGTCGAATTGTTTGAAGATGCGTTTCCAGTCCTCTGTTTGGTTGTGCGAGGTGTGAGTACTGAGAATATCGAAGCGTGGCGGGGTTGGCATCTACTCTGATCGCTGAACTCACCGATGTATTTCCACAAACTCACAAACTCCTGGAAACTGATGCTGCCTGAGCCGTCGCGGTCAAACAGCGTCATCATCAATTGCACCGTTTCCAGCGAGAAAGGGGACCAATCGCCGTTGATGAGAGCCCGCTGGATCTCTTGAGGATTGCACTCGCCAGATCGGTCCGCATCTACCGCCACGAACCATGACCATAACTAAATATAACAGATGGGCACGGGTCAACCAACAAACCATCCATCAACCCATCAACCACCAACCCATCAACCGACAACCATCATCCACTTCCAATCAACCATCAACCATCAACCATCATCAACTATCCATCAACGACCATCACCCATCAACAACCGATACCCTGCTCGCTCCGCTCGCGACGAGGATGTTGGGTGGAGATGGGCGGAGCGTAGCTCGCTTCGCTCGCCAAGGCCTTCGTGGACCTATCGGTCTCCCAGACCGAAGTAACCCTGCACCTCGCTTCGCTTGTTGCAGTACAACACCCACGCTCGCTTCGCTCGTGTCGGGGCTCGCTCTCGCTCGGGATCGCCCCGCTCGGAACGCACCTGAGGGTCAGCACCTGGAGGAGGCACCTGACTTGGCGGAGCTTGTTGAGAAACGCCGTAAGACTGCTGTCCATATGGTTGTTGTGGTTGGCCATAGGCCTGTTGTTGCGGCTGACCATAGGCCTGTTGTTGTTGTGGCTGACCATATTGGGGAGGCGGGGCAGCGCCGCCGTACTGTTGAGGAGCGCCGTATGTTTGTTGCTGCTGCTGTTGTTGTTGTTGTGGGGGCTTGTAACCTCCCTGGGCTGGAGCGCCATATGGTTGTTGGTATGCTGTTTAGGGTGGGCATGGGAGTGAGACGTTCTGGATGGCATCACGGATTGGGCCAGTCGCGATAGAGGGAGGTCTTACCCATGTCTGAGCTAGATAGGTTGCTCTTGCCAAGTAAGACCTGATATGGCGGAAGCGACGGCGGGAGTGTGGGAATGTGAACCTTTTGTGGCGACTTGCAAGTTGCGAGGGAAAGGCGGGAGGAAGAACGGGGCAGGCGGGAAGCCTCTCATCCCAGACACGACACAGAGGACACCCGCCCGCTTCTGACAACCCGCTTGTGACGTGCGCCATGTGGCTTGGCTCTCCATTTGCGAATGCATTGATTGATTGACTGATTGACACTGCTTTCGGACGCCGTCTTTCCCGAAGCCCATGAAGGCCATCAAGGCCAGCAGCTTGTTGGAAGCCAACCACACACAGAGTCGTAAAGAACAACTTTCAGCAGCTGGAATCATGCGCATTCTCAGCTGGAACGTCAACTCCATAAGGACCCTCAAGGTACCTTCCCAGACAGCACGCTTGAAATGCGGATGCGGATGATCTTCGACCCCTCACACCCTTCATATCCGTGCAGCAATACCACCCATGGAACGAGTATAAGAGCTATAGCTCACTGATGGATACACTGGATGCCGGTGAGAGCTGCCTTTTCAGCACCTGAAGCAGGCTATATGTGATTCTACCCAACTAACTTTAGCAACTCCTTCGTCCAGATATTGTGTGCTTCCAGGAAATGAAAATATCTCGGAGCAACACTGACTCCGACTTGGCGCTGATACCGGGCTACGACGCCTTCTTTACATATCCAAAGGTGGGGTGCGAATGCATTGATTTAGTGGCGGGCAAGAGTACCCTTACTAACGGTGGTGTTCAGCGACGACACGGATACTCAGGAGTCACAACATATGCACGCTCAAAGTATACCCCAGTCAACGCAGAGGAAGGCTTCACCGGCACACTGTGCAACCCTGCCACCTGCAAGGACCCGATCGGGAGCTACGGCGATATGCTGCAAGAGTTGACACCTGAGGAACTATTAGAGCTCGATAGTGAAGGACGGGTCATGATCACGGATCATCGACTGTTTGTTCTCATCAATGTGCGTCGAGATGCGAGTGACATTCTGAACGAACGTTCCGACATGCATTACGGGTTTCGAACTGAACTCTCGGCATTCTTAGGCTTATTTCCCGGTGACGGATCCAGAGCGTGTGGAATTCAGGGCCAGGTCAGGAAGAACACATTGCGAGAGGGCCCGTCGTTGTGATCGCCCTTATTCACGTTCTGTATCGCAACTCAGAGCAGATTCTATGGAGCAATGAAACACCGAATCGAAGCGCTCCTCGCCGCCGGTCGGGAAGTCATACTTGTTGGCGATGTGAGTGTGTGATGGTATGAAGGTCGCTGGGGACTCTTTTCCCCCTTCTAACTATCATCTCGAACGGTAGATCAACGCCTGCTATAGTCCCATGGATCACTGTGACCCGAAAAAAAGTCTCCGAGAGAATGGAATCACTGAATTCCACGATACCCCCACTCGGCGATGGCTCTACGATTTCTTACATCCTAGAGGTCCACTGTACGATACATTCAGGGTGTTTCATCCGACACAGGAAAAGGCATTTACTTGCTGGAACACCTTACTGAATGCGAGGTAGGCGACTGGCTTCTGTAAAGAGCCCGAACGAAGTGCGAAGCCTAAAACGTTCCGTTTCATAGACCAGTCAACTACGGTTCGTGTAGCCGGCCGCTTGAGCGCCATAGATCGTTGCATTTCTAACACGGCAATGTCACCTAGGAACTCGAATCGACTTCATCCTCTGCAGCAAAGGCGTTCTCCCATGGATCAAAGACAGCACAGTCGAAGCCACCATAATGGGCAGCGACCACTGCCCCGTCGCCTGCGTCCTCTACGACACTCACCCGACCACCGGCCAGTCACTAGCGGAAGCGATGAACCCGCCGGGTTGGACGGGGGAACGAGTCAGGGAGCCGGTCAAGCTTTGTGTGAAGTACTGGGACGAGTTTTCGGGGAGGCAGCAGAAGTTGAGCAGTTTTTTTGTGAAGAAGGGGGCTGGGGGGGTGGTGGAGGCGGCTGCGGGAAAGGCTGGAGTTGTGGAGACCTTTACAAAGGTCGAGTCATCCAATAGGGATGATGTGGCGAACGGCGATGTGGGTGCGGTCGGTGCGAATGTGGTCGCTGCGCAAGAAGTTGCATGGAACGCATCAAAGGACTCAACACTTGGCCCGAAACCACCGATCACACTAGCGAGGAAGGTTCCCCGTCCGGACAAGAAACCTACCCCACCAACAAGATCAGGGTCATACAAACCAATACCAAAAGGCCAAAAGACCATCGGATCCTTCTTCGCACCCCGCTCCACGCCCTCAATACCACCACCACCAGAACCGGACGTCGCACCACCTTCTCAAGGCGCGGACCCCACATCCTCACAACCCTTCTCACAATCCCAGCTGTCAACAGACACGGACGTCACATGCTATTCCTCCCCCGTCGACAGCCAAACCGACAGCCAACCCGACTCTCTCTCCCTCCTCGCAACCCCTGAAGCCGCAACCCAATGGCGCGCTCTCCTCAACCCCAAAGCCCCACCCACCTGCTACCACAACGAGCCCACGAAGCAATGGAAGGTCAATAAACCGGGACCTAACCACGGGCGCGCGTTTTATTTGTGTCAGAGGCCGATTGGTGCGGAGGTGGAGCCGGTTGTTGGGGCGGGGGATGAGGAGGAGGAGAGGGGGACAGGTCAGGAGAAGGATCCGAAGGTGGTGTGGAGGAGTAGGAAGAAGGTGGGGGAGCATCGATGTGATTTTTTTCAGTGGAAGAATCCGCCCAAGAGGAGTGGGAGAGGGGCGGTGGGTGAGGGGGAGGCGCCGGCGGCGAAAAAGTTTAAGCGGTAGGGTTGAACGGTGGTGATGGGCTCCTGTTTAGATAGTTAGTAGCCTTTGGGACACAGCGGGTGTCGGGCGTGAATAGTCTCAGCTCCTGTATATGCACAGCCATGTCAGACGGTATTTTTAATAGCGGCCATGTCTAGATTCCGTAAAAACAATGTATATTCATCATACTACTGATATTCTCTCGAAAGACAATCCGAGAACCATACATCCAAACACTACGAAATACAGATAACACAGAACGCCGCCCCACCTTAATAGGGCCATGCAAGAGATCTCTATACGACTATCACTCAACCTTCTTAATTCCCGCCGCCTCCTCGAATCCAATAACGTGACTATGCAACTTCTCGCGCCGCTCATGCAGGGCTAATCGCTGGCGGTCCAGATGCTGTTTGTGATTGCCGAGGCCCGTGAGCACGTCGGTGTAGAATGTGTCTTCTCCCCTGAAAATATGAAGGGATAAGTTGTGCACATTGGAGGATATCGCAGGTGGAGGACAGTACAGACTCTAGGTTTTTCTGGAAGTCTGCGAGTTTTTTGGTGATGCGTACGGAAAGGTCTGTGAATTTCGAGCGGAGTTCAGAAGATGGATATGAATCAAGAGAGATGTACATATCCTGACCTCTAACCCTAAGCTTGATCTGCTCCGTCGTCCAACTATCAAAACGGGTCTCCTCCAAAGGCTGGCCCAACGAGGTGCTGGAAATCTGACCGTCGCCCATGGAATTCTGTGTCGCTCCCATTTCGGCGAAGGTAAGAGACGATTGCTGGTAAGATGATTGCTGGTTACTAGACGGCTCGTCTCCGGTGTGAGGGAGATGTTGACGACGCGAATGTACCGCGTGGGAATCATGAGGTTGAGTATCCTCGTGAACGTAGCTGAGGTGCTCTTCGTCTGGCAAGTTATCTGCGAGGAGATATGCGTAAGAGATCATGGCAACTTTAGGATGCAAGCGATAAGCGGAGTAGGTGCAGAGCCACAGCCACTCCTCACAACCTCCAATTACGACTTCGACGCTGGCTCTCCTCGATTCGCGGTAGTGCACGCTGTCGCCTTAGCAAGTGAATAGGTAAGAGACCCATAAAAATTGTAAGGAAAGCCCATGTTTTGCAGATCGCAAATCAGTTTACCGGGAAGTGGTGGTTCAGCCATAATCTGAACTGCACGAGCCCGGCTTTCATGAGGCGGGGAGAACCAAGAGTCGGCATTCGATGCCATCATGGGCGAAGTATGCATGCCCCCCTAAAGATCGATCAACATTGACACTTGAGCGCCACCCGCGAACCCGAAAGGAGCCTTTCCACCTACTTCATCGATCATCAAGGCTGGTAGGCCAAATGACTGGGTCCGGTTCTTCGTTTGGGTAGGCGTAGCCACGTGTGGCCTTATAGGCGCAGGGGGCTCAAGTCCATGTCGGACCCTCTTACTGCCCACGTCCTGAGCGCTCCACGACCTCGATCTTTTGGCTTGACTAACAACTTCCATGCTGTTCATCCCAGGGCGCGGCGAAGCTCCACTGTTTTCCTGCGAGGAGCGAACCACAGACTCTTCCAACGCTGTTTTCTTGTTCCTGGGCTGGCTGTACGGGTTGAATAAGCTCGCATTGGCGGCGATTGGTGGTGTATGTGGGGGACTGGGTTCGTTTGGTGCGCGGAAACGATCGAGGTTCTGCAAGCCGACAGGGAATTTCAAGCTGGCGGAGCGTGTAGAAGCGGGCGCCGACGGGACCTTGAAGGAAGATGTGTCTGGCTGGGACATGATTGCGGGACACTTCCGATTTTCTGGCTGGTGGGAACATGCCAATCTCCAAGATGGTGATGAGAGTTCGAACGCTGCTGAGCTTCGGAATCACAGCGTGCTCTGCATCACGTGGCTGCGCGCCAAATTAAATGTCCCACATTCGTGTATGGATCCGACCTGATCTGAGACGGCGCTCTGTCCGACCGACATTGCGCCGACGATCAACCACCACGATTACTCTTCGCCCGCCACCTGTTTCTCCCGTCTGGCGACTTCTCAAAAGCTCTGTTTCGACTAACCATGAACGGCCACAACGTAAGAATTCGCCACCACCCGTGATCTTCACCTCGCGTGTCAGAGTTGCTCACTTCCTTCGTTCGCAGGACGAGACTCTTGTGAAACCCGAGCGTCGGGCGTCGCGCTCAGTATCCCGCTCTCGTTCTCGCTCACGCTCCCGTAGCCCCCGCAAATCAAGCAGCCGTCGTAGAAGCTACTCTCGATCTGTCTCCAGGGACAGGCATTCGTCAAGGAGAAGGTAAGCTGACATATACCACGTTTGGGATATTGGGGGAGGCCTGTCGGTATGGAAATGGATGCGTAGGGAGGGTTGGAGTTCACCTGAAGGCGGAGGCGGAACCCCCTGGGGAATAGCGAACCCGCGCATTGCTTGATGGTTCTCTCGTCTTCTGGTATTCTGGTCTGAAAAGTGTCTTTGGCATGAAAAAGGGAAGGAAAGATGTCAAGGCCGTAAAGTTTCATAAGGTCTTGCCAAGCAGACACGAAGCACGCCATTGAAGAGAAGTTGCGAGTGACGACGAAGAAGAAGACCAGGTGTCCATGGGAAGAGAAACTGGGCGGATCATGACAAGATTTCGGAAGACGCCCGCCTCCCCCTGCCGAATCAATGGCCTTATCATATCCTGAAGAAATGTCGAAGTGTCTGAAACTGATTTCTTTCGCCATCTATGTCCTTCTTCGATACGTCTCTCAAGGTTCGGTCGGTGAGTAGACGCGGACCCTTTTCATTTCTCTTGTGTCGTTACTGAAAAGCTCGATTCTTTATTTTGTCGTAGATCTCGGTCGCGCTCGCCCTCTCCTCGGCGTGGTGGACCTCCTCCTCGACGTGGTGGTCCTCGAGCAGGCCAACCGGAGCCGGAGCCCAGCAAAGTTCTTGGCGTTTTTGGATTGAGCGTCCGCACGACTGAACAGGATTTGGAAGAGGTATTCTCCAAATATGGCGAGCTGGAACGTATTACTGTCATTTATGATAAGCCTGCGCATAGCGAGGACAGAGGCGTAAGTTGTGATCCTTATCGGCATTTGTATGACATGAACGTTCGCGGATCAAGGTCTGACTCGATTACATAGCCCACCAGATCTCGTGGGTTTGGCTTCATCACCTTTGCCAAACAGGAAGCCGCCACTGCCGCGCGCGAGGCGCTCAATGGCATTGTAAGTGAACGGCCCTTGGCATTTTACTTCATCGTGGATGACATCTCACACTGTACATGTACAGGAATTGCAAGAACGTCAGATTCGTGTTGACTATTCTTTGACCAAGCGTGCGCATTCCCCCACTCCTGGTCGTTACATGGGCCGCGAGACGCGGGACGAGCGCCGAGGATACCGCGGTGGCGGTGGTGGCTTTGGTGGAGGGTACGATCGCGGAGGATATGACCGTGGGGGCTACAGGCGGGACTACGACCACCACAGTCGAGGCAGGGAGCGCTCTTACTCGCCTCCTCATCATTCATCGTCTCGCCGCCGTAGCCCAACCTACGACCGCCCTTGAGCTGTTGATTTGATTTGCATCAACCTTGGTGTTGGGCGTTCGATTTTTCATTCTTGTGCACCGGCCCGGCGATATGGGGGGTGGATTTCTCCACCGTTTTGGGATGGGAGTAGTCTAGGATATCATACGTTCGCCCCATGATTCACACACCTTATTCTGGGACAAACTGCGTAGTGTAACATACAAAAACATACAAAAAACATGTGCTTATTGGTTTTTCTTTCAATTTTGCTCTGCGAAAGTCCAACTCCATGCTAGAGCGCAGGTGGGAACTGGGGAAGTCGGGAAAAGGTGGACGCGACTCGCTTCAGCGTTGACTCGGAGTGGGGATTCTGGGGAAGGCAAGACCTTCGGCTCGAAACCCACCACCCTTTTTGCATATAAATACAGTAGACCCTGTGGCGCGGAACCGAACCAGATCAACGTTCGGCCGCATATCAAACGTTGTCTTTGTTGACTGGATATCATACTTGCACCTTCAGCAAACGCACTCGCCGGCCCGATCAGCCATGGGGTAGGCACTGAAACAGCGAGAGTCAGCTCCACCCTACCATCACTAATCTTTCCTATCTTGATATCCACAGTGTCCCGGCCCTCTTCCGCTGGCTCTCGCAGAAGTATCCCAAAATTACTTCCCCCGTAGTTGAAGAGCAACCGCGTGAGATCAACGGCCATGTCATCCCCGTCGACCTCTCGAAGCCCAACCCCAACGAGGAGGAGTTTGACAATCTCTACCTCGATATGAACGGTATCATCCACCCCTGTTGTCATCCGGAAGGCAAGCCGGCGCCGACCTCGGAGGAAGAGATGTTTGTTGAGATCTTCAAGTACATTGACCGTATCATGGGCATGATCCGGCCGAGGAAGGTGCTCTACATGGCCATTGACGGAGTTGCTCCGCGAGCGAAGATGAACCAACAGCGATCGCGACGGTTCCGCGCCGCCCAGGAAGCGCAGATATTGATTGAGGAGGAGGAGAAGATCCGACGGGAATGGGAAGCCGCGGGAGATGTCTTTCCGGAGAAGGATAAGAAAGATCATTTCGATTCCAATTGCATTACGCCGGGAACTCCTTTCATGAGCAATCTGGCGACCGCATTGAGATACTACGTGGCTGATCGGTTACATACCAACCCGGGATGGCGAAATCTGAAAGTCATTATATCGGATGCTAGTGTGCCCGGTGAAGGCGAACATAAAATCATGGACTACATTCGACGTCAGCGGTCACAAACAGGATATGATCCCTTCACGCATCATGTCCTGTATGGTCTGGATGCGGATCTTATCATGCTGGCGTTGGCGACCCACGAACCATACTTCAAGATTCTCCGAGAAGACGTCTTCTTCAAGGACAACAACAACAAAGGTTGTTTCATCTGTGGGCAGTCTGGACATCAAGCAGCGGAGTGCACTGGTACGTTTACTATATCGTTGGGTTACTCCAATTCTGGGACATGTAACTCACTCGGCCCCACAGGAAAGAAGATGGAGAAGATTGGGGAGTTCGGGGAGAAAAGCACCGGAACGCCGTCAGATGAGAAGCCGTTCATTTTGCTTCATGTTAGTGTTCTGCGCGAGTACCTCGAAATAGAATTGAAGGTCACGGATCTTCCGTTCCAATGGAGTCTTGAGCGGGCCATTGACGATTGGGTGTTCCTCTGCTTCTTCGTTGGGAATGATTTTTTGCCACATTTGCCATCACTGGAAATCCGAGAGGGGGCGATTGACAAACTGATCGAGCTGTGGAAGAAGAATCTGTTGCATTGGGGCGGCTACCTTACCGATAGTGGCGAGATCGCCCTGGATCGGGTTCATGCCATGATGGCGGACCTTGGGAAGGTAGAGGATGAGATCTTCAGGGAGAGAAAGAAATCTGAGGAACGGCGTAAGGATGCTCAGGACCGTAGGAAACGAGAGCAGGCCGATAGGGATCAGGTCAAAAGCAGCGGTTACGATATGCTCGAGCGCAATAATAGCCACGTGGAAGGTGGCATTGCGGATTTCATGAATGCTGCGATTCCTCCTTCCGTCAAGACGCCCGTCAAAAAGCCAGTGATTCCAACTGCCGACGTCAACAAAGCTGCCGCGAATGCTCTCAAAGCTTCGCTGAGGGCGAAAGCGGAAATACAAACGTCTCCGACGCATGGCACTAAACGCAAAGATCCCGAACCGGAAAACGGAGAGGCTGTCGCAGAAACAGCACCCGTTGAGGACTTGGAGCCAATATCAGACGGTGAAGACGAAGTTGAACCCGATATTCCTGAGGAAGAGATTGAGGAGACTATGACCGTCGCCGACGTACCCATTCGCCATCTTCCTGTAGTCAAGAAGGCGGAAGACGACGAGCCTTACGATGACGTGAGGTTGTGGGAATCAGGTTGGAAGCAACGGTACTATCTGAACAAGTTCAAAGTGGAGCCAACCGACGTGGGGTTCCGCCGCAGGTAAGCAGTTTCGCAAAAGGCATTGACATGAGATTGTTCTGATGTGGCTCTCCTCGACTAGTCTTGTCACATCCTACGTTGAAGGGCTGTGTTGGGTTTTGAAGTATTATTATCAAGGCGTCCAGTCATGGAAGTGGTTCTTCCCTTACCATTACGCTCCCTTCGCCTCTGACTTCGACTTCATCGATGAGCTTCACATCACCTTCGAGCTAGGCATCCCGTTCAAGCCCGTTGAGCAGCTCATGGGTGTACTCCCCGCTTTCAGTAAACAGCATATCCCGGCACCCTTCCGCCCCCTGATGACGGATCCCGAGTCGCCCATCATTGACTTCTACCCGGAGAAGTTCCCCATTGACCTTAATGGAAAGAAGTTTGCTTGGCAAGGTGTTGCCTTGCTCCCTTTCATTGAGCAAGACCGGTTATTGGAAGCTATGAGCACTCGGTATCACTTGCTGACTGAAGAGGAGGTTATTCGGAATACGAAGGGAGAGGAAGCCGTTGTTGTTGGCGGTGGTAACAAGCTTTATGAGCCATTCTGTACATTGTATGGACGGCAGACTGACGACGGGGTGAGTGTTCTTGTCATCCGCAGTTTTTGGTCATCTGCTAGTTTGACGGTGATGTACTAACCCGAAAAACGACTTTCAGCCAATGCCCATTGACCCCAAGAAAAGCCAAAAGTTCTTCGGCTCGGTATTACCGGACCCCCAAGCGTGTCTACCAGGAAGCACCTACGAGTCCCCACTCGTTGAATATGGCATGCCCGACATCAAGAACAACAAGTCTATAAGTGTTCTGTACTTCATGCCGGAGTTTGCCCCGGGGCACATCTTCAAAGCGGACCTACTGCCGAATGTGCAGATGCCTCGTCAAATCTTGACTGCCGATGACGCTTACGCTGTGAGGATGGGCTATAACAGTCGCGGAAGAGGTCGTGGGAGGGGTCGTGGTCGTGGTGGGGGTCGTGGGACTGCAGATCGATTCATCAGGTATGCCGGTGACCAATAATTTGGTATTCCGCCTATTTCTTCCCTGCGTGCTGACAAAGGCAGTTTTCACAGACATGGAGTTGGCGGTGGACGAGATGACTCGCGCGACCATAACCGGCAAGATGACAGGGGCTCGGGCGGGTACGGACACGATTCCAAAAGGCCGCGTTATGACAATCGGTCACATGACCTACCATACATGGGTATGTGCGCGGGATTGAGTTCATTTTTTTCGAACGGGTGACTAACTGCTGCTTTACAGGCGGAGGTGGTTACGAACGATACAACTCGGGGAGCAACTACGAACAATCGGGCGGAAGTTATCAGTCGGTGAGTTGAATGACATCTTTTTGCTGGCAGTATCAAAAACCAACCGGCTCCCAACAGTATGGTGGTGGCTACACTCCTAACACATATGGGAACCAGCCAGGCGGCTATCAGCAAGGCGGTAGCTACGGTGGTAGTTATCAGCAAGGAGGTGGCGGTTATCAAAGCTCAAGAGGAGGCGGCGGCTACTATCAAGGAGGAGGAGGGTACCAGGGCGGGAACCAAGGAGGTTACAACTCGTCAGGAGGAGGTTACGGAGGCGGCTACAGCAATTCACAGTACTCAAGAGATGGGGGACCTCCAGGCGCTGCGTCTGGTCAACAGGGCGGATACGGTAATAATTACGCTCCCGCGCCCCCGAACTTGGCATGGAATAGGAACGTGTCTGCCGGTCGCGGGTCGTCGTCATCCCCTGCACAGCGAGGGAGAGGTGGCGGCAGGGGTGGTAGTTATAGATGAGCAGTAGCCCTGTAGAATGTGTTATTGTTTTCCGTTCCCTGATTGGGTTCGGTGTGTTTGATTTCCGGTGAATTTATTCGCCGCCGCTGTGAACCAGGAAAAAATGTAGCAACCTGTGCAACAACCATGATACTGTACGTACGTTGAACATCGTGTCGGATTCTGTAAACCAGTGCCTGGGAAGGCGTTTCTGTCAAAAAAGCTGTCATCGGAAAATGACAGCACCTCTCGCCAAGACCGGAAATGGGCCAGAAACACAAGCATAACCTGTAGTACTTTTCCTTTCTTACGCGTCATGGGGGAAAGGTGTGTTGACCGTTAGCGGCCGACTTCGCCCACACAGGGCTTCAAACTCACACCCTCGGGGCATGGAAGATCTAACAACAGCGCGAGCCCTTAAAAGCCCGGGATTACATTCTTCCTTCCTCTATAATCTTCCATCCCGCACGCAGCTTAGTCCCAAACACAAATCGAGACACTTAGCATCCGAATTCCTTATTTTCAATCATGGGTCTTCCAGTCATCCTCTATCTCCTCGTCTCAGCAACAATCGCAGCAGCGTATCCGACCGGCGCCGGGATCTGCTACGCCAATGAATCCGCCATCGCCGCCGTCGGATCCATGGGCCCTTCCAACGACAATCTTGGCTACGCGCTGGTGGTCGGCGGCCAGGCTACCTCTTATTCACCGGGGAGGGCGCTGAATGTGACGCTGACGGGCAACCAAAACTTCATGGGACTTCTGTTGTATGCCGCCAGCGCGATTGATGCTACCGCCCATGCCGGCACATGGAGTGGGTTGGATGCGGATAAGTTCATGGTGAGTTGGATGTACTCAGCAATTGTGGTTTGCTACCGGCTTGGACTCATCATCTCTGTTAATCTTATTACAGTTCCTCAACAACGACCAAGGCCCGGTGGATTGCAGCACGTATGGCATCAATGCCACGGTGACCCACGATAGCCCTATGTCCAAGTCCGTCCCTTTGACGTTTACTTGGTGAGCAAAGAAAAGTTTCACAATGGTTTGATTACAGTCCCCTTCTGACCCTATTCCTCTTGTGCATCCTTTTCAGGACCCCGTCAAGTACCACAATCGGAGATGTGCATTTCTACAGCGTCGTAGTAGTCTCTGATACGGTCGGGTTCCAAGTGCTACAAAGTGCCAAGGCGCTGACCGCAGCAGCTTGAATCGTTCGTTCATGTGCAAACATGGGCTTATATTTGCTTATATCTCTACAAGTTGCCATCATCGGCGATGCCTCCGGCAGAGGTACAATGATGTGGATGGCAGATAACCACCACGGAAAATGGGAAGGGGTGAAAACTCTAGACTACCGGGAGAATGCGTCTGGTCTGCGGCCATTGCCAAGCACCACCGAACGCACAATCGAGAGGAAATTCTTGGTACTTAGGACGTCCCGATTGTGCACTTTCATCCGTAGTTGTAGTGGTCGTCTTCCAGGAATCTCAAATGGCGTCCAGTCTTGGTTGATACATTCAGGGTTGGGGCAACCCATCAATCCATGGACGAATTCCATTCTTCCCTTTCTAGCTTGCCATGGCCGAGAAGACAGCCGTCGTCGGATGTTTTTCTTCACACGACCGTGGCAGTTGGGGCACACAGACGACGTTCGATACTCATCTAGCAAGTAGCATGGAATGCTGTTTCTTGCAAAGAGTGTGCGGAATCTGATTTCCATGATGAGTTAGCATATTATAATACATAAAAAGCAATGATGGTCACTCACCCTTTGGTCTTCGATGACTCCTGAAAGCACATGGTTTTTCCAGCGTCGCTCCAATCACCCAAGATGACCGAAAAATGCTTTCCATACAGGCGTCGCATGTTCTTGATGAGCTTGCTCTCAGACTTTTGCCGCAGTGAGAACGCCTTGAATCTGCGAGCAACGTGAATCTCATCCCGGTAAAACTCATCCAGGGCGGGATCTGGGATATGGATGTCAGCCTATGTATTACCAAATTTGAAAATCAAAGTTGAAGTAGAACATCATACCCGCATGTTCGTAATCCACGATGAACGCTGAGAACGCCTCGATGTTCATGCTCTTGTGCGACGGAATCTGTGATTCCATCTCAGCAACGCCGGCATTGATCTTCCGCTCTGTCATGTCTCTTCGAAAGTACCGAGACTTTGTCTCGACCGCCTGTTGAGTGGATGTGTATCTGATATGGGGTGGTGCATTGTGAGGACGCTGCAACGGAATGTCGCCGCAATGGGGATGGTGGGCATAGGGGCGGTGGGAGCGGCAGCGGCGACGGGGGGCTGAGGGGCGGCGACGGGGGGCTGGGGGGCGGCGACGAGGGGCTGGGGGGCGGAGACGGGGGGCTGGGGGGCAGAGACGGGGATGGAGACGGAGACGGAGACGGAGACGGAGACGGAGACGGAGATGGAGACGGAGACGGAGACGGGGATGGAGACGGGGATGGAGACGGAGACGGAGATGGAGACGGAGACGGGGGGCTGGCGGGCGGAGACGGGGGGCTGGCGGGCGGAGACGGGGGGGGGGGGGGGGGGGGGTAGCGGGGACAGCAGGGCAGTAGTAATCAACTGAAACTTACCGAAATGGCTGCTCCTTCTTGTTGTCTCGACAGAATAGGAGGTCACGCTTGCCCGGATCAATGCAGACAATGTTTGGAGCCTCCCTTAAGTCGTCAATGTGGTACTCAAAATACAGCTGCTTGACTTCTTCCCGCATTTGGGCCTTGCTGCGCTTCCGGGCCCGATACCCATACTTGAGCCCTGGCTTCTTGAAGTGGATGGTAACGGAATACCCGTCGGTGCTAATTGACCCATCGAACTTGAGACCAAGCTTCTTTCGATGTTTGAAGACCTTGTCCTATAATCCGTCATTCAGCGAGGTGATTGAAATAAAGGATACAGACTTAACTTACATTCACATTGAGAAACTGCCCCCACAGCTCCTGCTTGCGTTCATCAGTGAGTTTCCCCATGCGACATCGGCCAACATCCAGGATATGAATGGCTAGGATCGTCGTGTCAATCTGAACAGATGACTGGATTCGAGATTTGCGCAGCGGGATAGCCGAAAACAGCCGCATTCCACGGCGCTCATAGAGGCGTGAGAGCTCACAATAGGCACCTGTGATGTGAGGCGGGTGCGGACCATGATTAGACAAAAGAGGAAGCCGCGGGGGGGGGGGGGGGGGAGCGGAAATATACTAACTCACCTAAATATGGCATTGCGTCCACCGCAAGGCTGTACGCAAGGGGCTCATCCTGGGGAGAAAACAGAGCCCATAACTTGTCAAGGACGGTCCGCTCAAGGCTTGTGAGGTGGCCAAACTCCTCTTCGATTGGGTACTCTTCAAACGTTGCGTACTTTGTGAATTGACGGACACGCCGATAACGCTGTTGGCGCTGCGCTTGGCTAACTCCGGCTCTCCGAAGATGCAGTACGACTTGCTTCAAACCAAGCCTTTCATTGACATAGCGCAGAAACATTTGCATAAAATGCTCCTGTACGTTGACTTTGAGGTTGGTGAAGATGCTTGTAGCTGTGTATGCTGCGGTCTGTTGGCTATTTCGCATGCGGATGGGGGCAAATCCGTGAACATTACGGTACTCTTGAACCCGTGGACGCAACTCTTGCGCTATGACCGGATTGCCGTTATAGCCCGGATTGTTTAGTAGCTCAAATATCACACTAATGTGCTTGTCGGTGATGTCCGGGAAATCGTGTAGAGGATGATCAGCTGTGGTGGGGTGGGCAGATGTAGCAGTTAGGACATTGTTATGGGAAATATTATGGGAAATATACAGTGTACCTCAAAAACTCACCAAGGTAGTACTTGAGGAAGAACGTGGTGTGGCGCGCAAGGACGTGAACATTGCCGAGGAAGGTTGTCAGGCGCTCCCTTTGCACTTGATTGTGATTACGGACTCGGTGAAGGGAAACCTTCGTGCTGGCATGCGTCTGCGGGCGGGGTCGTTGAATTGGTGGTAGAGGCGGGGGTGGTGGAGGCGGGGGTTCAAGCACCAGGGATCCACCCGGTGTGCTGGGAAAACGAAAAGGGATGGGAGCGGGGAGGTTCAAAGGGCGCTGAAGACCCCTGTCGACAGGTGAAAGCCCTCGCTGCTGGTGCTGTTGCCCGTCTTCATCGCCAGAACTCTCGCTAACCATGTCCGCGATTGCTTGGGGCAAGTGGCGTTGGACAGATGGTGGGAACTTGAATCGAGGGCGCGGGGGCTGCAATGGCGTCTGTACGGCGGGTGGCAGACGTATGGGCAACCACGGGGTAACTGGAGCAACCTTCCTCCTCTTCCGCCGTGGTGTGGTTACTCCGGTGAAGATGCCACACCACAGGTGCCCCTGGAGCGCCTGGTGTGATGACATGATGGCTGTGCTGTGCCTAGAGTGTTATGATCTCGACGACAGGGCGGAAGCGAAGTAGAGAAGACAGGGCGAGTGTGATGGGCGACAAGAGATTGTATTGGCGAAACAAGAAACAAGGATTAGAACAGGAGATGAGAAGAACTGGTGTTGATCTGCTGGGGAGGAAGGGAATAGACAAAGAGAGGCCAGCTATTTATAGATAGGCAACCCAGCAGATCAGAGAACAACAACAACAAGAGGGGACTGGGGGGCGCCAGCTATGCTCCTAGAGCGTGCGTGGCGAGCGTAGAGAGCATTGCTACAGCTGCTGGCTATGGGGAAGCAGTGGGGGGTGTGGAGAAGCCGAGGGGGGATTGGCGAAATGAGAGGAGAGAGGAGGAGTGGCGATATTGCAAGAGGATTGGCGAAATGAGAGGAGAGAGGGGGAGTGGCATTGACATTGACATCGACACTGACATTGACACTGACATGGACATTGACATTGGCGTTTGACATTTGGCGGTTGACATTGGCGGCTGTCAGTAGGTAAGCTTATGGTATGGGCGCGTCGTCCATAACATCACCCCTCTCTTTAGCGGTGGCGGCGGCGGCGTCGAGTTTGGTGTGGCCGCAGAGGAGGTGCTACGGGGACAGAGGAAGGCTTGTTGGGGTACGCGCTGTGGAAGTCCTGGAGGAGTGCGTCGGTATGGGTGAGGTGTTCCACGGGCTCCCAGGTGTTCTCGGAGTCAGGCCAGCCCTGCCATTTGACCAAGTACTGAAGGCGACGACAATGGATGCGAGAGTCAAGGATGGCTTCGACAACCCACTCTTCTTGACCCTCAACGGTCTCTGGGGGCGCGGGTTCGGGTTCGTGTCGTTCGGGGATGGTGAAGCGGGGTTCGAGGAGCGAGACATGGACAACATCGTGGATTTTGTACGTAGGCGGGAGCTTGAGCCGGTAGGCGACGGGATTGATTTTTTCAACGATGGGGAATGGCCCAATCTTGCGATGGTCAAGTTTCTGAGAGGGCCGGGTTGTCTGGAGGTTTTTGCGGAGGAGCCAGACGTGGTTGCCAGGCTTGAAGTCCGGTCCAGGAATTGGTTTAGCGTCGGCGTAGCGCTTCATTTGATCTTGGGCTTCCTTGAGCTCGAGGGCGAGCTGTTCATGGACTTCCCTGATTTGTTTAGCGCGGGCTTCAGCGGCAGGGTTGACGGATTCGGAGGTAGCGGAGGCCGCGAAACTGAAGCGGGGGTGGAGACCCTTGTTGGCGTAGAAGGGGGTGGCCTGGGAGGCGGACTGGTGGGTGTTGTTGTAGGCAAACTCGGCGGACGACAGAAGCTGTTTCCAGTTGTCCTGCTGGTGGGTGCAAAAGCATTGGAGATACTGCTCCAGGATCTGGTTGGTGTGTTCCGTCTGGCCATTGCTCTGGGGGTGGAAGGCCGAGGAGAGGTTGGCTTTTGCCCCAAGGAGTTCGAGAAGTCGACGCCAGAACCGGGACTTAAACCGGGGTCCTCGGTCAGAGATGACGTCGTCGGGGAGGCCGTGGAGACGGATGATGTTGTGGAAGACTAGGTCGGCGGTGGATTCGGCGGATTCTGACTCGCTGCAGGCGATGAAGTGGGCCATCTTGGTGAGGCGACAGTTGACGTTCAGGATGGAGTTGTACCCGTCCACAGGAGGCAGACCGGTGATAAAGTCCAGGGACCAAGATCCCCAAGGGCGGGTAGGGATACTGTTGGGCTGGAGTAGGCCATATGGTTTGTGTCGACTGGATTTCGCTTGGCTACAGGTATCGCAGGACTTGATGTAGGCCTTGACGAAGGGCCACTGGCTGGGCCACCAGTAGTTGCGGGAGGCGAGTTCGAGCGTCTTGGACATCCCAAAGTGGCCGGCTAGGGGTGTATCGTGCATGTCGTGGCAGACTTCAGCTCGGAGCTCGTTGGTGGGGACATAGACCAGTTTATCGTGCAGCAGGATCCCAT